ATCTAGCCTACTTACTTATTAACTATATTATATAATTTATATAATATTAATATTATAAGCTAAAGTAATAATAGATATAATAGAGTTAAATCTAGAATAAGAGATATAATAATCTATATAAATAATCTATAAGAATAGTATAAACTACTAAAATAAATATAATTCTAACTTACTCTAGAATATTAAGTAATACTATATAATAGTACTTAATTTTAACTAGGTAACTATCTTACTACTACTTAAATATAAATAATTATCTAAACTTTCTAAGGTAGAAAGGAAATAAAAGGGAGATAAGTTTAGTTATAATAGTATAAAGCGGGGTGTACTAGATGTGCTAAGGCGTTCTATATAATCTATATAATCTGTGAGATAGGCGTAGACACGTTAATGCCGGGGAAGGTTCTTATGTGATAAAGAAGATTTTATCTTGGCTGAGATGGATTCTTCCGAGCCCGAACGGTACGCTGGGAGAAGGCAGTCAATTAGAAACCAACAATATAACCATGTACTATTTAATATTGCCCATGCTTTACAACCATAGCTTTCGTGCCTCTCCTTGCAAGTGCTCGATTGGAGCAGTCGGCCGTCTACGTGCCGCGGTATCTCAGAGGTTGACACCTTTTTCGCGAATTCGTCATTTGTCGTGATAGAAGTACAGCGTGCCTGTGGGGACGCAGCATCCCAGAGTGAGGAGTTGCACCATGGGCTAGTGGTTCGCGATCTACCAAACTTCACTCGTCCATTGTTTGGATCGAAAGAAGAACATCACGGAGCTTCTGCCGCGAAGTACATACCGAGTAATCATCTTCCCTTGATACAGAATTTTAGGCTGTTTCGCAAAAGAAATCTGGGATTTACAGGCTCACTAGCTACATGCACTCAGGTCTAGCGGGCTATAATCTGCTAATCAATCGAATTCATAACCTTCAGACAATGGCCGAAGAGGCGTACAAAACTGTCAGCCGCCAGGCTGCCCCACTTCATTTTCTTAAATCTATCCATCTTGTTCTATGCTCTATCGTATTGAATTATGCCACATGTGAAACTCGCCATGCAAGATGAAACTACTGTATACAATCAAGCGTGAAAAGAACAAAAAAAAAACATATCAACTTTTTTACGCATTTGTAGCGTATCGGCTCTTCTTTCGAATCTGTTTGCCGTAGCGAAAGAAAATATAAGGAAAAGGCATCATAGCGAGCAATAGAAAGGCTAGAAGCGTAGATGCCCATTGGAACCCGAGTTTGTGGTACATCTGATTTCCAAATAGCGGAAAAGCAGTTGCAAATAAGCAGCGAACAAAAGCGTTGGCAGCTAGTGCACTGGCGGCGTAAGTAGGATACGCGTCTACCAGAAAGGTGAAGATGCCGGTATAAACAAGAACAATGCTTCTCAAAAGTTAGTCCACTTCGTCTGATATCTAGTTTGAATGGTGTGAAACATACCCAGCTCCAAAGATTGCTTCACCAATCATGGGCGCGATCCAGTGAACATGCGGATATGATGTCCACGCAAATATGAATACACCCACTGGTGCCACCACCGCGCCAACCACTGCGGGCGGCAGGCGAAATTCCGGTTCAGTCTTTCCTTTGATGCCCGTCTTCTGCTCGAGTTTGGCCACGAGTCCCATGCGGTACCGATGCCAGAGAGGATCCGTCGCTGTAGCTATGAACATGCCAACGCAGATGGGGATAAAGGCCATGCCCACCTGCCACAGATTGAAGCCGTAATTGGTGGAAAACACGAGCGCAAATGCACCAAAGAAGAGGTACAAGATGCCCAACAGTATCGCAGACAACAGACAGAGGTTCAGACACATCGGCTCAAAGATGAGTAGCTGCATGGGCCGTAGGAGAGAGATGCCGATGGCGCGAATAACAGACTTTTGTTTCTTCTCCGTAGGTGCCAGCCAGCGGTCGTCTCCCGTGCGCTTGCGAAGATCACGGGCCTTGTTCCGCAGAAGAATAGGATGAAACGTCTCGGGGACGAGACAGATTGCAAAGAGCAGCACGCCCGTCCAGATCAGAAACACATAGTATGTCCATCTCCAATGGACATTGTAGTTGATGAACCCGCCAATGAGGGGGCCGGCGGTCGGTCCCAGAAACGGCGCCAACGAGAAGAGCACCATGGGCCCCTGCAGCTCGTGCCTCTGAAACAGATCGCCGACGGTGCCGCCAGAGACGGCGAGGAAAGCGCTGCCGGAGAAGCCGCCAAAGAACCGGGACACGAGAATAGTCTGGATGTTGGTGCCAAACGCTCCAGGGAAGAGGAACAGGACAAACACGGACCAGGCCACCAGGTAGATTGGACGGCGACCGTAAAACTCGCTCAGAGGGCCAAAAAACATGGGGCCAAAGGCGATGCCAAGCACAAACAAGGACAGGCCGAGAACAGAGACAATTCTCGAGTTGCCAAACTCCTCTTCCATCTGCGCGTAAGTTGACGTGTAACCGGAACTGATATTGGTACTGCGCAAGTGTGTTAGTACACAAAAGTATGTCATGTCCGTCACCTGGCGAAAAACTTACACGGTAAAGCTTCCCGCGCAAAGAATTGAGACAATGGCCCATTTCTTGACTTTGTTGAAGCTCCAAGGGCACAGGGGATCATTTGCGCCGTCGTCCCAACCGACTTCGAACGGATCCTTTTCTTGTGAATAGGACGGGGCGATGCGTTTGGGCTGCTCCTCATCTACTCCGTAGCCATTTTGAGAGCGAATGAGGTCCAAGGACTCTGTTGATTCCTGTGTCGTCTGCGACACGCTGTTTGACGACAACTCCTCATTGCCCAGTCCGTCGTGGTGCTGGTGAAGCTCCGGTCCGGAGGCGCCGCCGTCAACTACGGGTGGCTGCTGTTTTTCAATGTCGACACCCATATCTGTGTCTTGGCGTAGATGTACACTTGGGTTGTCGAGTGAAGCGCAATCTGAGGGATGAGTGTTTGGCCAAGAGTTGCAAACGCGTATATTTATGACCGAGATGCCATTGGCACTCAATGTCCTCGGATGACTCAACTGTCAGTAGCCCAGAACAAAATGATTGTCAGCAGAACCGGGGCCAATCTGAGCGAACAAGATCTTTGAAGATTTCTAATCCCCAGAAACTAGTTGTTGCAAAATTGTGTTGGTAATGCCCAAGTCGCCTTGTCTCTACGAGCCGAGTCGCGATGAGACACCGATTGAAGCGAGGCAAACGTAATAGAAAAGCACAACCAGTCTGATGGGAAAAATTCACAAAAAGAGTTTCTTTCCCCATCTCCGGACCCCATGAAGCTCTGGTTCTTGATGCGGGCCGAATTATAGTGGCGACAAGTATCCGGTTCGGCACCACAGCGTAAGCGCGAGGCGATAGCCCCAGTGCAAATCAAGAAGTAGCCATTTCGTCATAGGATGGCGGGCTTGCCATCCAATAAATCGTGGGCTTGTTCTACCAATAACATTACTGCATAAGCCCACCCCAGTATTCGCTCTTTCGGACGACATTGTGAATGACGGAGACGGATGTGCTTAGCTCGCCTTTTTACATTCGGCCCGAGAAGTCGCTGTTGGTAAGCACTACCTAAGCATCACCACATCTCCGGCACAGATCGGAGATGGCGCCCGCAAACCCGGTGAATAATAATCCTGGCTTCTTGTTTTCAAGCTCGGACACTACGATCGGATATAACAAAGTGTCAGCCGTTCCCCCGTGACAACAGGCATCCCTGAAAATGTCTTGGCCAAAAGAAGAAAAGAGCCACACACTCGGGGACCCATGTGCATAGTCAAAATGCTGCCTTTTCGTGTTCATGACCAAAAAAGTATTCAAAAATCCCGGCCGGCATTGGCGAGCTGCAAAGAAAAGAGAATACGACATGTATGAGGGAGCAAGCACTTCAATCATCACGACGCATGAGAATCACGTCCCAAAGCCAGCGTTGATGCGCTACAGCTGCACGTCGCGGATGGTTTCCGACTGCAGTTTTGACTCTGAAATGTGTGGTTTGTAATTTCCATACTCTCTCATGATGGAGTTTAAGATTCTGTTTCCATGGAAACAATCAAGTCAAAACTATAGCTCTACGTGCTATTTCATGATTTGTCTCCTGCTATGCAGGTACTATATACCCTCCTTGTGTGCTATGTCTATATCCCATCCCAACCGTCTATATAATATGCAGCATTGATTCGCCGCTAGCCAAATGAAGAAATGCATACAGCGTGCCCAAAAACAAATAATACTGCTCGCTTGTTGCCAAAATAGACTCCTGTCCTCCATATGTACACTTCTTGACAGGCCACCGCGCCTCCATCATACACACTCTATCAATTTGCACCAGCATTGATCCGCCTAATAGTACTCTGGTAAACCATCCTTTGCAAAGTCTGGCACGTCCGAGTCACAATTAAAGTCCCGAGAATAGGCCTTTTGCGGAAGGATACCGGCCTTAAGCCCGGCCTCGTAAGACCACTGCGGCGCGCTCTCCGTCTTCCACGTCCAATACCACCAGCCCCAGCCCTTTTCAAAGCTGTGCATCTGCGCCTCCGCAAACATTTTGAGAAACTTTTTATAATCAGAGCTCCACTTGCTGGGCTCCGCATTAGCCTGGGCGCACGAGCACTGTTTATTCTTGGTCGGGCATCTCGGCGTTAGGATAGAGGTTTTGGCGTCTCCAGTGTCCAGAGTGCCCTCCCATCGGTTTCCCCATCCAACGTTTGTGAGATGCTTTGCGCAGTCAGTGTCTGCCTGCGACCACTCTGCAAAAAGCGTGGGTCCATATCCAGTACTGGTGTCCATGCTCTGCTGTGTCTGCTTAGTCCACCCGTCGCAGGCGTACTGAATCTTCTTTTGATGCGAAAAGTCAATTTGGTTCTCGTTAAAGATGACGTATTGATGAACATCGAGCGCCATGGTGTCATAGCCCGTCATGCGGCCCTGCCAGTTTTCGAGGCCCATGAAGCCGTCACCAAAAACGACAATGCCTTCGATGCCGTTCTTGCGTACCATCTTGTAAGCGTTCTCTGTCCAACTAATAACCTTGGAGGCGTCCAACAACACCATTCGTGGTTCATTGGCCAGGCCATAGTGGCTAATGATATTCTTATAGCGATCTTGGCTGAAGAATTTGGAAAGCCGGTCGTGAACATCCAGTGATCGCTGGGCATTTCTGTCGCCATCCGTGCCATTGAGCCAGCCAATGGCGCCCCAGCGTCCACTGTGATTCCACCCATTCTGGCTGCCTGGAAGGCCATGAACATCGAGATTGATGCGCAGGCCGTATTTTCGGGCCCATTCGATACCACGCAACAGATATCTCCAGGAGGTGCGGAATAAGTATGGATCTCCGTCGTACGTCGTGACGGCCCAGTACGAGAAGGGTATGCGCACATGGTCCAGTCCAGCGGCCGCAATCGCTTTGAATGTGTCTTCGGTTATAAAAGACGAATAATGTTTTTCCAATGTCGACGCTGCCTTATCGCCCAAGTAGGTCACCAGTGTCGCTTCGTCAATGATGCCCATACTGAGCGGGTAGTCGAATAAAGAGGGCGTGATCCACGGCTCCAGTGACAGCCAGCCTCCCAAGTTGACGCCACGTGCCGGCAAATCCGTGTATTTTCCCCAAGGCTTGTTCAGGGCCGGGACCTTGTCGTTGGCCTTTGCAGAGTCATCCCATTTAGAGTACAAGCCCATGACGGGTAGATCGCCCACCATTTCGTCTGTAAAAGTGACATTGAAATCGGTAGTGGTGGCCCAAGTCCACGGATCGAGATATGTGTTGCGCCATTTCTCCGGTATAGAATTTCGGTCTTGGCCGCTCAGCGACGATGATGATGACGTGTCGTTGCCTCCGCCTCCGCCTCCTCCCTTCTTCTGGCTTACCGCCACAGCGACGGCAATGATGACGATCAATAAGACAAGGCTGATTCCTCCAATTATCCATAACTTCTTCTTTTTGCTCCATCCATTCTTTGGCTGGGGCAGAAGCTCATCTTTCTCATAGCTTTCGTCGCTCCATCCGCGCTGATGCCCTCGTGCGCGACCTTCTTCCATGATAGCTCCGCTAACTACTCTTTTCTTCCTCTTTTTTTCTTTCTCTTTCTCTTTCCGCCTTCGTTCTTTCTCGTATGCTCGTTCGGCTTCGTATTCGTAGTCATCTTCGCGATGGTGATGTGAAGCGCGCCGTCGATCGGGCTTTCGGCTCTTGCGTTTGGCATTTTCCCTGTCCAACTGATTAAGAGCGCCAGCGGAGAGCTTTTGTGAGCTTTTTGTACTTCGCGACGCTCGTGTTTCTCTTGTTTCCCTCGTTTCACGGCTTTCTCTAGTGTCGTCCGAGGCTGTGCCTGGTCGCTTCGTGTGTGATCTTCTTTTGCGTTCCTGATGTCGTCTGGATCGATCTCCGCTTCGTGGCCGCGATCGCCGCGCCTCTCGAGGTGACTCCCTCGATGGCATTGTCCCTAAACCAGTTTATGCTGATCTGAACACACTGGAATGCCGGAGAAAGGGAAGAGCAGAGTCGTAGGCCATGTGCAAAAAATTAAGCTCATCGCCAGACGCAGAAATGTCTTGAGTAGCCACGTAATTGCCTAGGCCTTCCATAATTTCCACGTGGGCCACCTCGTATGATGCATGCCGCACTGCCAGTGTTTGGCATAGTCCTTGGCCATTTGGCGCAGCGCTGTTGGCCAAGCAACCATCTTGTCCAAGCCACACTAGCACCAGCCTCTTTTAGTTTTCACCAGCCACTTTTGCTTCCCCAGAACAAAGCGGCACAAGGATGGATGTGACCCGCTTTTCCCGGCTCTCCAGAATCCAGGCTCTTGACCCATTTCGTCAAACCCCGCGAGAGGCCGCAGCAAGCCGAGTTCTAATGCGCCTCGTCGTCTTCGTTGACAAAAAGCGCCCGTGTGCGGCCGGATGTGACCTTTTTTACTTACATCACGCCTCGCTCTTTCGAAAGTCTTTGCGCAGCTTCGCGGAAAGGGTCGCCGCCACCATGAAGCGTCAAGTCGCTCGTCAAATCCGCAGTGCCCTGCAAACGACCCGTCTACCTGTCGCTGCCCTTCCTCTTCACGCGTCTCGCTGCTACTCTACGCATCCTCCAAACGCCAAGCTCAACTTGCCCATTGAATATGGCTCTACTCCATTATTAGCGCACAGTGCTGATGCGGTGCAAAAAAATATCGAGATTCCTGCCGAGGTCCGCAACGGCGCAACCAAAAAGCTGAATCTCTTCCAAGCAGTCAACGATGCCCTCGGCACCGCTCTTGCAGAGGACGAGTCAGTGGTCGTCTTCGGCGAGGATGTCGCTTTTGGTGGTGTGTTTCGATGCACAATGAAGTTGGCCGAGACACATGGTAGCGAGCGCGTCTTCAACACGCCTCTCTCGGAGCAAGGCATTCTGGGTTTCGGTATTGGTCTTGCCGCAGAGGGCATGCGCCCTGTTGCCGAGATTCAGTTTGCCGATTACGTTTACCCAGCCTTTGATCAGATTGTCAACGAAGCGGCCAAGATGCGATACCGCGATGGTGACAACGGTCGCGGCGCTGGTGGCCTCACAGTTCGCATGCCATGCGGTGGTGTCGGCCACGGTGCTCTCTATCACTCACAATCTCCGGAAAGCTTATTCACCCACGTTCCCGGACTCCGCGTCATTATGCCAAGATCCCCTATCCAAGCCAAGGGCCTGCTTCTATCCGCGATTCGCAGCAACGACCCGTGTATCTTTATGGAGCCAAAGATTCTTTATCGCGCCGCCGTTGAGCAGGTTCCTGTCGCCTCCTATGAGCTCCCACTTTCCAAAGCCGAGATACTCAAGGAGGGCAGCAATGTCACGGTTATCTCTTACGGTCAACCTCTTTACTACTGCATCGAGGCCATCCGCCAGCTGGAGGCTCAGCGTCCTGATGTATCCATCGAGCTCATTGATTTGCGCACTATTCATCCTTTTGACAGAGAGACCATCTTTGAGAGCGTTAAGAAGACTGGAAGAGTTATGATCGTTCATGAGGCTTACACGACAGCTAGTGTTGCTTCCGAGGTCGCCGCGGCTATCCAAGAAAACCCCGATACCTTCAATAGACTGGAGGCGCCTGTCCGCCGCGTGGCCGGCTGGGATATCCACAACTCTTTGGCCTTTGAGCGATTCCACCTTCCAGATATCACAAGTACGTTTTGATCGAATACCCGAGAAAGTGCAGGAAGATAAAGCTAACGAATCTACAGGAGTGTATGATAACATCAAGCGCCTGTTGGATTATTAGAGGACAAAGTAATTTTTTTTGTTTAGCAAGACTCCGGCGGCAGTTTATAAAGACAAGACATGCATAGCATGGAAATTAAAGAAGAAGCGCAGGCAAAATCAATATAAGAAATCAAGTCAAGATTATGCAGACTCATACCTAGTATTCGAGCTCCGAACTGTTCTGCGCCTACAGACAATCATCAGTGCTTGTTACCTACCGAGCTTGCCCCTCGCCTTGTTTTGCTGCGGTAACTACTGTGCCCCGCCCTTGTCAGCGCGCCTCCACAGGTTACGCCATCAACTCCTCTCCGTCTTTCGGTCACAAAGTAAGCTGTGGCACGATTTTCGTTAAAACTGCAGTTTGTCGTTGGCGAGAGAATTCATACTTGACAATGTCGCAGCTCGAGACTGTGGCATCCTTCATCGAGGGGGCCCCTCCAGGCGAGGTAAGGCGCCAGCCACCCCTCCTCGCGACTGATTGCGCGAAACTTCGGAAGCTAACGTCCGCCTTTTGCTACAGCTTGCCGATGTCGTTGCCGGTACGCATGTCGTCCACTCTGAACTACGATGTTCATTCGACTTTTCGAGACCAACTAATGCTTTGCACCGCAGACATCAAGACCCTTACTGCCTCGTCCCCGAACCTTCTCTCGCAGCTCGGACCGGCGTTTCAAAAGTACAACGAGGAGCAGCTGATCACGGTGAAGCTGCCCGGAAGCAGCCAATCTGTAGGTGAACTCGAACAGTGTGTAAGGACGGGCCCTGCTAATGCCGCCGCGCAATTCCTACAGGTACTCGTCAGCGAACACAACAGGCTAGGCGACGGTCGATACTACGATGTCGAGAGCTCGTCTAGCTTCGAATTCGACCACACCACACAGGTTCGCGGCAACCAAGACCCTCTAGGATGAATACATTTTAATAGACCTCTGCAGAAAGCTAGCGCTGTACAGAGTCATACCATCGAAGGCGCGCAGGCCGATCTTACGTATGCGATTCTCGAAGATTAAAGTTGTGACGGTTGCTAAAAAAAAGTCTGCAACAGAAAATCGACATTGAAAAACCTGGCGACATACATTTCGGAACACTTTCCGAATGCTGCCTATGGCGTGTACCCGATCGAGTTAGACTCCAAGGTTGCCATAATCATTGTGGCCAACAAATACAGCCCGAATAACTTTTGGTAGAGCATGGCCGTCTTCAGCGCTTCCGTCGCATACAGACTAACAAGTTGGGAATTAGGAACGGCCGTTGGAGATCTGTCTACACGTTCGACCCTTCGTCTGGCTCGCTCGAAGGAACCATCAAGGTGGACGTTCATTACTACGAAGACGGCAACGTCCGCCTGCAGACCAAGAAGCCAGTATCTCTTTCTGTTGCATCGGGTACGGGCGCAGGCATCGCAAAGGGCATTTCATCGACGGAAAAGAAGTATCAAGAGGAGCTCAACAGGGGCTTTGTTAGCCTGAGCGAGGGTGCGTTCAAGGGCCTGCGCAGGCAGCTGCCAGTCACCCGGCAAAAGATCGAGTGGGATAAGGTCACCGGTTACAGACTCGGTCAGGATATCGGGGGCGGTTCTTCGAAGCGATAGTCTCTACGTCAGAGGTACATTTCATAGCCGTGCAAGTCAGAAGCTGGCATATTCGAATCAAATAGCGTCGATTGCTGGAGCTATCCAATTATCGTGGCAGACATGCCATACGAGAGCCAAGGCTAGTGCTGCAGTGACGTGATGAATGCAAGACCTAGTTAGGTAGTATGTGCTTTGTGTCGATGCATCGATTATAGTCGTGATTATATCACTAATGGCTGCCAGGAGTGGCACTCCACTGAAATTTGCCGGTGGGCAACGCATGGGCATGTGCAGGATGAAAGGATGGACGGGATGGTGTAATGTGACAAAGCACACATATGTACGTAGTAAGGTGGTAGAGGTTGTCAAGTCGGTGAAATAAAAAGACAAAGACAGACGGAACCAGGCATATTGACAAACAAAGGCGGTCAGGTAAGGAACTATCGTTGCCGAGCTTGGCTTCCGTGTGATCGGAATCGGGAACGAAGTGCCGTCCGGTTCTTGTGGGAGCAATGCGAATGCGGGGAGTACCTTTGGCCTGGAGAACTGGACACGTTGAGCACATGTGATGATGGAATGGTAAGCAAGGGCGCTGTGGGGTGTTCTCGGGGCTCTACGAGGAGAATCGGCGCAGGCATGATTTATCCATACTGCTACCTATTGCCAAGTGTATCGGTAACTAATAGTGTCGATCGTTGGGACTCGGGGCATCAGCAGAGGTTCGTTTCTCGACCTGCTTGGTGTAATCATCTCTGATTGATGGTGATCTGGCTTCAGCGGATGGGCCGGACGCCGCGGGAAGCATGGGAGCGCTGAATGGACAAAGGGCGCGCTACTTGCAAGCACTGCAGCACTGCGGCTGCAGCCTGACAGCAGTGCTCTCTCCTCTGTTCTGATTCTGCATGTGCAAGCATTTCAGTGATGCGCTGACAGACAGCTGAGAGCCTTCCCACCAAAACGTCTCGGGCATGTTGACGAATAGGAGCCAGCAGACAGTCATTTGCGACATCTCAATTGGCTGCCTCTCACCCCCGCTAAGACAATGTGGGCCATTCGCCGCTCGGTTTTTTTAATTGCAATTGTGGATGGCGCCCTAGTCTGTTGGGACGCTGCCTCAGTGGCCTCAGTGCCTCTAGAGCTTGCTCCCGAGGGCCCCTGTCGCATTGTCGGGCGGGCCTTGCAGGGCACCGAGTGCGCTAGCCGGCCGCTTCAGAGGACCTGGCCCGGGAAAGGCAGACCCTTTTCCCAGAGTCCGTCCTCCGCAGCGCAACCACGCCAGTTCTATTCGTGCTGATCTGACCACTCCTTCATCTCAACCTCTTCCTTTCTTCTCTTCCCCCAGATTCTACTCGTGTCCATTTCTGCGGCTCCCGCCTTTGCGAAACCACTCCTTTCCACGAATCGGCCGACGTCAATCGAATTACCATCCCTTTTCTACCTAAACCCACCCCTATACCCAGCGTTCAACACCGTCAACCGAGGCAAGAAAAAGAAAAATGTCCGAAGTCAAGGAGTTCAGTTTTCAGGATGTTGCCGAGCACAACACAAAGAAGGACTGCTTCCTTGTAGTCCACGACAAGGTCTACGACTGCTCCAAATTTATTGATGAGCACCCGTAAGTCGAAATTCTTCCGACCCGGCGCAACCACGCCATCGCTACCTCGACGCTCCCAAACCTGCCATGCTGACTACGTCTTACCTAGTGGTGGTGAGGAGGTTATACTTGACGTTGCTGGCCAGGATGCCTCTGAGGCTTTCGAGGATGTCGGCCACTCTGACGAGGCCCGCGAGAGTCTTGACGAGCTCCTCGTCGGCACTCTGAAGCGCCAGGTAAGCACCCCAAACAATTGCGCTCGTCGACCCTTCGACAGCCGAACGATGATGCGCATTTTTTTTCATTGCGCATGTTCTGACTTGAGACTTTACAGCCTGGCGACCCTGCTCCCAGAGCCACTCCCGCCGCCAAGACTGCCAACAATGGCAACGCCGACAGCACCGGCCTGGGCATTGGCCTCTACGGCATCGTTCTCATTGGCGGCATTCTCGGATATGTTGGCTACCAGTACCTTCAGAACCAACAACAACAGCAGCAGTCTGCTTAAAATACAACCAGGGTCTTTTCGGATGAGCAGGGTGGTCCCGCTGGCGATGTGATAGGGCAGCTCAAAGCCAACCACGCACGTCATCACTCCGGGATCCATGTCAAAGAAATGTGTTTCAAAATCGGAGTTTGCATATGGTTCAAGCGTTGACCGGTATGAGGTCTCTGTGCCATGTTTGGGCATGATGCGAACACGCGCATTGTGCGACTGGTTTTGATAGAACGGCGCATGCGCAACTGATGCTCCGCCTCCGCGCTTCTCTCTCGATGGTCGAGGTACTGTTTGGCGGCGCATTACAGATAGATGTTGCGAATTAGATACAATGTTTTAATCAATGATACCTGTGGAAATTACTATCAGGGTACAACATGGAGGCTATTGTGCCTGTGCATCCAGATCATAGTTTGTGCACCGTGAATTGCTCCGTGTTCGGTAAATACGCCGGTGAACGCACTAGCCACAGCAATATTCCGCCGCCACAACCGCCAGCCACACCTGCACCACCTCAACGTCTCGAGAGGTGCTACTTATTGGTTTCGACAGTTTCAGCTCCCGACAAAAGTCTCTGTGCTCCTCGCAACACCGTACCTCACCACCCCCGCTTTCATCGGCTGCCAGCACCGCCTCTCGAGTCCATTCATCGATCGCCCAGCCCATCGAACGCACAAAGGAAATCATCGCCAGCAAGACGCTGCTGCCGCCCGTGGTCACCCACCAGTCGTCGCCATGTCTTCCTACTTGGAGAAGCAGTCAGCCGCCTTCAAGGGCACGCTCGCATCGGCAGCGTCCAAGCTCTCGAACCCGATGAGCGTCAAGGCCGCGGCGCTCGCGCCCCCGTCGCCGTCGCCGTCTGCGGCCTCGGACGGCGCGACACCGACGCCGACGGCCAAGCGCAAGAGGGAAGCGCACCCCGAGGTGTACTCGCAGCCGCAGCTGACGGGCTACGGCGTCGACGTCAAGTCGCACATGAAGTTTGCCGTCGACTTTCTCAAGGCCCGCGGCGCGTCCAAGTCGATGAAGGACATCATCGACCACCTGAGCGTCCGCAACACTAGCGACGAGCACAAGCAGCAGCTCGCCGAGGGCCTGCGCGGCCACCCCCGCGTCGAGTGGCGGCCCGACACGAGCTTAAGCGAGCAGACGTGGCAGACCGGCACGTACAGCTACCGGGCCGTGGTCCCCGGCGTGACGGACGCCACGAGCCTGCTCGCCTTTTTGCAGCGCAAGACGGACGCCTCGAGCCTCGCCGTCCGCGACCTCAAGGACGGCTGGCCCGACTGCGAGGACACGCTTGCCCGCCTCGAGGCCGAGCACAAGATCCTCGTCACCCGCACCAACCGCGAAAACTTTCCCCGCCACGTCTGGCTCGACGACGCCTCGCTGCACCACGACATCCAGCCCGAGTTTCAGGCTCTGTGGCGTCGCGTCCAGATTCCCAGCGTTGACGACATGCACCGCAAGCTGACCAACGCTTCGCTCAAGCCCACGAGCGAGGACCCGCGCAAGATTGCGGCGGCGGCCGGTAACAAGCCCAAAGCGCAGAAGAAGCGTGCCAGCAAGCGCGGCGGCAAGCAGACCAATGTTCACATGACGCACCTCTTGCAGGATTATAGCAACTTGCGACGCTGAAGCGGGGAGTTATCATGTTTGTCATTGTCCAGCTTGGTCATGATGAAGATGAGTGATGCGAGGAGGGCGTCTTTGTTTGTGTTGAACGTAGGGAGAAGCGGGAGCCGGAGCCGGAGCGAGAGTGCGCCAAGAAACGAGAATGGGAAAAGTGTGTGTTATACGGGCATCATCATTTTGTGCACTTGGGGGTGACTGGGTGCTTACTATCATGGCGTTTGTCGTCTTTGTGTTTTTTTCCTCAAAATTACTTGCATATACCTCAGTCTGTCACATCGATTCTCTTGAAAATTGAGAGCACAAGCAAGAGAGAGAGCAAAGGACTGGGACTGGGAATAGCGGGCGTTTAGGAGTCTCTGATACTGCACCGGCCACTAGTCCGCCCAAAATATTTAGAAAGTATCAGTACAAGATTTTTATCATTGCATCAAATCAGGATTTTAAGAAAAAAAACTGTGGAAACCTCTTATCGCGCCCTGTGGTAATGCTATGCTCCAAACCATGCGTGCAGCGCTCTAGCCACTCCGCAATAACGCCATGCAATGACATGAAGTTGGAATCGCAGCGGCAAGCTTTGCTCATTCTTGTTGAGCAAAAGCCCTGAAATTGTGCGTAGGTTTGTTCAGGATCGTAAATAGATTGATCCTGGTAAAAACCTGGTTCGATTGCTCGCGTTGGCGCGCGCTGACAGTGTGAACTGACTCGTTCAGCATCTTCTGATCTGCACTCTACTGTTAATAGTGGAATGTGATGTGGTTTGGTAATCAAAAGCTCGACCTAGTTTCAACTTTGCGACCAGCTCATATCTTATCTCAGTAATAGTATCAAGTGTCCCAGGATACTACGACTAGTCCAATAATGTCTGCCTTGATGTTTATTCCAAGACTCTGCCCTTTAGTTCCTCAACTATGAGATATCTCATAGTCAAGAGTTTCTCCTGCGAGAAATGGGGTCATCATCACAATAAGGATCATGTCTTTTGTCATTGGCGTTTACGAGCTCGACCACAGGCCTCAGTCAGCACGCGTGCAAGCCCAGACGTTATAGTAAATGTGCACAAAATTTTAAAGTTCAGAAGTCTTCATCAAATCGCTAAATCAAAGTAGGTTCATATAGTAGGCAGCAAGACTCACAGAGCAGCGAGGCTGGTTGCTGCTCCATCTCGTACCGGAAAACCCCCGAAAGGGCACAAACAATGTCTCGCAAAACAAGGTGTAGGCAGGAACTGTGGACTAATAGAAGAAATAAAAGAAAATCAAAGAGAAAATTGAAAGAATAGTTGGTATTTGAAAGCCCGCTGAGATGCCCAAACCGCGCCGATGTATCCTTTGAATGGCTTTGTACGATGTATAGTCTGCTATGAATCAAAAAGTTAAACGAGAAGAAGAAGAAGAAGAAGAAGAAGAAGAAGAAGAAGAAGAAGAAGAAGAAGAAGAAGAAGAAATCAAATCATGACAGTTTCCTCAAAGCAGCCAATGTGTCAAAGTGCTTTTTTGTGGTGAGGTCATGGTGCATCGATACATATTGTCGCATAATACTGGCAGATGATGTAAATGGTGATCCGAGGCGCACACTCTTGCCTTTCTCCATCACGCCAGCTTTTCCTCGTAAATCTTGTCAAACAAGTCGGTAAAGACTTGCGCGTCCTGAAAACCGCCAACCTTGAAGCGCCCCAGGACCGTCACGCACGGCACAGCCTCGATGCCGCGCTCCTCGCGCGCCGCCTCCACCTCGCGATCGATGCGGCGCGTGGCGTCGTCATCAGCAAGCTCCAAAAACACATCCTCCCTGTCGAGCCCCAGCCCATCCGCCGCAATCTGCGCCAGCACCTCCGCGTCGGACAGGTCCCTCGCGGCGACGAGCCCGTTGCGCATGAGCAGCTCCACGAGCAGCGCCTGGGCCTGGCGGCCGCCGCGACGCTGAGCCAGCGCGACGAGCTTGTGGGCGTCGCGCGTGGGGCCGATGCGGCCCGAGTGATCAAAGGCCGGCAGGCCGTGGGCGCGGCCGGCGGCGCGGACGCGCTCGAGCTGCGCGCGGAGCTTGGCCTCGTCGGGCACCGCGCTGCCGTAAAAGTCGAGCGTCTTGCAGCTGGAGCGGAGCATGGGCGCAATGTAAAAGGGCCGCCAGTGCACCTCGAATTCAACCTCGGGGTGCCGCGCGACGAAGCGGTCCATGGCGGCTGCGAGACTGCGCATTTCAATGTAGCACCAGGGGCAGATGAAGTCAATGTAGACCTCGAGGGGGATGAGCATCCGCTGCGTCGACACCTGTGGGATCAGCCGGCTGCTTCCCTGGTCCTGCCAGCCAGAGACGTCCCAAGGCGTTACGGAGGCGGCGGCGGCGGCGTCGTCTATGGGCTTGTGCCGCATCATGGGAAAGTGGCTGTTGGGTGTGGCCGTCGCGGTCGTCATGGGAATTAGTAGTAGTGAGTTTGGTGTTTCTGAAAGGTGGCACCTCGTCAATAGACAGGGGAACCGGCCTTTACGAAGAGGACAAATCACCAACGACGAGCTTGATGAGTTGTGCGTTGCAATGGCCACGGGCGTCTGATAACGCGTAGGCCTAAGCTTTGTCGTCGAGGTGGCCGTGTTGTTGATATGGTCAATGTACAGATTTAGCAGCCTACTTCCGGCTCTTGACTGTAAACGACACAGACTTTTTCTTGCTTTTAGCCGTCTCAAGAATTCGTTGCTGCTGGTTTCCTTCAACAAGAAGATCGGCGGGTGGCGCGTGTTTTGCCGCAGAGACTGTCGGATGGGCGCGGCTGCTGTTGTTCTTATGCAAGAGCGCACGTCACACGGAAGCCGCGAAATCGGAAAGACGTCTAATAAAAGGTCCAACGAAAAGTGCTTGCCCAATGCGCAGAGCCGACCAAGATGGAAAACCTGCAAGTTGACCCAGAGTCTTTGCTTGGGCGTGAATGTGTCGGTGGAAAAAGCAGTAGTCGCCGTCAAGGTCGTCGAGACGATAAGAAGATCAAGAGCTCGCCTGCCTAACAAGGCTTGACTGACCTCGAATATTACGATATGTGGCGTGGTTCTTGTGGCAAAAGGTTTGCTAACGACCGTGTTAGTGGGCTGATCCGAGTTCGCGTCCCCCACAATTACTCAAGCTGGTGCAGAGTAAGCTTTGGAAGTTTTTCCTACTTCAGTCATGCCTACCCTTGATGATGGAGAGTAAAAGAGAGCGAATCGCTCGAGGAGTGTGCGAGTAGGAGTAGTTGTATCAAGCAAACGGGAAGCCGTCGTTGGAGGAGGGAGAAAAGATGGGCCGGCGGATGGCGGGGGGAAGTTGGGAGAGACAAGGACCCTACAAGGATGTGAATGAGACTCGATTCATTTCATATGGGCCGAGTACTAATTATTAAATGCACAGGTTCCACTGTCTTTTATTTTTATTTCTTCACTTTCTGCGCGCCCGTCCGCTGCTGGGTTGGGCTGAGCTAGAGGGGCGCTTGTAGCAGAGGAGGGGTGTGTGTGTCAAGCTAGAATCCGTCCGACTCTCAATGAAGTATCATCACTCCTATGAAAGCACCAATATTGACTGCATGGTAAGCTAGTGTAATACCAGACTCTGTCTTTTGTCTTATCTTGTGGCACTGTCAGCGTCGCTGTATCTTCAGCCTAATGCTTTGTCAAAGCAACAACCAAACGCAACCGAGCATCCTAGATAACACCGCTGCCCGTCGTCTTACCATCCAGACTACACAAATACTGACCATCTGTCAACTAGGAAATTGGGTTGGTGGACAAGCGGGGTTCGCAACAACTGCAGCAACTTGTTTGGTAGAAGCGTCTCTAGTCGGACGCTATACAAGGGCGAGGGGTGGCATTTGACTGGATCTCGGCTTCACACCCCAATCACTCTTGAGTACTAATCGTGGCCCGTGTTTGACAGACTTTGCCGCGGCATACTGCGATTTGGTCCGTGTATAAAAAACAAACCACCGCGGCGGCGGGAGATGACAATGCAATGCATCATGCAGTCAGCCCATCTCTGCCGAATATCATCACATCGTTTGCCTGTTGTCTGTGTGAAACCGACACGGGTGGCTTAAAGATCACAAATCATTTAATCGGGCTAGATTTTGAGTGGCTCGAAAAATTATAGCTTGTGGCAGGGGGGTGTGAACTGACCGCAAATGTTGACAAAACATTTATTCAACCACACGTGGTAAGAAAGAACTGGAGAAATTTGGGAGAAAAACAGAGCTAATTTAAGGTTGGCAAGAAGAGCGAGTGGCCAACGTAATAAAGCCCCTTTTCTACATATTACGAGACAATACTTCGAATGGCAAAGAGCTCAAACGTTTGGAGATATTCAAACCATGGCGTTCCGCAGATCCAACTACGACACAGTGTGCCTGATGTTTTGACAGCACAAAGTAGAACCATGGCCAGAGGAGCTTGCTGCCGAAATTTCTAGTGTTGCGCTAGATAACTACCTAGGGCAAAACGGCCTGGTACCTACCTAGCCTAGGTAGCGACGGCCGAGGACGACGACTGAACCGACCCTCGGCGGACAATCTAGATTTCGAGTCACGTTGGAGTGGTCCTAATGAATCGAATATGCTGTTTTTTCCCTTCTTCTTTGCATGTAGACGTGGGTGCGGGTGTTTGGCAGTTTTGGCAGTGAAAGCTGCGACAACTCAACGGTACATCAGGCTACCAAGCGGCAAGGCTATCAAATACGACAAGGCAGGCTCTGTGGAAGTAACGCTGCGGAGAAACATTGAATCTCAAATCCAATATCAAAACATTTGGACAGAATCAATTACGAGGTTATCCCTGTTCGTTTCTTTCTTTTTTTCTTTCTTCTTCTTTTTTTGCATGCGATGATGGGCCATTATTCCGGTGTCGCCACAAGCGACGGAAGAAATGTTCCGCTGCTCCCCGTGGGCATTACAAGTCTTGGGCCTGTCAATGTCGACAACCGTAACGGAAGGCGACTTTGACTGTTCGTCGTCGCCTACGGATCGAAGCACGGAGCTTTAGTTCCGAAATTGCGGGTTGCGGTCAACAAAAAGGCAAAAAAGACAAGACAAGAACGTCAAGGTGAGACAGCTGCCAAGACCCTGGGTCGAAGCCCGGCGAAGAGACAGAAAGGTTCTGCAGGGACCCTGAAAAGAAAACGGGGAAAAAAAGATGAGATATGATGTAACAGGACAAAGAAAGGAAAGTTAACCCAGGGCTCTGGCCCCCTGTCTGGTGAGGAATGCAGATGGGCACGGCCAACCCCCCTGCTTCTCACGACTGCCTAAACAGGCAATTAGAATGGTGCAAGCTGTATTTCTGATTTGTATTCGGCGACTGCTGCGTCGGATAATGCCACAGAACGCCACCGGCTGCAGCCACGAAGCAACTATCAGCTGTTTTTTGCAGCGGTTTGCTTTTCCTCTTCTCTTTGTGTCTTCCTGAATCGAGAACCGTTGGGGAACCGCTGGTACGTACCTTTTTTTTTTTTTGTTCCTGATTTGGAGCTAGGCTCCGAAAAGTGAGGCAACAGCTTTTCTTGGCAATTTGACCGTCGTCGTTGCTTCCAACTGATTAGTAGACGTACATGAGCAAACCTCGGAGCTATCGTTCCGGGCTCCTTCCCATAAAGACGAAAACTTTAGCATCCAGAGGGCACGCGCGCAAGAGGTTTTGAGCAATTTCTGGTGACTTGTCACAACGGAATGCAGATTGATCGCGTCAACGCATCCGGGGGAGAACTATCCCGGTTTCTCTCCCCCCCACTACGAGAGCAACAGTCGTCATCCTCTAAGGAGACAGACGCCCGCTCCAGGCCTTTACTTGGCGGGCGAGGGAGGTTTGGCCAAGGATGCTTTGTCGGTTTCTGAAATGATCGTCGAGCGTCATACACGGCGGCCACCACTTTTGCTTCCGTCCCACGACAAAGTTTAAACATGGCGGAATGGCCAGAGGCCACGAGAGCCAATCGTTCGCTCGGACAATCCTCCGAGGTGTGTATGGAGCAGTCTCGTCCGCAGACCTCACCTTCCATTCAAGCGTAACATATCGCGGCCAGGGCGGGGAGTAGCCGTGCTGAAGCGGGGGTAGTGCGACAAAACGGGCCAGGGTCAAATCGTGATTACAATTCATTTATTCTCGGGTCATCAGGCTCTAATATGTAAAGTAAATCATGATCGCTGACCGCTATGCAGCCGTGTAGAGAAACGACCAGGGTCGGTGGATGTTTATTAATCCTGCATCGCACTGAAAGAGAGAATATGGGTTAGCGCCCAAACACTCACTTGCCCTCTTTGTTCCCCAAGGCTGAAGCCTACTACCCAATTGTTCTTGTTCCGTTGCCGCCTTATGGCCGAAACGCAGATACGAGTTCTTGCCAGACCTTCTCTTGAAATCATCTGATGCATACGACGTTTTTCGTATCGAACCCGAAGCGCTCTACCCTAGCTTTACTTGGCGGCATTGGCTCCGTCAAGCGCCATCCATGGCTTCTTTCATTCTTGAGGCGAGCAAATCAATGCTTTTTCCGTCTTGCCTTGCTAGTGCTGCGAGATGATGAGCACATGAGGTTGAAATAATCGTGCGATTGGATCCCGATCACAACTCCTCATGCCCTCCAAACGTAGCATTGCAGCCGCCCGGGGGGGCTGCAATGCACGGCACTGAGGTCCGCCAGCTCAACAGCACACTCAATCCACGTTCATCTTCTCACCAGGCACAATCAAGACAGCTTCATGGCATCAATTCAGCTTTAAATTCGTCGAGTGAAGTGGGATTGACGGTATTGTCAATGGGTTGCAAGTTGGTACCATGTACAGCCTCAGCAAAAAGAATTGCTCCAGGGCAACGTTTGGGGCACCAGCCTGTTTCAAATACTTGACAAAAGTCTTTGCAACAAAGTCCAGGATACTCTTTACTTTCTGGGTAGTACCAGCCGTGGGGCTGGAATGCAACAGATGCCGTTTTTGGCATCAAAAAGGGTTGCGCAAATCACGCTTCACAGGGATGTTTCATCGACATCGATCAGGGGATCCTGAAGCAGCAGTTCAGCCTTATCAGGAGTACTCACCCGACGACCCGTGAAAAGACGTGATCCGAGACCCAATCAAACTAAAAAAATATTAGCGATTGAAAAGCTTCGAGTGGCAATTACAGCCGGATCAACACGTCATGACGGAGCAATACGGGCAAGAATGAACAAGTTGCGTGAGGAGAAGCGCAGTCACTGCAAGGTCACTTCTTGTGAATTGACAGCCTCAAAACATCATTCTTTTCTATTAATATCCCTTCCTTTTATATGTACTTACTTTTCTTCATTCTCATACTCATATTCCTATTCACGTCATTCTTCTTCACGTGCATTTGATCCTTTAAATTGTTCTACGTACCGGCCCAGAAGCAAACACATCACTGACAGTACTGGCAGCTAAGCCAGATCCAAATTGAGACGTTGCAAACATGCGACTTCGTATTGAGGGTATAGAATTTGTAAGTGAGATTCCAAGAGAGAGGGAGAAGGAAAGAACAAAAAAAACGGAAACCATCAGTCTAAAGCTTCGCCATCGATTCCGAACCATGGTACCACTTCCTGTCCCTCTTTTTTTTTTGAATGACAACTCGGAGGAACCCAAAGATAGCTCACACATAAAAATGGGGGAGAGAAAGTATTAAAAAGTTCGTCAGGTGCCAATGATGGGAGGAAAAAACAAAAAGCAAAGAGCCTAATTCGCGCCGAATGTCATCAATGAAAAAAATTGAAGTTGCCTTGTAAACCCCCGTAGTCTATTAATTCGTTGCTGGAAGATCAGATGCATGAACATGAGAGAAATGTGATAAAGAGATAAAGGAGAAGATAGGGGGTCGTCCACGCTCTGAAAAGGCGGTCGTGATTAAAAACATTGTAATAAAATAGTAGTAGCGTATGGTGATGCGAGTGTTGGTATTCAATAGTCAGGTGACATGCACTTGTCATCTGATACTCGCGATGAGGGCGCTCGCACATACTGGGTGCAAGGCACATCCCCACGCATTGTTATATGAGCGTGGGTACCATGTCGCCGGCGAAGAAAGTGCAAAAGGGGGTATCACACTCCAACCCAATCTATAGCCTTCCAAATGTTGATGTACAGCAAGTTTTCGAGTTTGGTTTATGCGTTTTGGTTGTCGAATCTTTCTGGAGCACGACTTATCCAAGATGCTGGTTCCAGTTGATTCACCTAGGCCATGTGGACCAGCCCTGGTTCAGTGCTTTGAGGTCGTCGCATCTGCGGCGGCGGGTTATAGTACATTTGATTCATGGCAGCCGCGCTTGGGGGATAGTTATCAGGATCGGGATACGCGTAGCCGGCGGCAGCATTCTGGGCAGTCGATTGTAGATGGTGAGACGGTGACTGTAGATGATGGTGCGACGGCGACTGGAGATGCTGTGACGGCGACTGAAGATGCTGCGACGGCGACTGCCAGCCCATGCTGCTCATGTGAGGGCTGCCGCCAGTGCTGCCATTTGAGCCCTGCTGGTGGTGCTCCACGCTGGGCTCAAGAGTGGGCGGCGGCACATAGTTGGTGGGATGCGAAGTTGGGCGCATTCCACCAGGGTTGCTGTAACCGCTCGCTGTCGAAGCGGGGCTGCCAACTCGCAAGTGAGCGGGTAGCGGCCCTCCTTGCTGAAGATACTGGAATTCGGCGTGGTGCCGGTTAAAGCCAGCTCCCAGGTCCATGCCGGGAGACATGGACATGGCTCGCTGTCCGGGCGACGGTGTTGTGAGCGGCGAGCCGTGGCTGGAAAGGTGATCGCCATCGGAGCGAGGCTGGACAAGGTTCTTGGGGTTGGCACTCGCCAGGGCAGCAGCTCGCGCTACTGCCGACTGCTCGACAGTGCCGATGTGGTTGCTCTTGTGACGCGTCAGTGTCGTCTTTCGCGTGAATGTCTTTTGGCAGTCGGCAAATGGGCAGACGTAGGGACGCTGGCCGGAATGTGTTCGTCGATGTCTGGCAAGAGAGCTGCTGTCGCCAAACTTTTTGCCGCAGGTCTCGCACTGGTGCGGCTTCTCACCAGTATGAACACGCTTGTGAACGGTCAGAGCAGACCTTTGGATGAATTGTTTCCCGCAGACATCGCAAGAATGAGGCCTGTTTCCAGAATGGATGCGTTCGTGGCGGCTGAGATCGCTTCGGCGGGCAAAGGCGCTGTCACAGGTACTACACTGATGTGTTTTTTGCTTCTTGCCATCGTCGACGGGATTGGGAGGCTGCATGTGCGTCATGGCCATGTTGGGAACAGCGGCCATGTGGTGCATGTCAGGAAAACCTTGAACGTGCATGGTCGCGGGCATGGAGCTTGGGATCTGCATGGGTGCGTGCATGACAGCGGAAGAGTGGTAAGATCGCGGCATGCTATGGGCGGAATAAGTCGAGTGATCAGACATGTGTGGCGAATTTGAGCGATCCATGTCGGGCTCGGGCTTGCCAAAGGCAAGATGGTGTTGTTGATTCATGAAGTCGTTTGCAAAGTGATGGGGGTGTTGTACGATGGTGCCTCCTCTGTTATTCAGCACGTTCGTCAAGTCCATCGCCTGGGGGAGCACAGATAGCATCACAGAGCCTGAACCGTACACAGAAGGAGTGGTGTGTTACGGTAGACGGGGATAGCCGAGGGCTGCGATGCAGGCTGAGCCAGAGTGGCAGTTTACACGCCAGACTGAACTGTTGGCGCGTGAGCCGACAAGACGTGTATGTATGTGCTGAGATGGATACGAATGCGCAGGACGTGGGGATCGTAGCAAGAGAGTTGACGTAATCGGAGGTTTCGCACAACGAGATCGATCGTGGAATTGAGCGCACGGGGTCAGGTTCTCGGAGGATGTGCGTGTGCGGCGTAGCACGGAGAAGAGCGCAGAGGACACGGGCTGGCCGATGCCAGGTATAAGAAGCGGGCAGTGACGACCAAGGTGGAAGTCGTGAAGTTGTGGTGGCCGGGAAGCAGAAACGAGTGGTGCAGACGATGAGACTAGGCAATATTATGTCTCAGACGAAGCAGGGCAAGCCAGCGGCAGCGCGTCGAGATGGAAGAATGACGACAATGAGGCCGCGGGCGAGGCAAGCGGGAGACGACGAGCTCTGCGCGATGCAAAATCTTGTTCGAGGCACGCGAGGCGATAAAGATTGAATCCCGCCGCTAGGGAAGCGAAGATGCAGGAGGGCTAGGCCAGGTCGAGAGTCGTCTGGCTGGCGATGCGATTTGTCGGGCAGGAATGGACAGTGTGAATGGCTAGGTAGAGGCTGCGGAAGCGGTGCGGACTAGCCGACACAAGAGGGTGTCTGATTTTTTGCGAGTCAGTCTGGGTGGTCAGCCACGTCGCCACTGGAGCACCGCGATGATGATACGAGCGAATGAGACACGACGACTAAGATGAGTAGAAGAAAAACCAAGGAAATGAAGGTGAGAAGGAAAAAAAAAAAGGAGAGAGAGGAAGAAGAAATTGATTCGGGAAATGCCCTACTGGAGCAAGACACTGCGAGAAAGTTCCCTTGAACCAGGACGGCTGTAAAAGACGAAAAGGGTCGTGGCTGCAGAAAAGAAGCTTAGTCTGATGAAGCTAGCCGGTAAGCCTGGGGTCTAACTTTGATATCCTTTTTTTTTTCTTTTTTCCTCGTGCTTTCCTGATCGTCTTGGCTTTCTTTTATTTTTCTGGCCGTGTCTTTGGATCTTCTGTAGCCGCCCTGTCGGGGCCGTGGGCACGCTTTATGTCAGGCGCGACAGGGGGGTTCCAGGGTTGGGCGGTGCCTGGAGCTGGAAGAGCTGGGAGCGGGCCGGGGGTTGAGGGGGCGCCTGGGGGGTGGTTTGTAGTGGGTATAAGGTCAAGAGTGGGCTCCAAGTATCTGTAAGTCAGGGTACGGAGTACAGTGTACTGATTTTGTTGCGGTGCAGCAAACAAAAGACGGGGTCACCGGTACAGACACCGCTGCCAAGGTAAAAAGAGGTCTCACTTGAGAAGGCGAAACTTGGGTAGGCTTTCGTACAGAAATAGAATTGTAAACAATCAAGTCAGGTCTTTTTTTCTTTCATACTTTCTTTCTTTCTGTTCCTGCATTGCATCTCATTCCCCTCAAATTACTGGCAGGATCCAGATGGGTGATGGGGTGGGGGAGGGGGCCACTGTACGACAATGCCTCGAGTTTCGAGGTAAATAGACAGATGCTTGACCTACTTTTAGTTAGGCAAGGAACCAATTTGGCAAGCAACTACCAAGGTAGGTAAATAGAAACGTCAAAGGGAAGGCGTCAAAGGCAGGCGAAAAGCGTGCAGGGGTCTCGCCGCGGCGCGAGCAGAAAACGGCGTCGGGCAGGCAAAAATAGGGACAGAGAGCAAACACGCCTGCTTTGCTCCCACCAGCACTTGCTGGACAAGTCACCAAGGTTGCGACGTGGCGTCCAACCAAATCACTTGATAACAAGGCAGCATGGCAAACAAGACAGAAGATCCGAACCTTCGGGACCGCAGCCGCTCCCTCCTTGTTCCCGCGTGCCGGCCTGTCTCGCCGTAATCTTGCCCGTGGACCGTCCACCAACAACACCATCTTTTGCCGGTCCGCGGATGCGAATGCCATGGGCAAACGGCAAACGCTCACAGGGCTGCAAACCCAGCCGTTATCCAGAGTGCTGCACATCACGACGGGGGCGCCGCCAGCAAATGGCGTCACGGCACAGCGGACATTGAACTCGATGAAAACAATCAGAAACAACTTACCGACTTTCAGTCGACCCTGTCACGCCTGTGTCGTGGCAGCTTGGCAAGTGGGCAGCTTCAAAAGATCCTGTCCCTGGTTATTCTGTCTCCGGTCCGCTGCCGCCAAGTCGTCCGTGGTTTGCCTTGACTCTGTGTTGGCAATCGTCCGGGGATGTCGATCTCTGCCCGCTGGGTCAGATTAATTAACTCGTGAAGATGATTCCGACTCTCGTTGGTCTCGGCCTGTTCCACGTATACACAGCGATCACCAGACACGGCTGAAAAGTACCGCGTTTTGAGTACAGGCAGTGAAAATATTCGTGTCAAAATAGATCTGTATGCGTAAAAACTACTTCCAACTGCAACTCAACAAGTAATACTGAGTAGCCGTATCTCTGCATTCCCCAAGGCGGGCAATCTGACTTGTTATAAGCCATGGCCGCGCTCTTCACCCATCCGACTGTTACTACTTCGATAATTCCGTCGCTGCGAGGTGTGCATCCAGGAACAAGGGGCCCTGCCCTTGCCCTTCCGGGATGTCTGCAACTATTTGCGCCAAAGCACTCAGCATCACAGCAAGCACAGGTAGTCACGGCAGGCAAATGTGAGGCCAAGCCAAATTGACTTGACTGCGTACGAATACATTGTTTTGTTGATAACATTGATTTCTACCAAGTAGTTATACCAACTCACCGGTTTGACAATTGTATCAGAACATATCCCCTAGCCAGCCAAGTGCGCATGCTTTGGATTCCAGGACGAGCGATCCTCCTAACATCAGTGTCACTGTAGTCTGTGAGTCCACCTCGTCCAAGCATATCATATCGTCGCTCCTCCTCTCTTTCCTCCCGACCCACCCCGCTTGGTTGAAACAACATTCAAGGACAAAAAATACGTTGGGGCATGTCATGTTACAGTTCCTCTGCAGCAGTAGGTACTTCTCTCTTGCAGGTCTCTTTACTTTCTTGTCTTCCCTTTCTTATCACAATTAGTGCGGATTTACCCACGCACACCTTCTGTACCTCGTAAGTGCCCCGTACCCGCCTGCGCCAAGGGGGACCCGCTGACTATCAGGGACCCGTCACTGTCGCCGCCATTCCCACGAAAGCGGTAACCACCCCAGCGCCCAGGAGAGATCATGCAAGTATTTGAAAATAAGTCGAGTCCGGCCTTGTCGGTTCCTATGCCTGACTGGCACTGTCAAGTATTAGACCTAGTTGAAACTGGCCACTAAGTAGTTGGGGATGCCGGTTTCTGGAATGCTCCAGTGCTGTTCAGTCCTACAACCTACCTACCTAGATGCATGTTCTACCATAAAATTACACTCTCATCATCCCTCTGCGCGCTGCTGATTGACAACCTCGTTGTCAGTGGCCTCGGATTTTGCCATGCTCTATTCTGTGCGACCTGTTGACGTCTTAGACCGTGCCGACTCAACCTTTCTTTTTCCTTTTGCCCATGCCAAGCGCGTTGGTCACCGGTCTCGGGTATGTGATCATACTGGTATGCCCAATCGAGTATCCAACGCGCACTGTGCCCACTACACTTGCCAACCGGCCACCTCCCCACTTGTGATTCCATCAAACATCCACAGCCACGACTCGTTTGCATCACAGCATCTATTTCGTTGATGGCTTCATGCGATCTCTATTTGTTTGTCGCTGTTCTTATTTGGGCAGTAGACGTTACCGTATATTATGTGACTGATAGACTTACGACAAGCATCTCCGGTCAAAGCAATGCTACTACTGTGTTCGCCCGTTTGCAGCGCCACTCTTCTAGGTAGATACACTGGTATACCTTGTTTGCACAGCCTCTTTGCCATTTTACTTCTTCTAATATTTTCAAGGTCCAGCATTTGCTCATCAATGCCCCAAGTACAGGCTTCTCATGATTTTCAGCGCAGAATCGGCCTTATGCCGGCTACGATAACTCAGTCACCCTCAAGGAGATCGGCTAATCCAGTATAGACCATCACCCCAACATTTGCCTAGCTTACCTGACCCTGCCGGACCAGAAAAGCGCCGAATTAAACGACCGCCACATCGATCAAATTTTACCAGTGCGCCTTTGCATTTTTCCCACGCCAAACGCCAACTTTCTCATCGTGCTGGTGTCAACCGGCAATGACACGCTTCCACCATGTGGCCAGTGCAGAGCTGGGTGCGATTGAGATCTTCCCTGTGCCTTGCAGAGGTCTGTGCTTGACAAGTCGTCTTCGGATGGTTCCAGGTCCTCAAAACTTGCAGCACGAAACTCGCCAGACCGACCCACACCTACAGGGACCGGGTGACGCCTGGATGTTACTGGCAATACTCGCTCTCATTGTCAGAGGCTTCGGTCCCCGATGTCTATCTCAAAGACGACACGGATTGAGCGTCGTAATATTTGCCTTGACGAGGGCTCTCGAAATCCGTTGGCGATGTGCACCACATCGACACACGTCCCTCTTCGCTACGGCATCAGCCCTACCCCTCATCAAGTCCACACTGAACGCGCGACTCCCGGACCTGCGCCATTGGAAAAACGGCTCACACCCCTTCTCCTGGACTACCGGCTATCGCCAGGTCTACCGTAAGCTGGCGCTCTTGGGCGCACCGCAACCCCTCGCCCGCGGTACTTCGTAGACATACTCCCACTGTGGCTGAGTGGCTCGTCTTACCGCCGGGATTTGACTCTAGGCAACTGTTTAAAGTACGGATTATCGACTCGTCATATCGGCGTACCCGCAGATCGACCAAACGGCGGTGATATTTTTCGCTACAAAGAGTGAATCCCGACTTGTCAATGCTTGCAGACGTGAATCCTGCCGCGGCCGATTCGGAGAAAGCGATGCCCTAACTGTCCATGTGGATTGAACAAACGGATGCCTTGACAATGGATGGGCGCAAAGACGAGTGCGTCGCCAGGCCGTAATTTCATGCTTCGACTCCACCAGCGTTGTATGGCGCGCAAGCTTGCCTATCACCCTATTCAACGTCTGCCCAGTTCATGATTTCGTATTCGACTCAAAAAGGCTGAAGCCAGGTGGGTGGTGGGTTGCGAGAATCATTTCTTGTTGCCTAGTTGGCTGTGTGGAGAGGCCGAAATGGTGTCTGCGTCACTCGTCCAGCCTGGGACTAGCTCCACCTGACAGCCTTCTAGAAGCCATTCATGCGGCACCCTCCTGTCTTGGCCCACCATTGACCGATCGTCACGCGTCAGCCAGTCGCAGTCCGTGAACCTGGCCAAGTACGGATCCCGAAGCCTCTTTTTTGCGTCCAGGATGCAGACCCTGGTCATCTTCATGCATATTCTTCCATCGGCCTTCGAGAATTGTCGCCAGTGGTGCCCAGCACATGGAGGCAGCCACAGCGCAATTGTGGCTGCATATGCGCGACCTACCTTCACCTACTGGTATTTCTTTCCGGCGACAAACTGCTTTGTCAAGGTGGATGCAGCAAACCAGCCATTGCCTTGCTGGGCGTGCTGGGCTGCCGAAATGTTGCTAAAAGTAGCATGCAAAGTTATCATCCACTTATTATCTCGCGAGCTCATTCACAGGAGCCTCCACCGCTATTGCGCTGCTTTCTCCGCGCAATCTAACTAGTCAACTAGTTACCAGAGGCAAACTTTTGCAGCCCTCCTTTTCTTGACTCGATTAAATCATAACCCACTGGCGGCTTCTCGTCGGTCAAGTACCGGCGTCCATCAAGCGGCCGAGACCTGTCGAGCGGCACGTCTAGTTTGTCGCAGGCAATGCTCTAGTTATTTACCGGCCTTTACAATTGAATTTAAGCGATTGGTCTTGGCCTTGGTATCCTTTCGGCCCTACGTCCTGTGCGCTCCAGCGAACAGAATTTAGCGGTGCCAATCTTGAGCTAGTTTCAGGTCATGGCGCCACTGGAACACGCCGACTCCCAGTGCCAAGGTGCTTCGAGATGCTTGTAAGGTGCCCGCCTCCGCCTCGTGGCTGCAATGGTACAACCTGACCACTGCATGAAGTGAGCGCACAACCCAGCCCTATTAGTTCCACCCATTGCTCAATACGCTCATGAGCCTGCTTTCGTTCATATTTAGCATATGAATAGAATTCTCATGCAGCTAAGATCTCGCCGTCGACATTCGCCTGTGAAAATCAGATGGCTCAGCATGGAAATCATTGTCGGGCTCCGTGTGAGACGTCCATTGTTACTTACTGTTCCTGGTGAGGTCAGCAAAGCTTCAGGCTCGATTCTAGCCCTCAATGCTCGCTGCTACTCGCTCGGTGTTGCTAGACGTTCAGATCGATTACGCGTATTAGAGGATACCCTTTCATCTCTGACTTCCAACTTGCTACACCAAGTTCACGCTTGCAACTCATGGCTGGGCTTGATATGCGATATGCATGCCTCACACTTCATTTTCAAGAGTTTCTTGATCCTGAACATGCAAGTCAGAGGACAAAGGACCATGCTACTACTACCTCTGCCCAGCATTAATAGCTTGCACGCAACATGCTGCCCCAAACGAAGCATAGCAGTACGGGGGCTTGTGTCAGGATCCGACCGTTTGTTGTCAAGATCGGCTTACGCGGGTCTTGTATAATTCACTGGCCTATCTGCGCCCCTTCGTTAGCATCTTGCTCAGTCGACATGCTTGGTAAATCCGCCGTGTCTATCCACTGGTCGTGTCTACGCTCTCAGGGTCTCTGACCTGAATCTTTAAGCAAGGGCTGCAAGCAATGTTGAACAAGCGGTTCATCTGTGACCCTTTCAAATAACCAAAATGTTGATTTGCCACTCGAAACAACGCTGCCTACGACTTCTAATGCGTCAAGCTGTCGGTTGGTGGACATAGTCTCCGTCAAGATGACCGAACGCTGACACTCTCAAGTCACTTCATTGCCCGACTATAATGCCTTGTACTTCATCGTCTACCTCTCCCCAGCCTTGCATTACTAGCATGCTGATGACGCCGTGAGCATCATTTCGGCGAGACGGCATGTAAGCGGCCGCCAGGACCATCTGTATCCGAACCCTTTTCGGCCAACATTCTGACAGCTCGGATCTCTGATCTATGAGTCATTGCGCAGCAGTATATGGCAGAATCCAGTTACCAGTCTCCCTGTTGTTGGTAAGGAGCCGCCGCCAATGACAATAGCCTTCTGCAACCGGACACGTTGTTGACAACAACATTCGGCCACCATTAGGCGCTCGGTTTGCCAAAGGAGCTGTGCCCTCTTCGGAAAGTACAACTCCACTCTTACGTATGAGTTGAAAGCGATCTTTGTCCCACTCTTGCTCAACGCTTGTTTGATCACTCGACAACCGGCCAAGTGCAGACTGAGAACGAGGATTGGCAAAGACGCCATAACTGTACGCACACGACATGAAAGTTGGCCGGTCATTCATGTATTCAAAAAGGTTCAACTTGTGGTGAAACAATTCGGAAGTCTAGTGGGGTCCGTAATTTGCCACTTGCCAAATGGCCCCCTTCGTTTGCCTCTAGCTGGATGCTGTCGCTGTTGGGGCGGTTGGAAGCCGTTTGTTTGCGTTGTCACTTACAAAGAGAGAAATTGCAATGTCCGCACTCTCCAAAGGAAATGCTATCCTCGTGACTTTCTAGCGCAACGCCTCCAACAAAGCCACGATAATTGGCCGAGACAAATTTCTGTCCATCAGTCGGCACGTATGCCGAACCTCGAGTCGAGGTATCACCATGGGCGGGGTGGGGGGGGCTTGAGGCTTGCATGGCATGATGATGCAATTAATCAAACAGCGGAACTCGGTAGGAATGAGCTGGCAAATATGATGGCGCTGCAATGCGAGGCGGGAGCATTAGGCCTGAGTCTTCAGCGGAATGGCAAACGGGAAGCGGGTGTTGGTCAGTGCATTAGGATGACCCAACTAGGGACCTCGTCAAAGCAGCTCATCGGCGAAACTCGTGTATGCGTTGCCGCTTTGGGCTTTGTAGCAAAAGCCCTTCTCGACCGAAATTGGCTGGCGGAATCTGTGGCCTACGCAGTTGGTGGATGAGGTTGATTTTCAGTATATCTCTTGCTTGTGTGAGCAGAGGCATGACTACCATCTTGGCTACGCACCTCAAAATATTACCACCACGTCGTATATTGGTGGAGTGCTAACGAACAAGAGGTTTACCTGGCCGATCTTTGCCCGACCCTGTTCTTGTGGTCTGGGGTTCTCCATGTTGACGTCAATTATGCCGTTTTGGGGGATACATGATTAGGGAGAATGATATCAGGCAAACGGTGGTATGAGAGGGAGCAGGAAGATATCTAACGAGTCATATTTTGACGGCCGTGATAGAGATTTCATAACAGCCTCTCGTGCTTTGCCTACTGTGTAGTGCTGATTCCCCCTTCCCCTTGGCACACAAGAGCGGCTGCTATTAACCGTGCTGCTTGGCGTTACGGAGGAATAGAAAAGGCGCGGGAGGGCTTATTTGGCTCACTACCTGCAACGCATCTCCAGTAGCTACATTATCAGCGGGTATCGCTAATTCTTCAAGGCCGAGTTGTGGCGATAATTGCCATTTCGCGTTCGCATTGGCTCGCGGAGTGTCGTTTCAACCCCAAGATGTGGTCGAACAGACAGCGAATAAATGCTACATGATCGTGGGTTTGGCCCCTTCCCTCCGTCCTTTGAGGGCTCAATGCCCCCCTCACATTGGAGTGAGACGCCAGGCTCATGGCCCGATAGATGGAGGACGATGAGTGAACGAAGGCAGCGGAAAGACGAAAGGGACCATGGGAGAAACATGACACCACGCTTTTCTCGTCTTGATCCCCAGAAAGCTTCCGTGGCCGTCGATCCCTTGTATGCCATTCATGCACAAACGCTAGTTGTACGTGGTTTGACGATGCTGCCAGAGGGCAGGCAAGCGAAAAAGAAAAGAAAATAAGTCGTCGCTGTTTGCAAGCGCGTCGATGAAGTGTGGGAAGTGGGAATAGGCTTCATACTACAGCCGTGTCGGAAGAAAGAAGATGCACACTGTTCCCATGTGTTTGACGAGTCGCAAGTCGAAGCAGCTTCCACACGCCGCCGTCGTCTCAAATCCCGTGCCCCAAGACGTGCCGCTTGAAACTATTGCAACATGTACACGAACGAAGAATGTCTGAAGGAACTCTTGAGGTGATTCGTCCTTTTGATTGCAGGACGCAAATGCATTGCGCTCTCTCTTCAGCCGACGAGCCAACAACAGTGAAGTAACAACAGCAACGTGGATATAAAATTATAAAAACTCTCACGAGATGGTGATGCGTACCTCGTTCACACAAAAACACCCAGAAACGTCCCAAACCCCTTTGCGGCTTGACACAACTCCCTCTGTGCATTTCACCACCGAGGCTCACTTCGTTCCACCGCCGGCGTGCCCGCCGCGTGGCTATCCGCAAACGGATCGTCTTCGTCCTCGTCCTCGGACGCGCTCTCCAGGTCATCGCCCGGCGCGACAACCGGCGGCCGGTGATGTGCCGTCTTGGGCGACGCGGTGGTGGTGGCGGCGGCAGCTGAAGCGAGAGGAGTCGTCCCAGAGGAAAAGTTGGCGGTCACGGGGCTGGGCTCGTTGAGGGTGAGCCGGTCCGCGGCGGGGGTCTCGTGAGTGGCTGCGGTGCTTGCATCTTTTCCCCTTTGCGCGGCGACCACTGTAGGCGGAGGCAGAGCTAAGTTAGGCATGGACGCGCCGTGTTGTTGGGGAGAAGAGGAGGGGAAAGGGGGTGACATACTCTTGTATAAGTGAGCTTGCTCGGCAATTTCATCGTCGGAGTCGCTATCAGCGTCGATGGACTGGTCGAGCTGCTCATACGTCATGAGCGCGTGAACGAGCTCGTCGTTGGCGTGCAACAGGCCGCCAAGCCACTGCTCGTGCTCGACGTGGTGAATCTATCACGAGAGAGCCTCCAGAGTCAGCATACACGCATCTCTCAACCCATCCCCCGGTCCTTTTCAAAATTTTGTTTTTTTCCGCCTTGGTCCAAAAGGTAAACGTACGTAGCGCAGCACGCGCCGGCGCAGCTGCTTGCATGTCTCGAAGCGCTGCACGGCCGTCTGATTGGCAGATATGCGCTCCTTCTCGCGGTTAATGCTCTGCAGGGCGTTCAACAGGTTGATGCTGGCAATCGAGGACTCGGCAATCACAGTCTTCATCTGCTCCTTTTCCGCCTCGAGGTTGAATGGTTTTCGCTTGCCACCCTTTTTTGAGTGTTTCTTGGACGACGAATCTTTGGTCAGCGAGGAGAACAAGCCAGTGCTGCCGCTGCCGCTGCCGCTGCTGGGTAGCGATGTAGAGCGCGAGGATTTATGGGAGGGCCCGGCAGAGGAAGATGGGGCTGTGGCTGTGGCGGCGGCGTCGGCGGCGCGGCGGGTGGCTTCTTCTTCCTCGTCGTCGCCAAATGGGTTCTCTTCGGTCTCGCGAATGACTTTGGATCGTTGTTGGGTGACGCCGACTTTGCGCTTGGGGAGTTCCTATCAAACAGCGCCTGTCAGTAACCTTTTTGTTTGCACACTTTTTCAAAAAAAGAAAGAAAGAGTTGAGTCGTCGGCCAAAAGATTTACCTTGTGAAGCCGGGCGATGCGCTCCAAGCCCGGCGTCTTTGCGTACTGCGCCCACTCGCGGAACAGCTCGCGGCACTTGCTGCGCACCGCCGCGTCGGTCAGGTCCGAAGAGCCGCAGACGCGCAGGCGCTCGAGCAGCGGCTCGTCGGCAAAGGTGCGCCGGAATCGCGGCCCCGCATTCTGTATGAGGCCGTCGAGCAGCGCGAGCGCGCGGACCTGCCGGTGCACGTTGCCGTACTTGAGCTTCTTGCGGATGGCGCGCGCGGCCTCGGTCGGGCCAGACGCCTGCAGCTCAATAGCCTCGATGAGCTCGACGATGCCCGAAAGGTCGTCCTCGGCGAAACTCTCGGCGGTGAGGTTTTCAATGGTGGCGGTGACGGCCGAGTAGGGTTTCTGGAGAGTAAAGGGTGTCTGTTAGCTTGCTTCTTGCGAACGTTTTAAAGCTCCGAGGGCCAAGGCACAACATACTGATTGGAACATGATGATGGAGGGGTTGTGTATTTGACTTGTCGAGAAATATATATGGTGATTCCTAAAAGAGAAGAAGAGATTTGGCTCCCAGGCGCGCAGTGAGAAAGCGAGCACGCAGGTGTTTTTGAAAAGAAGAAGGAACGCGATGGCGCTCGAGGGATAGCTTTGCAGTGCCGGCGGACCCTCCGAAGCTGTCACGAGCTTTTATTGCGCCAGTGTCACCCCGCGTTTGACTTGTGCCCCGCCAACTTGGAGGAGAGGGGGGGGGCGCGCGTCGCCACGATTTGTCTGATTTGAGCAAACGAGTTGGGGAAATTGAAGCGCTATTAACTCGTATCTGGATTGTTCAATGGTTCTTGTTGGGCAGAGGCTGTGGTGGCAATCGCAGAAAGCTGAATGCACGTACTGGAGGCCGCCCCCAAGGCCCGTCCCGATAGCTTCTGTAGAGACGGCGAGTAGGATGTACAGTGAGTAAGGTAGGTAGGTGTGTAGCTCGAGGCGAAGCCAGCGGCTACAGCCTTTGTTTATTGCCCCAGTTGTTGAAATCTGGAGACACAGCATTGAAATTCCATTGAATCATGCACGGGAATTATTCTTTGTTCATTTATTCATTTCTAAAAAAAACAGGCGGGGGTGCTTCATCCCGATGCACAGTCATTACCCAAATATTAGTGGCCGATGCAAAGATGTTCTTTGAAAGAAAACTCTGTAGGGATGCCCAGATCTTGACCCCATCCAACTTGAGGAGTTTCTGCATACCTAACATAGATTAGCGCCGTCTATCCAGCCTTGCCGAGTCCGAGAAGAACAAGATTGGCCACATTCATGACGGCCATGACCAGCCACACCAGGCCGCCCAGAATGATCAACCACCAAGGATTAGACATGTCAATGCCGGGCGCCTCGTCGACGCTCTCCACCTCGGTCTCGTCCTCGATGTGGTAGCGGGCCATGCCGGGCCTGACGGTCATGTAGCGGCTGCGGCTGGTAAAGTAAATGAGCGGCAGCGTGGTAAAGGGCAAGACGGTGCTGAGGACGACCTGGGAGGCGTTGAGGGCGGTATTGAGGCCTTCGCGGCCAATGGCGGCGGCGATGACGAGCGAGGGCGTGATGCTGATGGCGCGGGTGATGAAGCGGCGCACCCAGGGCTTGACCTTCCAGCGCAGGGCGCCCTCGGAGACCATCTGGCCGGCAATGGTGCAGACGATGCCGGCGGAGATGCCCGAGAGCAGGAGGGCGAGGGCAAAGATGGTGCCGACGGCCGGGGAGATGCTCTTGGAGAGGAGGGCGTGGATGCCAAAGATGTCGGCGTCGAGGGCCTCGGGGTTCTTGTAAAGCGAGGCGCCGGCGACGATGAGGATGGCCGAGTTGACAAAGAGGGCAAAGGTGAAGAGCGAGGTGCTGAGCTCGATGATGGAGTACTTGAGGCAGTGCTTGATGGCGGCCTGCGAGGGCACGTAGACAATCTTGTCGTGGCCGTACTCACTGGCCGACGACGACGACGACGAGGACAGCGGCGGCGACGGCGCGGCGGGGATGAGCCCCTGCTGGGTGTCGTACTCCTTCAGACGCGGCTGCACGATGCCGGACCCGAGAAACAGCGAGTGCGGCATGACGGTGGCGCCGAGGATACCGCAAGCCTGGTACAGCGCCTGCGGCTCGACCAGCTCCCGCGAGGGCACGAAGCCGCGAAAGACGTCGCCGACGCTCGACTCGTGAATCATGGAGAGCTGTATGCAGAAGCAGACGACGACGCCGAGCACGAGCAGGCAGACAAAGAGCTCAAACAGGCGCAGGCCCTTCATGGCGCCGTCGGGGCGGTAAAAGATGAGGATGAACATGACGTCGACAATGGAGAGGGCGACGCCGGCGACGAGCGGCAGGCGCGGGATCAGCAGGTTGAGGGCAATGGCGGTGCCAATGACCTCGGCGAGGTCGGTGGCGATGATGGCGATTTCGGCCAGCGCGTAGAGCAGGTAGTTGAGCCAGCGCGGGCAGTGCGCGCGGCAGGCCGACGCGAGGTCGTGGCCCGTGACGGAGCCGAGCTGGATGGCGAGCGTCTGCAGGAGAATGGCAAAGACGTTGCTGAGGAGTACTATGAAGAGCAGGCGGTACTGGTACGAGGCGCCGGCGGCAATGTCGGTGGAGTAGTTGCCGGGGTCGACTTTGGGGTGCGGTGATGTGAGCAGGATTGGTTGACAGTGGAGGAGAGAGTGAGGGCCGGGGGGGGGGGGGGGTAAGAGGGGAAGAGACGTACTGTAGGCGACGGATATCATGAATCCGGGACCGACAAACTTGGCATAGTTGAAAAGGGCCCTTTTGAGCTTGTGTAGGCGTGGAGAGACATGTTGATTCACGAGCCGCAGACGCAAAGACGGCGGCGGCGGCGGCGAGGGTAGCAGAGCGTCGTCGGTGTTGGTGGTGGTGGTGGTGGTCGATTGGTGGGCGGACGAGGCAGAACCTCTGCGCGCAATGGCGCTTGTCGCGTCTTTGGCCATGATTTTCCAATGGGTTGTTGTGGTACTGATATTCTCGAGTTTTCTTGTGTGTATGGCACCTTAATGGCAGCGGGATGATCAAGGGATATTTGTCGACGTCCGACGATGAGAATGTTCTTGTCTAAAGGCCATGAGAAGAAAAGGAAAATTGTGATAAAGCATCAACCGTGTATTTTTGTCTTTCTTGTTGGTCTTTAGGCCTTTGGTGTTGAGTTTCTGTTTTTTTGGGGGGTTTTCTTCTTGTGGTGGTTCGTCGGATATATATGCATGCGTGCCACCAATTTTCACAGGGGGGACCGGTCAAAAATTTAGAGCAGCCCCAACGGCGGTGTCGAGCAGCCTGGTTCGATTCCCTGTCAATGCACGAGACGAGATTCTCCGCCGTCGTGTCTGTATCGTTTTCAAAAGAGGAGTAAAAAATAAAAAAAGAATAATGTATGGTGGCGGGGTCATGCAGATGAGCAGCGAGGTTCCCCTCGTTGACGTCTTGGATTGGAGTTGGTCGGTTGCGGTGCCGAAGGGAAGCGGGTCATCCGGTTCCTTCCGGTGTACCGTTGAACCACTGGCGGCAGTTTTTCTAAAATGAAGCAGAGACGTCTAGTCTCGGGCTAAATAGATTGATAAAGAGAAGAAGAACACACAAAATCAGAAAATGAAGAGCTGGCATCATCAAAGTAATAACAATAAAGAGAGTTAAAAAAAAAATTGTCTGCTTCGTGACCTGCTCGTCCTTGCTCCGTCGTTCGGATGCCCAGAGAGCCGCCCTGCCAATGCGCGCTAGGAAAACTCCCCGCAGATCCCAAATGTGCTACCTAGTTATGGCGGGCGCACAGGCACATTCTGCAGTGCCAATGGAGCTTTCCACTGAATCTATTTAGGCCCATCCGCTGAACTGTAGGTACAGTAATGAGCAGTACGTAGGTAGTGGCTCCTCGAATAGATTTGTGACTCGACTTGATGAGACTGGAAAAAAAAAAGAAGAAAAAAATCGTGTATATCCTGGATGACGAGTAAGTCTGGCAATGAGAGCAACATCTAGGGCCCAAAAAGCCATCACACGAGAGTCTCGAACAATCCTTCCCTGACAATGTGTGAACGGCATCTAGGGTACTCGACGACCCTGGACGCCACAGCCACTCTCACCGTCGGCCTAAAATCCATGCATACCGTCACGGCAATCGCTAATCTTCTCCCCCTCTTTCCTCGTAATAACTCAATGCCCCTATAAGAAAGAAAAAAAGAAAACCCCGCCTCACAGCCACCACAACCTACGGACTTGCCTCTCCGTCGCTGGGTCGGTCAAGGCTTCCACCCGGCACGATGCTGCCGAGAACGCCGCTCACGGCCTACGTGGAGCTGGTGCGGGGACCGGCCACGAGAACGGCCGAGTCATCCACAATTGCAACTGCCGGCTTCAATGTTGATAGCTTTGCGTACGCATGGGCTAATCTACGCCCGGCATTCGCCCACAGGAGTCATGCCGTGGTTCGAATGCTTCTTTTGATCGCCTTCTTTCGCGGGGTTGTTTGCTTTCATAGGCTATCTACCCGTCACCAAAAGAAATACAATTCGTACCCTTTTCTATCCCTCAAAGTCACTGTTGAACGACTTTTCCTTCTTTTATTTCTTCTCCTCGAGTCACACGTCTGAATCACTTCATGCTCCCTTCTCACTCGTCACAGTCAAGACACGCGCAATACACACAGAGCACACATGCACTTGGTCACGCCAGTTGATAACGACACACCAAAGTCACAAGGAAAACAAAAAGGAAACACTCCATCTCGTCTCGCATGTATTCTTGCCCGTCTCCCCCCCCCCTTTACTCGCTCTTCTTACCCGCCTTGGCCGCCGCGCGCTCCCGATCTCTCTTGGCGTAGATGCCCGCCGTGAACGGGTCCTCAAAGCGCAGCGCCACCAGATACACCAGCAGCACCTCGCCCGTCAGCAGCACACCCGCCGGCCGCCCAAAGAGCAGCGCCGTGCCCAGGAAGCTCATGGTCGATCCCCAGTACATGGGCGCGCCCGTCACGCTAAACGGGAACCCCGTCACCATGCGTTCCTGCAGGAAGCCAAAGTAGTCGCCGAGAAAGGTGCCCCGGATGCCCAGCTGCCATGTCGACGTCACCACCAGAATGTTGCCCGCGGCGAGGAGCGCGTATGCGGCCGCCTGCACGTACACGCTGTTCTGAAGAGCCGGGTGCGCGGGCTGCTCGAAAATGGCCGTTTTGTAGAGATAGTCGCGCACCAGGCCGATGGAAAAGATGGTGGCGGCGAGCGCGTAGTTGGCGACGGTGCGGTTGCCGCCAAACAGCTTGGTGAGAATCTTGTTGCGGTATTCTGCGACGACGGGGTCAAGTTAGTCAGGTATTTTTTTCTTGCTGCTGCTATTACTGCCGATGCTGCGTCTCTTGACCAAGACTCTGCAAAATAACGAGGGAGCGATTTCGAACCTTGACGGGCGACGATGCTGTTTGGCACATTACGTTAGCTTCATGACGGAATTGGGGCAACGAGGCCACCGGCTTCGATTGGCTTACTTCCAAAACAGAGGGTTAAAGGCGATTGAGGCGGCCGAGACTACCGGACGCGATGCACAAATTAGTACTTTCTGCAGTTGCTTGATTCTCGCGATTGTGGTTTCTGCGCCGCTCTTACCTAGCAGGCTCCGCTTGCTCAAGTCAACGTAGCTGGTCAGGCTGCCGACAAGTGACGACATTGTAACGGTCGATGCTTGTCAAACGGAGGAGCTCCTATGGAAATCGTAGAAACAAGACGGAAACACAATGCTCTGCGCCGCTTCCAGGGAAAGAAAAACGAAAGAAGAAGAAAAGACGAGTAAAAAGTAGATTGAGGGGAAACAATGGTCGGAAAAGCTACAAGAGTTGAAAAGAGGAGGAGAGCTCGTCTTGACACTTCTCCTCTTCCCTTGAACAGAATCCCCACGCGGCCGGCCGCCCAGCACAAGAGCCGCCTATGGCCGCCCCAGTGTTGAACCGCTGCTGGCGGGTGCTGGCGGGGAACGGAGGAGCCACACAAGCTCCAATCCCAGCTCCAGCTCTAGTTAGGCAGTTAGTTACCTGCTTGGTTGCTTGGTTGCTTGGGTCCCTTATTTACCACCATATGCTCGCTGACTGGCTGGCCATCATCTCGCTTGGTGTCGGCACTACTATACTGTGCATCTATTGGACAAGATTGGGGATCATCTATCATTACTCGGCTTTTCTTTTGTTGTGACGACATCTTGTTGGGGCAGAGCCCTTTCTCTCTCTCTACTACTCCGTTGCTACGAAATTAAATCTTCACATGTCAAATTCTATACAGTTCCATCTGTTATCATCTGTTTGCCATGATCCCACGCAATTTGGACAACGACAGAATATTTTCAACTTACTTTGTCCGTTGCTGCCACATGTCAGGTAATTATGTTTCTTCATTAAAAAGCCTCCAACTGGCCACACATTACATGGGGAATAACACAAAACTAGACTCGAACGCCACCGGTACGCAAGATGCGAAAGTGTGAATATATACCGACTATATCTGTGTCCTTTGCCCCTGCATGCTTAATCGTAACCCCAGCTCCCAAATCAAACAGGCCAGAAATAAAAAAAATAAAAAGGAAACGAATCGGCCACAACTGTTGCGCCTCCTTCGTCCAAGTCTTTACCTTCGCGCCCGCGTCTTCTTGGCCTGCGTCGTGGTATCCTCCTCCTCCTCCTCGTGGCCTTTTTTCAGATCCTCGTCCAGACCCCATTCCTCCTTGTCGTACCAGTCCTCCCCATCCGACATGTCGCGGTTGGCGCCGCAGTGCGCCTCCGCCTTGGACCAACGCAGCACGTCCCCGCGCAGCCGCTGTGCCTTGAGCAGGCCCCGATGCAGCTTGTACGTGCCCCGACATACCTCCTCCTGCTTCTGCACGTACAGTGCTAGCAGTCGCCGGATATCGTCCGCTTCGCTCGCTGGCAGCCCTAGGTCGCGATCTGGTCGTGCTGTCGCAGGCGGTAGAAATATGCCATGTATTACGCCCGCTGCATTCTCCTCTGCCGCTCTTGTCGCGCTGTCCGCCTTTCCTAAACCTCCCTCGGCGTCCGTTGAATCTATAGTGCCGTCTTTGTGGTTCTGGTTCGTAATATTCGCCCCATCTTTTGCAAAGTCCTTTGCTGTATCCTTGTCTCTGGTATCAATATCCCCGTTACTCGCTCCCGCATCGTCCATGGACACGTCGCCGCCGTTATTCAAATCGTCGCCAAATTCTGTCCTTGTGCCGTTCAGCGTGGCCAGTTCCGCACCGGCGTCACCGTTAACCGCGGCCTTCTCTGTATTTGCTGACAGCGCTTCTAGGCGGCGTGTGACCTGGTCTTGTGTATATAATTGTGTGTCGTTCTCACCAATCATGAGCTCGCACGGTATCCAAGTGTTGTCACCATACAGTGACGTCCACAGCTGCCGCACCTCCCATAACGAATGGTTTTCTTTGCGCATAAGCTTGCAGCTGTGGTCAACCAGCTCGTTGAGCCTTTTGGAGAGGAACGGCTTCGAGAGGGTCGGGTGGGATGCGAGGTCGGTCGCCGCGATCAACGGAGCGAGAGTGTCTGCGCCTGGTCAGCATTGCTAAAATTGATACCCAAAGCCCAGTCCAGATGCAGCTTACGTTCTAGGCGTATATTGGCGTAGGGGTTGAGCTCGGCCGCCGCCTGGACGGCACTCTCCACGCGGTCGGGCTCGTCCTCGCTAAAGACTTCGTAGCCGTCGTCATCCACGAGCGGCGGATTGCGATAAATGATGGATCGACGAGATCCGGCGTAATCGATTTCCTGTCATCGACACGCGGCCGAACCATTAGCATCCTGCTCGTGCGTGGGTCGACATTCCGCTCCGCTCTTGACCTACCTCTTTGTAGGCGCTGGGCCCTGAAGGCGGTACCAGTTGGCCCTTGTGCGCAAAGCGACCCTTTTTCTTGAGCTTGTGCCCACGGTTGCTATGGTATTCTATTTCGGAGTCGGAGTCGGATTCTGTCGTGCGCGAGCGAGGAAGGAACCCCCCAGCGGTTAGCGATGGCGTTTTTTCTTTTGCGCGTGCGAGTGGTGCTGGCAACCAGTCTCTGAGAGGGGCGAGTCTTCTTACCATATGCTCTCCTTTTGAAAGCTTTCTTCATACCCGCTATTGTTTCGGCAAACAGAATCTGCTGCGTCGCCATCGTGGGCAGAGGAGGTGGGTGGTGCGCCCAAACCAAAAGAAACTGGCGGTAGGTGTTCGTCAAACCCGTCGTCCTGGTATTTTTTTCGTCGTGATCAAAGAACGGGCCCCCAGACTGGAGAAAAGCGGCTCAATAAAAATAGTCAGACCAATGCGTCTCGCTGTGTATCGCGTCGGTAATTCTGCTAATCGGCATGCACTTTGGTGTCGTGGAGAGCGGTGCTGTAGCTTTTGAGAGAGAGAGGAAGAGAAGAGTGGTGGTGGTGCATTGGAGCGGGAGCAACGCAACCACCACACCACCGCCCAGGATTTGGCTGGCGAGGCCCGCCTGCGGAGCGCCCGTAACCCGAGGCGGCGGCCCCAACCTATGCCAGCGCTTCCCCCGCGCAGCAGTCAAGCCAATCACGCGCGCGCAACGCGGTCCTTTCTTTCGCCGACGCCGGCTAACACCATTTACCGAAATTTACCCAGGATTACATCATGGCTTCACTATGTTTTTATTCACACTCATCACAACTCACTTTCCGTCGCTAGCCGATTTTTTTTTTGAACTTGTTGTAAATATTGCCATGCCCTTGCTAATATCCCATATAGTACATGATCGGAAATAGTAACGTCGAATCTTAAACTAGGGAATAGTAAATTTGGTATATGCATCATAAATTAGAATCGAGAGAGAGCCTTTTCATGTGTCACCCGAACCGCTTTAGTTTTGGAAGCTATAAAACGTTAGAATGTTCGTATTTCAATATGAATTCCCTGCACGCACATGTCTGGAGAGTTGGTCATCTCCTCAAAGCTTTGCAGAGCATCAAAGCCCATGGCTACCAGAGGCTCAGAAGTATCGTCGATGACCTGCCATAAAAGGTTAGCACAACCAAGACCATCTACCAGACAAGTACACGCAAAGAGGCATAGACAGAAAAAAAAGCCTACCCAGCTCAGTACCGCCTTGCTCGCCTTATGGCTCTTGCATTGACGCACGCCCATCAACGCAAGCCCTTGCAGAACCAGCGTAGATAGCGGCCCTGGTGGCACAGTGGGCGCCACGATGCCTGCTATGTTTTCTGTTCTGGATCCCAGGGCAGGAATGTACGTAGCCAAAGGGCTGCCTTGTCTGCATATGACAATGGTGCCCATTATATTACCCGAGGGGTCCTTGGCGCGGACGATACCGCAGCTTTTCGTCTCCGCCAAGGCGTACCGGTACAGCTCGACCACCTCAGGGCCGCTCTCCGTGCGCACATGGTGCAGCACCGTGTCGGCATTGTCCAACCCATGTATCAGGTCGAAACTAATGTTAGCTCGCTGTATTGTGGGTAGCAGCCCTTCCGGCGCCGTCCAGCTCCCGAGATCGGCAATCATCATGTTGGTCAGTCGCCTAGGGAACTGTGTGTCCCAGCCGCTGTTGCTGAACCACGTCTTAACTGTGGCTGCTTCGGCTCCGAGTGCAAGACCCGGGAAGACACCAGGGAAGCAGGCGCCGAGCTGCACCTTTTTGAGTCCCCTCTGTTGCGACAGCGCCTTGAGAGCCCGTTTGTGTAGTGATCGGCCAATCGATACGTTTCTCTTGCTTGGGTCGACAATGAGCGCACCAAGGATGCCAACGCCCCCTGTCGCATACGTCGCCACGAAACCGTATAGTGCCTGTGTGCTACTGTTTCGCACCACATAGTGTGCTTCTTTGATATTGGAGTTGAATAGTTCAAATGCCGACGCGCCTGTGTTGGAAAGAAAGTCCAAATCCGAGCCCCCACTGCGGTGAATAGCCTTAAGTAGATCGTCTAGGCCAGCAGCGTCGCGCTCACGGTCATACTCCTCCACAAGCCAAAGCTGTCTTGACTTGAGAACCTTTTTGCTCTTTCGAAGAGTGCCCGGCAAGCTTCCCACTGGTTTGACTTCGCCAATTAGAACACGGACCAGAGCTGCCATGGCATTTTCAGTAAAGTCAAAAGTGCAGATGTAGGTACCAATGGATTTGTCCATGGCGAAATCGTAGGGCGAACTGACGGCAACGACGATGAGATGCTTCTTTTGCCCTCGGCTTCGGAGCATCGAACACATCATGTCAACGTGCTTTGTGAAACCTGCTTGATACAGGTTTCTATTGGCATCGGCGGTAAATATAATAATACAAGATGCGCGGTTAATGAGGTTTTCATGTACTGGTCTAACACCATTGGCTGTATAGCTGGTGTGCAGCAGCTTCTCATTCCGGTATCGTGCCAAGGTTTTGCCAAACTCGCGAAAGACACCCTCTCCACTCATGTGCGCGGTCCTGTCCTGGCGTCGGTGTACCCACCGTTCATGGTTACCCGTGGCAAGTGACTGATCCTGCTTGGCATCAAGTAAACTCTTGGTCAGCGAAGATGCCGGAAGTGGTTTGACAAGAGGAGTCAGGAGTAGCAATTCCTCGCCGGGATGCATCGATTGTGAAAGGGGCAGTAGCTGCTCTTTGTCTCGAATGACTGTGATCGATTCATCAAATGCGCGCCGTGATAAGGTGAGGTGTGAAGGATGCAGCTGAGAAAGCAAAGAGATGCCGGGAGGGTTAAGAGCCTTGGACCACGAGGTGCAACTGGTTTTCAGGTGGAGGACTCGCCGCAGAGAGGTGAATATTCGTTCCTTGGTGATAATACCGTTCTCCAGACCCAACTTAAGACCTTGAATGGCTTCTAGCTGAATGTCGTAGGCTCGGCAAAGAAGCACCAGATCGCAACCAGCTTCAACGGCCATAACAACGCCGTTTTGCACACCCAAGTCGTGGCTCAAAGCCTCCATCTCAAGACATTCGGAGATGGCAACACCTCTGAAGCCTAATTCGTTGCGAAGCATGTCATCGACAACCTGATCCGACAGGCATGCGTGACTGACATTCATAGAGGGGTTAGACAGGCCGCATCCACCAACAAACATGGCATCTAGTTTGCCCGAGGCGACTGCATTGCGAAACGGGACAAGGGCGCTGAGACTGAGCTCTTCGAGGGTCTGAGTAATGATGGGTACGTCCAAACTAGATCCTAGAAAATCGAGGTTGCCATACGAGGGGAAGTGCTTGCCACAAGTGGCAATACCGGCGTCGCGAATACCAGCCATGGCAGCGAGACCATACTGTGACACCTCTTGGGGGTCGTCGCTAGTGGCGCGCACTCCAAGGGGTTGGTAGCGAGCATTGTTCAAGACATCAAGAACCGGACCTAGCATCAGATTGACACCACAAGCAGAGATTTCCGTCGCCGTAGCCTTGGTAACCTCATATGCCAGCTCTGGGCTGCCAGCAGCCGCGATTCCCATGGCGCTGGGAAATTGACAGACATAGTCTTCGTCGAACAAGCTGTTAACACCACCATTCTCCTGGTCAACGGCAATGAGAAGTGGCTGAGGGTGACCGGCATTTTGCGCAATGGTCTGCAGCTCTTGGACCAGCCTGGCAGTTTGTTGAGCAGCTGCGCAAAGATTAGCAGGATGTTGTGGGATGAGAAGAAATGAAAGACGGACATTTGAGATTCTTGGCTGTGAGAATAATGGAGCCTAGATGGTGGTCCTCGATGAGTGTTCTGATCTGGGGCGTGACCTCTGTTCCATCCCATCCCATAATCAATGTCTGACCAATTGCCCTACAAGAATCAGGTTAGTTGTTGTACTAGCTGCGCGGGTGAATTGCCATTGCCGGACTCAGAAGTGCAACCGGCAACGGCTACTGAAAAGAGAAAGGTCGTTGTATCGCAGCATCTTGAGCTGCTGGCACGACACGACAGGCAAGCCTGATTCGGGTACACGTACCAGTCGAGATTCTGATAGATGGGATCGATTTCAGCACTATCGGCGCCATTGTTGGCATTGTTAGATGTCATGATGGGAAAGCAGCTGGTCGAGCAGCTCTGCGCATGCCTCGAAGCGCGCGCGCAACGGTTGATGGTGTGTGCCGGGCTGTATGTAGGCGAGTGACAATTGAACTTGAGCCGATTGAGTTCAAGCGCCTGGTGGAGGAGCCGAGAGGGTGGAAATGGGGTCTCCGCCTGCCAGCCACTAGGCTAGCCGGTAGATATCTACCCAATGAGCCGCGGGCAGGCCAGAGGGGGAGATAGAGGGACAAGTGGTCGGTGCAGAGGGTAATGCCTGTTATGAGTCGAGTTTTTTCTCTTGGCGAGAGAGCTAGTTGAGTCAAGTGAGTCGGTCTGTCGCTTCGGCTGTTTGAACTGTTGCCTCTGGCGGCTGCTGTCCAGGGCAGCAGCGGTGATCGTGAAGACCGTCGTAAGCGCTGGCGCAAAAGGACAAGGCCACAGCCGTGCTGACGAGTAGATGGGGAATTCTGCCAGTTGAGGGTCTTGGTGCGTGTGGGCGGTGAAGGACCACTCTGTAGCTGACAGTGTTTGAAGTGGTATTACTCGGTAATGAGGCGAGTAATGAAATGAATGGACAGCGACCAGGCTGGCTGGCGGAGAGTCAAGAGGCAGAGGAGAGAGCGGGCTGCCAAGTACGGCAAGGCCGCCAGTAAAGAATTTTGGGCTCAGTGTTGCAGCAAGTTCGGTTTGGTGTGCGGGTTTGCTCCAGCACCCCCCAGTCGTGCAGTGGATACCTACAGGGGTGGCACGACAAACAGGAGACCCAGCTGCACCCGTTTAACGTTAACGTTACATAAGGTAGCCTCAACGAAGCTACAGTGGAGTGGTCGCCGGGAACGATGAATCGTGGTTGATGGAGGCAAGGAGGCTGCTGGCCCGAATTTCGCAGTGTGCTTGCCAAAATACAATGAAACTCCATCAAGAAGGAGGACAAGATGTGAAGCTAGCTAGGTGTTCATATGAAATGCCTCATTGGCCTGTCTTACAGCTCGAGATGCTCATCAAGCCATGGTATCCTTGTGCATAAGAATTGTTGCCCTCCTTCTGGAACAAACGGCCGAACCGCACGCGCTGTTCAAAATAATACAGAATGCCAGTTGCAGCTAAAACAACTCTACCTATTGAAATGCCTGCGACAACATTCCGGCCGCACGTTGAGCTTTCCGTCGTCTCCAATGAACCAGCTTACTCCGCTCAACCGTAACCAGCGCTTCCTCAGTTCCCCACCCAGCCCGTCCATGATGGCAAGGTGACAGTCGCAAGCATGCCATTCTTCCTCCATCTGCTGATAGGCAGGTAGGTAGTCTCTTTTCTTTTTACGTCTTTGCAGGTTTGGCAATTCCGCCAGCTACTCACTGGCACAATCCGATCTGCGGGCCTCCGCTAGCCCATTCAAGCTCCGCGGGTGTAAGTTATTCTGCGGTGGTGCAGTTTTGAGCCGCTGCGGAAACTTATACTAGTACTTGCCTTTCCTCGGCCTTCGTCGTCATCCTATGCTGTAATCTTTTGTAGCTTAAAATTCTAAATCATCTTTGCTAAACCTTGACATCATCTTCAATAACATTTCTGCACAATACTCCTACATTTCTCGTTTCCCCTCCTCCCAATCCTTCAGATCATCACAACGGACCAATACCCAAAATCGCAGAGACGTCGACCCCAGGCGCACGTCCGTCCGCCCCAACAACCACCAACAACGATGCCGGCCATCATCACCAACGACAGCCAACCGAAAAATGGACTCACGAAGCTGACCAACTGCCGCCTGCTGCGCGGCGAAGAGCTCGTCGTTGACGATCTTTGGGTCAGCTCCAAGACGGGCAAGATCGTCGACAGCCAGACCGTCTTCTTTGACGACCTCGTACTCCCCGACGAAACCGTCGACCTGGGCGGTCGCATCGTCTCGCCCGGCATGATTGAGTGTCAGCTCAACGGCGCCTTTGGCTTCAACTTTTCCACCCTGCTCGACGACATGTCGCAATACGGCAAAAAGATCAAGGAGTGCCAGAAGCTCCTAGTTCGGACCGGCGTCACATCCTACATCCCCACCATCACGAGTCAACGGCCGGAGCTCTACCAAAAGGTAGGAATGCACTACAAACACATCACTTCCCGACGCATAAACTACTCATATGCGTTGTTAGCTGCCTGTAATACTGCTGCCTAGTTTGTGCTAATGCTTCCCGTCTCGTCGTCAGGCCCTTCCCTTCTTAGGCCCGTCCGGACGCTCGCACGGTGCAGAGGACGGCGCCGAGTCGCTTGGCGCCCATTGTGAAGGGCCTTTTCTCAACCCAACCAAGAACGGCGTGCACAACGTCGACGTGCTCATCGAGGCCCAGACATTTGCCGATCTCGAGGCCTGCTATGGCGCCGACAACCTCAACCCAGGCACCCCTGGCGCCGACATTCCCGTCAAGATGATCACGGCGGCGCCCGAGCGTGGCAACATGATGAAGCTGATCCCTGAGATTGTCGCGCGTGGCATTCGGTTCTCGGTCGGCCATTCCGAGGCCACCTACGAGGAGGCGTCGCAGGCCGTCGGCCAAGGCGCAACCATGATCACCCACCTCTTCAACGCCATGCGCCCGTTGCACCATCGCAACCCGGGCATTTTTGGCGTGCTCGGCGAGGCTGAGAGCTTGCCGCGCCCCTACTTTGGGGTTATCTCGGACGGCATCCACCTGCACCCCACGACTATCAAGATTGCCTTTAACGCTCACCCCGAGGGCTTCATCCTGGTCACCGACGCCATGCACTTGGTCGGCCTACCAGACGGCGCCTACCCATGGACCAACGGCGAGAAGACGATGAACATTGTCAAGAAAGGGTCCAAACTGCTGCTGGAGAACTCGGACAGCATCGCTGGAAGGTAGGGGCTGATATGGACATCCCTGCTGGACTGCGGGGTCGCCATGTGACATCAATCGCTAACGTCTCTTCATAGCTCCATTACTCTACTAGAATGCGTCAACAATTTCCTCGAGTGGTCCGGCGAGGGGATCCCTCAGGCGCTCAAGACGGTTACAGCCACCCCCGCCGCCATGATGGGTCTACAGGGCGTCAAGGGCACATTGGAAGCCGGCGCGGATGCTGATCTGCTCATTTTTTCCGACGAGACGACGGCCAATGGCCACCACAAGTTGATCTTGGACGAAGTGTGGAAGTTTGGCACCCGTCTGCCCAGAAACGAGGCTTAGACGGGCTTTCAAATAAATGTATGGGTTGCAATTGAGAATGATGGAAAGAAGAGGCACAAAGACTCAGGCCATTGGATAAAATTGCACTAAGGCACAAGAGTTCAGGCCAACGGATAGACTGTACATAAAGGGAACTTACACCGGCGTTGGTAGCATATTTGAGCGACTCTGGGAAAGAAGCTTGCCGAAACAAGATAAAATGACGAAAATCAATACATGAAGAGAGAATTGAATAATTGCCCCCCCCCCCCCCCCATTACTTCCCTAGTTGGCCGAAGGTGATGGAGCCATAAGCACATGCAGGTTGTAATAATGGTGGTTGTACCCCGAACCCCAGATATGCGACCCAGAGCGGAAAAAGGTGGTTACAGCAGCATCGAGGGCTGCTCCTCCAAAGAACCCCAACAGCCTGCTGTCTAGCCCTACCTATGCTTCTGGAAGGCAAGTTATCGACTAGCTACCAGCTCGAGTAACGACGCTAGCGATATTGTGCGGCGCGAACAGGGTAACTTCCGCTGGTGCGAGGAGGAACGAGGCGGGGAGGGGGATGAACTTGTGGTCAGCCAGTTTGGCGTTGCGACGTCCCGGTCTGGAGGGGGAAGAGGCCCCGGACCTTACCAGGCAGGGGACAACACATGTCCGTGTGTGCATGTCGAAAACGTGGGTCGATGATTGTGGCGGTGGCTGCATGCACTGTTATATTATTGAACAATGAAAGATTGAAAAAAAAAAAGACGGAGAAGGCGTGGGAGATGAGAGGGTTGGGCTCTTTTTTTGTTTGCCACAACTGGATTAGGAGGAAAAAGAAAAGAAAGTCTGGGGTAAAGCTGGACGTTGATTTGACAGTTCCCCGCCACGGCCCGTCACACAACGGACACACCAACTATTGTTTTTTGGTCAGATAGATGAAATAGGGCATCACGAGGAGAGAAAATGCAGGCTAGAGGCGGCGTCAAGTGATGTTTGAATGGTATGGTAGACGGGGATGTGTATGTTTTCTCTCTTTCTTCGTTTTATCTTATTCATTTTAATTTGAAATTCATATTTCATTTTATCTTATTCATTTCAATTCCAAATTCACTATTCATTACATTGTCATGTCGTTTCTCCCTTGCCATAAATGCCGAACCCAGACGTCAGGTTGGCGCACAGGGGCATGCTACCGGCCGGCAGGTCGGTCGATCCAGACACCAAGCACAAAGAGTCCATCATCAATGCGCTGGGACCACACGCCCCAGCCGCAGTGGGCTGGTGCTTGTTTTGCGGCCGGCTTGGCGGGTTTGCAATGCTTTAAATGCTTCTTTTTTTTTGTCACTTCCGGCATCCCTCGAGAATGGCGTGCGACCTTTTTTTTTTTTTTTTGTAACTTACAACTAGGGTGCATTTTTATGTTTCAGTGGTTGGTGGCCTTGTTGTCGGCTGGGATCCATCCCAACGCATCAAGAATTCATGTTTTTTTTTTTGCTACCATGGCAATGACTAATGAGTAGAAACATGATACATTCATCGGTCATGATGTGCAAAATGGCCTCAACCATCCATCTCGTCTCCCCCTTTTCGTTGTTCTCCCTTCAATTTCGTATCTCTCGACTCATGTTGATACAGGCAGCGCAGGCATGGCCTGGCTTGACATGGGGGGCCGCTGGCAGTGGGGGAGCCGTTTCTACCTGAGGCTTGCGGCTGGATATCTTTTCCCTACCTGACTCCTACCTACGAAGTCTATAGATACCAAGCGTATGGCACTACTGGGTATTAGCGGCTGCGGACGGTGGAAACCAAGGGTCAACCGAATTGCCAGGCATGGAAGGTCAATATAATTTGTAGAAACTAGTTGAAAAGCGACAAGGAACACCCGGGTATCTCTTTGCTCGGCTATATTGCTTGGCCATCAGCTGGCCAGGGAGGGAGTTTCATTTATTTATTTATGTTTTATTTTATGATCCTATTTTGATTTTTGATTCCTCCTCCTCCTTCGTCTTGTTCTTATTTTCTCCAACCTGGTACGGAAAAAAAATCACAGCGAATTTGTAGTGGATAGAGTACCTTATTTAGGTGACATGTGTGGGTCGTGCCATGGATTTCAGCATTCTACAGGGCTTCTTACCCCCCCACAGGCCAGTCGGCCGACTTTGCTTGGCTCTCAAGGCTGGTTGGCTGGCTCTCAAGGCAATGAATGGTCTACTCTGGCCGGCCGAATGCCAGAGGCCTGCAACAACCTTGAAAGGGCCCCAATCTAAGCCGAAACCTCGTGCTTCTCTCCATGCCGCCTAAATTCTTTTCTTCTATTTTTTTTTCTTCTCCCTTTGTGCTAAGCTCAACTCAGGTATCGCCTGCCCACCGCCACTGCCTCCGCGCTAGACCTGTCCACCACCACCAACCTGCTCCTGCGGCTGCTGCTGCTGCTGCTGCTGCTGCTGAATGCGACTTGCGACTTGCGACTGCACCCGCAATCAGCACCCATTATCGGTTCCTGACCTGTCATCCATTTAGGACACAGCTAGCCTCGCTCAGCTCAACCATTTTCCAGCACTGGCCGAGACATCCCTTCTTCAACCCATCACCGGCCAACCGTCAATCCCAAACCTCCGTCCGCCCCCACGCTGTCACCAGTCTATTCCCCGCGCAGTCCTATCTCGGCCTCGCTCGCGCCCGATACAACAATTGCCAGAACACTCTACAACTTCTCTCATCGCGACTAGACGATCCGACCGCGCTCTGCCTCTATTCTTGCAGCGACTGCTTACCGCCCGCCGCGCATTTACGTTGGAGGACACTCGCGCTGACCGGTGCGGTGCTGACCGTGCCGACGCTGGACCATGCCATGGCTGCCTACAACTCAATGCCGGTGATGAATGCCACCCCGGCACAAAACGACTCAATCGCCATGAATCACGCCGGCCAGGCCATGAACATGGACGCCTTTGACCACGACCTAGGCGGCTTTGACGAAGCCCTCATGTACGTTTACGCTCCTCTGCCGCCCCATCCCTTGCCGCTAGCCTTGCCGTGCGACCACATCTCGTCGGCGAGTTGGCCTCCCTCCCAGCACCAGAAATTGACTCAGCGTTGACCTCTCAAGCAGAGATAGCGGCGCACTTCCCACGCTACCCTTCACGCCTTCATATGATTTTGATAACTTTGCGACCACATTTGAGGACCCCTTTTCGTACTCGGCTCGCCAGTATGAGCCCGCTCCACACCAAGATGTCCATGAGGACGTCTCACCCCAGGATCTCGACAACAAACTTCTCGGCTTCTCCGAGCCCATCGTCAGCGCCACCATTGTCGACGACTCTGGAAAATTTGCCGATGTAGCCATGTCCGCCGAGCTTTATGGCATGTTTTTCGTCGCCGAAGATGTCTTTGGCGGCGAAACCACCGGCCGTCCGCTCGAGCTGACCTGCTACCGCCGCAACCTCTGGCAATGCGCTGGCCAGATCACCCTGCCGCGCGCCATTTCACACATCATGGACGAGCAGGGCCGCCAAATTCCTTTATTCGAGCTCTCTGCCTCAATCAATGCTATCGAGTCCATCGAGGGGAAAAGCACCGAAATCATATCCATTCCCTGGAAGAGCTCCACTCCGCAGGCTGGCGAGGACAACAAAGTTGCCACTGCCCCGCCCAAGGTCAACATTGACTTGTCCGCCGGCCAGGAGCTGGATGCCAACCGCGTGTCTGTGCCTGTTTCGTGGAAGAGGTTACAGTTCAAGCACGCGACCGCCAATAATGGCCGCAGAAAAGGCCTGCAGCAGCATTATGTGGTCCAGATTGGCCTCTTTGGCAAGGCCAAGAATGGCGAAACCATCAAGATTGTCGAAATTCAGTCTGGCCCTGTCATTGTGCGCGGTCGTAGTCCCAGAAATTTTGACAGCAGAAAAGACGTGCCTCTTTCTGGGGACAAACGCATGGAAAGGAAGAACACGGCCAGCTCTGACGGCGCCGCACTAAAGGTCGAAAGGGAACACCTTCATGCGGCCATGCAAAGATACCAATCCATGCCTGGCGCTGTACCAGTAAGGCTCCCCCACTGACTCTCGCCATTTCGCCATTGCTAATGTGAAGTAGCACCCCAATGATTGGGTAACACCACAGCCTGTGCCTCAACCAAGCCAAAGTCCCCATCCCGCGAAACGAATGGCTCTGTCGCCAACGGTCAGCAAGCCGCCAGTCCCAGCATGGAATCCTGATGCGCCGAGAACGGCTTCTGGCCACCGCGGCTCCATGTCGCGGCCGCGCGAGGCCGGCGCGCCCATCAATCTCTCCCTATCTGAGGACGAAAGAAGTCCTAACCGGTCGAGCGCCGACCTACAGAGCCCCAAGCTCGGCAAATCGCACCCGGCCATTGGCCAGCACGCCGCGAGCAGTCCAGCAGAAGAGGCCGACCCGCTGTATGAGTACTTTCCTCTCAGTGTTGACGACTGGTATGTCTTGTCCGGCGGTTTCTTGCCCGGTGTTGCGGTGTTGATAGCTGCGAAAGTTTGCTGACATAATTTGTAGGATGCCTCCGGTAGACGCCGTATACAGACCCCACGTAGTACACCACACGCATGAACCGCTCGAGGCGGTCGAGGCCAAGCGCGGCAAAGCGAAGCGATACTTTTTGGCGGATTAGGACTAGCATTTACTCTGCCAACGAGAGGAGATTGTCACATATCGATGACAACCTTGTAATATTATCAAACCGCATCTGAGCAGGCCAGCACTGGCCACAGACAGACACCTTGGCCACAAGGCACGATGGCAAACTCTCGAGGCGTGTCGCGCATGCGGCTGCAGCGTCCCTTTTTTGAATGAGCACGCCAACCACAGCTGGTGGTATGGATCACTGCTTACTTTTCTTCCGCTTTTTATACCCAAGGGCTATGTGCTGTTCCTGTTCTTCCTCCTCTCGCAGCAACGCCTTGTCTTGTCGCAATTTTGTTGGTCATGTATTTGGGACTCGAAATCCCAGAACCATTGTATATACAATGCTGTCTTTTTTGTTTCTTTCCTCGAGTCGACTTGGGCGTTGCGAAGGGGTTCAGCCATTGGGCATCCAGTCGGAGGTCTTTTTCGCAAGAAGAAATACAAAGCATATTCCGCCGCATATGCAAATTGTTGTGACGTGTAGTCTGTCTCTAACCAAGAAGAGAAAGCTTATAATGAATGGGCCGGAAGCATTTAGTGAGACTTGCTGCTTCATATACGTCGCTCAGTGGTCCGGGCACACCCGGCGCGCCGCGCGCGCCGATGGGCCAGGGGGGCCAGAGAGGATAAAAGCTCGGAACCAATGCCTTTGGTGCTTTGGCTACCTAACCATGTACCGAGCGCTTGGGGTTCAAGTAAACAGCCAATGTCAAAGGAGAGAGAAACGATACAGTAAAGAATAAAAGTCCTCAAGACGGATCCCACCGTGGAGCCTTTGACCCTGCCCTTTCATCGGAACCCCCCGACGACTGGAGATTCACGACTCAAACTCGTTCCGGGCATTATCGCTTTTTTCTCTTACGTCGTCGGCTCCCCAACATTTTGAGGGGGCACGTAACGTAGCCTCCAAAAGGCCACAAGTGTTGAGTTATACATAAACCCTGTGCAGCTGGGCTGCATTGAAAGGAAACAAGGCCATGAGGGATAAACTTGTCTCAAGAAAACATAGTCGATATTTCCGTAAATACTTGTTAATTACAAGCTTGGTGCTTGTTTTTGGACCGGCAACCTTTCGAAAAACTTGCACGCTGAATGTTGGCGTTGGAGGCGAGAGGCACTTTTATGAATCTAAGAGAAACGTATGAAATTCATAAAAATGCCCCAAACGTACACGTTTCAGGACTCAGGGGTGTGAATATGAGCGAGAAAGAGTACAATATCAATATACGTACCCAATTTTGGGAAAGATGCAGCCAAGACACAAAACTTGAACAGTTGCAAATGGCGCCATTGCTTGCATCAAGACGGCGACTGTCAGCCACCGCTATGGGCACATGGCCCATTATGGGTGTGGCGTGTTTCCAGCAGAATGATCTCAGTGTGTTCTATTTTGACTGCTGCCTACCTAGAAAGCCAGAAATAGCGATTCAGACGTACCCCGCCGAGTAACTACAACTGACTAAAAAGCACTAGTTACATTACTGTAGCGACACCCACAACGGTTTTTACGAAGTCCAATGCAGGTATCTACTCATTAGCCATGCTGTGCGATGCTCGAAAAGATGTTCACCGGACGACTGTCCTGCGTTTCAGAAATGTGCCTACGCCGGTTACGGGTTCTGGCGTTTTCCTGCTTCAAGCTCCAGGGTAACAAACGCTTGCACTACCTACATTAGCAGGCAAAGGAATGGCCGTGGGCAACCACGTTCATTGATACCGGGTATAAGCAAGCCGAACTTTCTTCCATTTCGTTGATGCTTGCTCTTCATGCCGGTACACCAAGGAACCGGACAATTCTTCCAACAGCCTGATCATCGCCTTCTACCGTTTCGGCGAGCGGCTCGTCTACCCACCCTGGTGACCACCCACCTGCAAAATCAATCAACTCAATGTCGTCATTCTCATTTACAATAATGTTAGAGGGTTTGCCGTCACCCCAAACAACACCAATGCTATGCAAGTTTGCCACTGTCTGGCGTACCTGATCTGCCCACTTCAGCCTGTTGTTGAGAGGGACTGCTGCCATATTGATGTCGCGTAAAGTTTTCCCGCGGGAGCTAGAAGGAACCCACTGACGCAGTAGACCGATGATTGCTTTGGAATGTGCATGTATAACATATGCATAAAGGCACGGTGCGCGTATAGTCACACCGGTACGTGCAATGGCCCCTTGGATCGACTGAAGAGCAACTAATCCCTGCTCCAGGCCGCTATCCCAAAGCCCTGCTCTACTAGCTTTGCATAGCAAGTCTCGTCCGTCAACGTGCACACGACCAACTATGCCACTGCCGCTAACAAAGATATCCTAGACGAGAATATCCTCAGCAGAATAACAGGAGAGTTAATGGTTAGGTTGGAAGATTATATCCAATCGAGGTTCTGGTGGAGTGTCGGGTAGCGCGACTCCTTCATCTAAGCGAATTTAGAAAATTTGTGGTTTGCCATTAATTATTTGAAGGCGGAAGTTAAGCGACTCGGGATACAACAGAGATTGTAAATCTTGGGCTGTAGAATGTACGGTAGAATATAGCTGGCGCATTGGCGGTGCTGCTTGAGAAAAAGAGGATCGCCCAACGAAAAGAATGACATCTAGCGCCTCGTTTATCATATCGTCATAGTCTTCGTCCGCGGCAATCACGGCTTGGTTTAGGAGGCATATGATTCGGTTTTCGATGGGGGAATCGTGCAATGGCCCGTCCCCGTTTGGTAATGAGCTGGCAAAAAAAGACATGGTGATTCGCCTGGCGTTATAATCTAGTGTTATATCGGCACCTTCTTCATCGCCAGCATTAATGTGCACGACCCTAATATCGTCGAGTTCGTGGGCCATCATTGGAGCAGAAAAAAAAAAACGAACTGATTGCTGAAGGGAAAAAGAAGCTCACATTGGGCTGTGTATAGGTACTGAGGGAGCCGCCCAAGCTGGTACCAAAAAACATGGCCGATTCTCTCACAGACATCCTATATACCAAATGGTGGCCATGTTTTTTGGTACCCGCTGATCCATTCCAACGCCCCACTTTCAGTCCAGGCACGTAACTTAAATTCACGATGGGGCTTGTATATCTAACTAATTAAATATCTTAGTTCTTCTGTTCTTGTCCCTTCTTCGTCGGGCCTGGGGTTAGGCTATCAGCCCAACCCGATGCTTCCCGACAGAAGCTATCCTTTTATAGCCCCGAATCCATATTTCTTTAACCGCACGCTAGAGTCCATCTGACAGATTCAAGCATACTCAGTTAAAGCGATGGCACGCTACTGTGGTTGGGGGTGTAAGGGCGACAACGGACGGTGGGGAAATTTGGGAAGCGCTCGCCGCCGCGGAGTGGCTCCAAAACCCGCGGACTGATATTTGCCAGTCAGTCCTTCCCGTCGACTGTGTCACAGCGGAATACACCTTTTCGCACACCAACAACGATTATCTCTCATGTGCTAATGTTGTCAAGAATATTGAGAAGAAAGGAGTTTGTTTGTAGTGCAATACGTCTGCGGCTCACTCAGGGTATCTTGTGACTTGACACTTGTATCCGGCCAAACACGATTACAGGTCCACATAATCATCTTTGCAAACAATCTCGGCGATTTCCACTGCTTGGACCGATCAATACACGGTATATAGTCGTCAATGACCGGTAGAAATCCTGAATTATCCGTGCTAGGAGGCCTCTGGCGTCTTTGAAGTCAAAGAATGGCCAACTCAGCTTGTCGAACGCATGGTTGATTACATGTATACCGGCAATTACGGAGATTGGACAGCTGACACCGAGGAACAAACCGATGTTGATAAGGAACAGCAGACGTGCTTTTCACATCCTATGGTCTTCCATGCCACCATGGCCAGCCTGGCTGATATGTATATGATCAGCGGATTGCATAAGCTTGCCGAGATGTGGTTTGAGAGTGCTGTTCGAAACATGACCGACGTTCTCCGCAGTATTGGAGATGTCACAGTTGTAACATAATGGGCTTGAATAAGTTTTATGCAAATCAAGCGCAGGACAGCCGGCAGTAGGGACGATTTTTTTACTATCAAAATAGAGTTCTAGACTTGTACAGCACAACGTAAACCAAGCGGAGAAAAGAGGAACCAACAGTCTCAAGACATGTTTTTTTCTCTTTGATTTAGTCCAAAGTTGGAAAAGCAACATCATCAAGTCTTTTTCAAGATGTCTTAAAGCTGGCCAACAGCTTGCCAATTATACACATTTTGCCACTTTGTAGAACGAGTCTAAGCCCTGACTGCGTTGGACTGCTTGGCAGCCTGCTGGTCCGGATTAGGGGTCAATCTTTGGTTGAGCGCCGGCTCCGGGATGCGGGAGGCCATACGGTCCGGAATGAGCTCCGGAGAGACGGATCGGAGGGGGTACTCGGTGGCGGGCGTGGCGCGAAGGAGCTGCGAGGTAGTGGGCTGGGGCGCGAGGATGGTCGGAGAGGAGACGGTGTCGATGCGCGTTTCAGGGACGGGGCCGTTGCCGGTGCGGACCTTGGAGGGGAGAATCTGCTGGAAGCCGGCCTCTTGGGCGACCTTTTCGATGCTCTTGAAGTACTGTGGGCGAGTGTTAGCTGCACGATTGTCTAGTTGGACATCTGTGGCGTCGCATCATACCCTGACCGTCTTGACCTGGAGCTCGAGGGTAGCGTCCTCGTCGGCGACAATCATGGGGTGCGGGTGCAGCTGGAGGCTGGAGAGCGTCCACATATGGTTCACGCCCTGCTCGATGCATCGCTGGAGGGCGAGCGACTTGCGCTGGCCGAGGATGATGACGACGACCTCGCGGGCCTCGAGGACGGTCTGGACGCCGACGGTTAGGGCCATACGAGGCACCTTGTCAATGTCATTGTCAAAGAAGCGTGAGTTGGCGAGGATGGTGTCGTAGGCGAGCGTCTTGACGCGGGTGCGACTGGCGAGGCTGGAGCCGGGTTCGTTGAAGGCAATGTGGCCGTCCTCACCGATGCCGGCGAGGAAGAGGTCGATACCGCCGACACGCTTGATGGCGTCCTCGTAGGCGACACATTCGGCCTCGAGGCTAGGAGCGTTGCCGTTGAGAATGTGGACGTTGTTGGGGTGGACGTTGACGTGGGAGAAGAAGTTCTTCCACATGAAGGAGTGGTACGACTCGGAGTGGTCGCGAGGAATGCCGACATACTCGTCCATATTGAAGGTGACGACATTTTCGAATGAGATCTGGAGATTTTCTTAATATCCGACGTAATTTCCGGCGAAGAAGATGCAGCAGGCGAAACTGCAGGGTGCAGCCATTGAGAAGCTAAAATGTGCAAGTTTCGGCGGAGTCTTACCTCACCAGCCTTGTACTTTGCTACGAGGACCTTGTAGACGCCCAGAGGGCTGGAGCCCGTAGGCAGACCGAGAACAAAAGGGTTCTGGGGTGTGGGCTTGTAGGCGTTGATGCGATCAATAATGTAGTTGGCTACGTAGTTGCTGGTGGCCGCAGCATCGTCGCGAATAATTAGTCTCATGATGACGTCGGGCGAGCAGTGTGTGTAGTGGGGGTCTTCTGGTGAGGGCCGAGGTGCAGAGACAGTGTAGACCAACAAGGAGGACCGAAAATGAAAGAAATACAGATGCTAGATATGATGTTATTCCAAGAATAAAAGTAGGCAAACAAGACGGTTGGTACACTGAAAAGAAGAGGATGAGAAAAAAAAAAAAAGGAAGAGCTGGAGTTGGAGAAAGAAGGGGCGGGAGGAGGAGGCGAGTGGTGGTGTGTTGGAGACTAAGGTGATGTCAATGTAGCAGTGGGAGCTTCGGTGCGGAGTATACAAGCTGGGATAAGAAGCTGGGCGGGCTTACTCGTAGCAGAAAGGTAGAAAGCTACCTAGAAGGCTACCCCAAGACAAACGTGTGTAAGACGAGTGACGGGACGGCATGACAGCACAGAGGGCTAAGCCTTGTTGTAATTAATTAGGTGGCTGCCTGACTGGTCTGGAGCAGGCTGGCCTACATACGGCTCTCGAAGGATGAAGCACATCTATGAGAGAATGGGTAATAATTTTGACTTGAAGAATCGCCAGTTTGCCAGCCACCCAACCCTTAGCCAGAGGTCCGGAATGTGCCATCTAACGGTGCGGCGGCGGCGACGGCGACGGCGACGGCGGCAGCGCGACCAAAGCCACTGGCATGTGTGCTAACTACCTAGTACAATGGTTTGCAGTCCACTTACCTGTAAGTTTGTAGGTACACCTAGGGAGCTTGGGAGTCTCAACGTTTGTGCAGCACCGCAATACTGGTAGCGGTGCTCTTTCGGTTGGGGCCACCAATCGCCGTCGTTGGCGGCCCTCCTCTTTCCGCTGGTTACGGAACATGGGAGTGTGGCTCCCTTTCCCCCGAGCCCCAGCTGCGCGGATGGAACGTCACTGTATGGTTTTCCTACAAATATTTTGGGGCCTCCGCACTTTTCCGGAACCTCGTTTCATCCCCAGCCAGAACGTTGCCCTTGGCCTTACTGGGGTGGCTGGTCTGCTCGCTTTTTATTGGGCAATTGGCCGGGGGTGCCAAGGGAATAGACCGGCGACTTGAAATGCGGCATGGCATGGGCGCTCGTTGGACGTCTGCAGCATCGGACATATTTCGTCTCATTGAAAAAAAAAGAGAAAAGACAGTTGTTGTCGAGCGATGAATTGCAGATCGCCTTGCTTTGGCGCCAAAAAAAAAAGGACTAAGAAAAAGTCAATCATGTAACTGGGACAGCCGGCGATGCGGCTCTTTGATGCCACAAACGGCGTGTCAGAACGTCAACCGAATAGACATGCCGACGAATAGAGACCAGCCAACCAGCCTTCTCGGCACATTGAAAACCCGTCAAAGACAGCCAAGAAGACGAAATCCAGGCAAAGTCACGATGAGGTATGGAACCCCGTGGGCCGTGGTTGCAGTAGACTTGGAGCCAATCCCGATACAACCAGCTCGGTCAGCAAGGAGACAATTGGCAAGATCAGCCACCTTGACCGAAGAACGCTCCGCATCGTCACATTCAACCCGCCTGGGCGACCAATTCTTCTCTTTTATCCCCTTTCCTTCCTTTCTTTCTTTTTTTTTCGGGCGAAGTGCAGGCCGGTGACGGATATTACGCCGAGGCAAGAACGTCGTCGTTGAACCCGGTCGTGGTAACCATGCCTGCGAGTGCCGCAAGCGAACAAAAAGTTGAGACGAAAAAAAAAAAAAAAAAAAAAAAAAAAAGGCGGCGTCTTGCCAAAATACAGAACACAAAACGTGTCAGCAATTACTACCACGTATAAGCAAAGCAAGGCAAAGCAACATTTCATGCCTCGCCGGCAGCTATAATATCGAATAAGCGTAAAACACTCTAAATACTCGGGCAAAGACAATTAGGCATGCAATTAATATATCATGCAAAGGATCCCGTCAAACCGCCGAAAAAAGAAGCGAGCCAGCTAGAGCCATGCGTGGCGGGATGAGCGCAACAATAGTAGATGTAAAAGTACATGGGTCGGAAGCTACCGTCTGGTGATTTCTGACTCCACGGATACTCACACAAACGATACTGGTTTGCTCGGTCTTTGATATTTAAACCATTCTTGCAAAGCCGGCGAGGAAAGGTGGTATAAGCCACCAAAGTACGAGATATGTTGTTAGCCTAGCGGCGCCAAGCAAAGATGGCAACCGCCATCTGATGAAGATGCTGAGAAACGAAACGGTCATGGGGTGGACTGATAGCAGCAGGAATTTTTGACTTGGCTGTAGCTTGATGGCTTTGACGGTTTTCTCCATGCAGTCAAAGGGTGCTGGCGACATGACCCCTAGTGAGTTCGGCAAAGCATGGCGAACTGCAGCATCAGTCTGCAGGAGCCCGTGGCCCCCACGTAGCAGTCGCTTCTTTGCTCTTGCTGTGGCTTGCATAGTTGCTTATCAGATGATGGTACCCGCTCGCATCACGACTTGCATCAGGATCAGTTGACAGTCGGCAATGGAGGACGAATATGAAGATCAGGCAAGTGCGGCGCGGGGTGGGCTACGAGTTTGAAGTTGCCGTTGGCGGACGAGGCACGAGACGAGGACAAGGCCAAATGGAAGGCCCCGGGTGGCTGAGTGAAACGGCCGCGGGCGGTTTCGGGGGAATTATGGTGGACGTGGAGGAGGAGGTAACATCGTGGCTTCTTGGATTCGTGGATTCGTGGATTCGTGGTGGATGATGATGATGGTGGTGGTGAAGAGTAGTTGTACAGGGCCGTTGATGGGGTGTTTTGGGGTGATTTGGCTTTGTTTGTGGATCAAGGGCCCAAAGCCCCATGAACATTACTTCTTTATTGATGAATGCACTGGGGCCCCAAACAGACGCAAACGATGCCGGTAATACCTGCAATAAAAGCTGGAAGAAGGACTCCGCCTCGCCTAGCGCCGCATCCCATCGCTGGGGAAGCGCTAATGAAAGAGTAGGCCTACCTTGGCAACTTGGTACCTACGCTAAACTGGGCTGCAATGCTGGCAAAATCCAAGAGTCTTCATCGCAACGTTACAGCACCCCCGGCTTTTTGTTTCCCCCCCAACTTTTCTTTACTTTGCACCAGCAAACCAGGAAACTTTCCACTGCGGAGCTACCATCGACATCACTCCGGCCCTTCTCAAGAGCCCCTGGTCCACTGTCAACAAGACTCAGCTCGAGTTTTTGCCTATTTCTCCCAACAATGAGACGCATTTACTTCGGAAATTGGGCATTGGCTACTGGCCTGCGCCGGACCTCGCCGCCACCCAAGGTCATGCTGCCAGACTGGCGCTAACCTACCTACGTGCCTACCTAGCAACCTGGTACAACAACAATCACCACCATTACCACCACCACCACCACCATCTGCACATCACCACCACCAATCTTCATGATCCTTCCCCCAAAATACGAGCCTCTAACCAACCAACCAACTCACTAGCGCTGCGCCGCTTATTATCACACAAATAGGCAAAAAAGAGAGTTATTGTTGCTTCTAGTACTCGTTGCACGTCAATTGCGGCACCTTCTTTGTCGTCTTCTTTCTCCTCACCCCTACAAACACCCACCCCCCTAGGCATCACCCATACAATTCTCGACTACTTTCGACCTTTCGACGCCACCACTTTCCTTCACACTTTTATTTTTATTTTTTAGTATTTTTATTTGCATCGTTCCGCCTCGCCTTCTCCAGGAAAAGTCGTGCCACGCCGCGCGACTCCCCTTCCCCACGACCACAACGTTCATGCGTGTAGCCCTCTCCATCCATCGACCACATACGACTCGGGGCTCCGCATTACAATCGCCTCTGCGACGTTGGTTTACCGACCTGACCAGTTCCATACGCCGCCGCTAGTTGCCTGCAAATCAACGCCCTCTTTCCTTTCCGTCCGAACCGCCACCAAGCTCTTTTTTCTTCTCACTACTTCGGCCCTTGCTTCCCGTCGCAGCGCTTCTCCTCTTCCTTGTCCTAAACGATTTCTTTGCAACGTCCAAAAAGGCGGCCCGGTTCTTGCCTGGTAGAAACTCCACCCGGCCGCCACCATCCATTCACCTTGTCTTCTACTACTACGTCCTTTCGCAATACAACTACGTCCTTCGCAACGCAACAACCCACTGCTGATCCTCTCCTCTCTTCTTCTCTCACTACCATTTCATTCGGTATACCAGAAATCACACAGTTGATCACGACTCTCATCTCCTCTCTTTACCATCTCATCCGCTATCCGAGAAATACACAATTGATAACGGCTCCGTCAGAAACAACCACACTCGACTTCGTCTTCAGCCTTCCTTCGCCCTCATCTCACTCAACCTTCCTCCTCGCTCTTGCATCGCATGCACGCGCCTCACCCGCAGCCTCAGACTAGCTCACCTTGACGTTACCACCACCACATGTCTCGGGCCCTCCACACGCATTCCAGCATCGTTCTGCCCACCCATCCATCCGCTAGCTTGATCGCAGCTTTATATATATCACTTAAACTTTCCCGAGACCCGCCCGCTCGTCTCATCTGCCCTGCCTCTCCTGCCTGTTCTTTTCACCCCATGTTATGCAGCCGCTCGTTTCTGCAATGACGACTTTTAGGAAAGCTTTGTTTGCCGCCCTCGTCAAGAGTTTGCTGCGTGGCAAGTCTCTGATCCAGGCCATCATCGCCTACTGTATGCATCCCTCGGGTCCTAAGCACCATGCCGCTTCCCAAAAGAGCCTCGACGACTTCCTCAAGGACGCCGAAACTGCTCTGCTCGGTCCTGTTAGCGGCGATGGTCTGGCCAAGCTATCACTCAACCTACGCAAGCAGTTCTTTGACGGCTTTCAAACAGAATTGGAATGCATGCTGCCTTCCTACAGCCACCAGTTACCTACTGGCTTCGAACATGGCCAATATCTTGCCCTCGATGTCGGTGGCTCTACCCTCCGAGTCGCTCTGGTAAAGCTACCAGGTCGCTCTGCAGATACCAACAACGAAGGTGACATTGTCAGCATGCAAACCTTCAAAATCACCAGAGACATCAAGAATCTCGAGGGTATGGCCTTTTTCAACTGGATGGCTGCCAGAATTAAGGAAACTCTATCATCAAGTCTGAAGCAGAACAGTACCTCGACAACACCCATCCCTGTGGCTCTCGCTTGGAGTTTCCCCATCGAGTGAGTCCTGGCCGTAAAACGGCCCCCTGCCAATTGCATCGAATGCTAACTTTGAAAAGACAAACCTCGCTAGGTGGCGGAAAGTTTGGAAGAATGGGCAAAGGATTCCTCGCCGACGTTGGTCTTCTGGGACAAGATTTAGGTGACATAATCAAAAAGGCAAGCGAGAACGAGGGGCTCAACGTCGAGCTCCAGGCGATCGTCAACGACTCGAGCGCATGCTTACTCTCGCGCGCCTACTCGCACCCGTCAACTCGATTCGGTCTCATCCTCGGCACGGGCGTCAACATTGCTGCCTACATGCCCGTCTCTTCCATGGGCCGTGCCAAGTTTGGCGTCCGTCCTTCCGGCTGGTTTCAAGAGGCTAGCCATGTTATTGTCAACACCGAACTCGGCATGTTTGGCACCGGCATCCTTCCCTTAACCCGATGGGACAAGCTTCTTCTCAAGGACCATCCTAGACCCGAGTTTCAGCCTCTCGAATACTTGGTCAGCGGCATGTATCTTGGCGAGATTGTCCGCATAGCCATTGTTGAGGCCGTTGCGTCAGCGGGTCTTTTCGGAGGCATTCTTCCCGAGTCACTCACCACAAACTACACACTGGGGACCGACACTGTTTCCATAGTTGCGAGGTATGTCAAATTACGATTCATTACTGATACACCACGCTAAGTGCACTACAGTGATTCGACTTCAGAACTCACCGAAGCCATTCGAATCTTTTCTGAACGTCACCCCTCCATCCATGTTCCCACCACCACTGACATGGCTGCCATAAAGTCACTCGCCTCATTCGTTGCTGTGCGTTCCAGCGCGCTAGTTGCCACGTGTCTTTACACTCTCTGGGATGCCCGTCTCGAGGCTGAGAGAGATTTTGCTCAGACGCTGCCCAAGGATTCACCTTTGCGCAAGCGAGTCGAGGACGATATCGAGCTGGAGAAGACGACCGTCTCCTTCAACGGCAGCGTCATTGAAAACTTTCCCGGCTATCTCGAGAGCTGCCAGCGCCATGTCAATGAGCTGCTGCAGAGCAAGGGATACGCCAAACCCCGTAGCATCGAGCTTGTTCTTGCCAAGGAGAGCTCGCTCATTGGAGCCGCCGTTACCCTCGCATGCATCAACCCGGAGGCATAAATTATTTACAAGACCTCTACCATTTGCACATAATACCTCTGGCATTCTTGCGCAATTGTTTATATTTTATACTTTGTATTTTTGGAGCTATTAAGCATTGGGTGTGCGGCAAACGTCAGCATGCATAGAGGCGCAGGCTAGCATTGTTTAATTTCGTTTCCCGAGGCGTATCATTGGACAGTCTATTTCCCAGGCTCAGGAATACAAATTCCAGATTAGTCAAACTTTACCTGACTCCAACTGAGAATCCATGTGCCCGGAAGATGGTGGGCAAGGCATACTCTTGATGCAATCTTGTAATTTACTAAACTATGAGCGGAAACCAGCTATATTCATCTGTTGATCTATTTTTTTTAACAGATGCGTTCAGTGTTGTCTGCAAAAGTACAGTCTGCCACTTACACGGCACGTTGGGGTAAAAGGCATATACGCGCCATCAGGTGACCACCTGAGCGGTTCGCGTCGCGGCCACATTTGGCGCGTCACCAAACAAATAGGCGCCCACCTTTTAGCTCGCGTCAGCCTCCAGGAGCAGTACATGCGTCAGTCAATATCCTTTGCCGAGAGACATTTTGCTATTATTGTCATGCTGCGTTTTCAGTAGCGACATTACCAAATCTCCGAAAGAATACAATCCACTGCAGACGACCGCAGGCATGGGCGAGGGCCTCTTTCACGAGTGCGCGATCGCGTTTGTGCCGAGCAGCTCGCTCACGCCCAAATCAATCAGCGAGGTACGCAATTCGGCAGTTGCGTCATCTGTTACGACTGAACCTTTCTGACGAACTATTTCCCAGCTCTCGGCCATACTCGAAGATAATGGAGCGGAGATCCTCGAGCCGCGCCGCAACGGCACCATTGCCACAGACAAGGTCACGCACATTGTCTCTAACACGATTGACTTTCAACAGTACACCGAGACGCAGGCCATCATGATTCCCGTAGTGACGACGCATTGGATTACGGCGTCGGTTAGCAAAAGGCGCGTCGCGCAGGTGCGCCCATTCTCGCCTGACCCGCGCCTCATATTCTCCGAGGTGGTGGTGACATGTGCGGACCTGCCCGTAACGGACAAGGAGAGCATCTTGGGCGCCGTGATGGCACTGGGCGGCCAGGAGAGCAAGGATGCCACCAAGATTACGACTCATGTGTGCGCCTTGTCCATGGACCATCCAAAAGTGCAGGTTCCGCTCTCCAAGGGCTGGAAGGGCAAGGTTGTCTTGCCGCATTGGTGAGCGCAGGCGTTGCAAAAGCTATGTGTTTTTTTTTTTCACCTTTGCTGACTTTTGCAGGTTCGACGACTGTTTCAAACTCGGTAAACGAGTCGATGAGACCCCGTATTTACTGCCCGACCCCGAGATTCTGAAAAAGACGCGCGAGGACGCCCTCGATATCCCCGTCAACGACAATCTAGACGGCGCCACATCGGCAAATCCGCAGTGGCTGCCGCTGCCTTCCGACGACGACGTGGCACGCCCTCCCTGCACAGTTTTCCAGCAGCGCAAGGTGCTTCTCGGTTCGGACCTCAACATCACGCCGCGACTCACCAAAGCCGTCCGGGATATCATCATCAACGGCGGCGGCAGAATGGTCGACACGGTCGACGCCTGCGACATGTACATTGGCCAGTATCGCGACGGCGAGCAATACGTGCGCGCCTGCCAGACCTGCAAAGATGTCGGAAACCTGTCGTGGCTCTACTACCTCATTGTGCAAAACGCCTGGACCTCGTCCCTGCGCCGCCTTCTGCATTACCCGACGCCGCGCGACGGCATTGAGGGCTTCCGCGGCCTCCGCATCACCGTCTCCAACTACGGCGGCGAGGCGCGCATCTATCTAGAGAACTTGATAAAGGCCTGTGGCGCCGAGTTTACCAAGACGATGAAGCAAGACAACACGCACCTGGTCACGGCGCGCGACTCGAGCGAAAAGTGCCGCGTGGCGCCAGAATGGGGCGTGGCCGTCGTCAACCACCTCTGGATCGAGGAGAGCTATGCCAAGTGCCAGCTCAAGCCGATCAACGTGCCCAAGTACAATCATTTCCCGCACCGCACCAACCTGGGCGAGATTATTGGTCAGACGTTTCTGGATGAGGGCAAGCTGCGGGAGCTGTATTACCCGGGCGGTGGCGGCAAGGGGAAGGAGCTGACGGGCAGCGCCAAGAGGAAGCGCAAGATTCTCCAGGCGGCTGAGGACAATGCGTACCACAATGGGCCGGCGGACGGCGTGGTCGTGGCGCAGACGGCGCGGGACGTGGACGAGGATGTGCTGATGAACGATGACGCGGAGAATTCGCCGCCAAAAAAGTCGACTCCCGCGCCGAGAAAGACGGCTCCCGCGCCGCCAGTCGAAACACCGGTTCGGGCGCGTCACGCTCGCGCCGGAAAGGAGAATGATACGCCGTCAGTCGTGTCGACCGGTGGCCGCAGCGCAAAAGCCAAGGCCAGGGACATGCTGCAGAGCATTGCGCCTGATATTGCGCTGTACGAAAAGGAAAAGAAGCGTTCGACCAAGGCGACTACGCCTTTTGGCGGCAAGCGGGCGGCTAATCTCGTCGAGAAGCAGAGACTGGCTGAAGAAGAAGCTAAAGAGCGCAAGGCAAAGGGCAAGGACAAGACAGAGGATGATGATGAGGTGGCCAAGCGACCGAGCAAAAAGGCGAGGCCGTCGTTGCCCGATGTGGAGATGCGCGTGATTCTCACTGGATATACGAGATGGGTAGAGGACAAGCACAAAGAGGACGTCGATAGAGTAAGTTGTGTCACGGGGTTTGAAGTATGGTGTTTCCATGAGCTAACTGTTGGCAGCGAAAACTGCGCGACATGGGTATCCAAATAGTGCAAGAAGGGCAAGCGTGCGACTACCTCATCGCTCCGCATATCGTGCGGACGGTCAAGTTTCTGTGCGCCCTGGCGCGGGGCCCCGAGGTCATCTCCTCTTCGTTTATCGATGCCGCGCTGGAGACGGGTCAGCTGCCCGACGTGAGCGAGCATGCGCTCGAGGATAAAGACGCGGAGAGTAGGTACAACTTCACGCTGGACAAATCTGTCGGCCGGGCCAAGGCACACCGGGGTCGACTGTTGCAAGGCGTGGCCGTATACTGCACCGAGGCCATCAAGAATGGGCCGAGAAGCTACCAAGTGATTGCCGAGGCCAATGGGGCGATCTTCAAGATTTACCGGGCGCGTAGCGGCACCACCATCAAGCCAACGACGGCGGAGCAGGATGGTGGGGCGCCGCCGGAACCGGTGTATCTGCTGAGCGGCGCGAGCGCAGAGGAGAGGAGCCTGTGGCCGCGGTTCAGGGAGATGGCGATTAAAGGCCACATGGAGCCGCGGATCGTGGCGCCGGATTGGCTGCTGGACGTGGCGATGGCGCAGCAGGTCCGATATGATAAAAAGTTTGCGGTGGAAAACTTTGCGCAGAAGGAGTGAGGGGATCAAGGTAGGAGTCTGGAGGGATCGTGATTTGTAGGCTTATGAGTTGTAGTTTCGGCAGCATTGGTGGTTTACATCTCCCGGGAGTATAGACCATATCGGGAGTGTTTTTTTGTTTTTTGTTTGTTGTTTGTACCGTTTTACCAAGTATATATCATGCTGTAATGACAATTCTGGCCCCTTGTTCCGGATAGAATAATCAGAAGAATTTTACGCCGAGAGAGTCTTGCTGGCCAAAAATTTGCGCCTTGCCGCGCTTGACGAGTATGTTGAGGGCCTTGCGCAGGATTTCGGCATCGATGCCGTGAAGTTCTGTGGCATCATTAGCACACAGAGACGCGCGAGTTCGGCAGGATTTCGGCATGCAGATAGGGAAGAAGATGGAGAAGGCGAAGGCGAAGGCGAAGGAGAAGGAGAAGGAGAAGGAGAAGGAGAAGGAGAAGGAGAAGGAGAAGGAGAAGGAGGAGGAGAAGGAGAAGGAGAAGGAGAAGAAGAAGAAAACATACCCGTATTTCGCGTCCCGTCGCCTTCGGATATTTCATACACGGTCATGACGCTGCCCTTTTGCGCCGTCTCCTCGACGTACGCCTCCACCAGGGCCGCCCACTCCTCGGGCCTCTTCCAGTACACGAGCACCACGTCCTGCGTCTGCTCCGCCGGAGCCGCTGCTAGGTACTCTGCCTCGCCGTTCTTGACCATGGCGTCCATCAGCTCCCGAATGTCGGGCGGCTGCAGCCGGCGCTCGAGACGGCGGTTGTAAAAGAGGTCCGACTCGGCGGCCTCGGAGAGGCGGAGGCGAAAGAGGCGGTGGCGGCGCGCGTACGAGAGGACGAGGGCGGCCCAGGTGCGCAGCTGGGCGTGGTGAGTGGTCAGGTTGGTCTGGCGCGTGAAGAAGGCCGGGAAGTAGTATTCTGGTGGGAACTTGAAGTCGGCGACGGCGGCGGTGCCGGCGGTAGTGCTGGCGGTTTGTTGCTGCGACATTTCCTGCGGGTGGGAGGAGTTGGGATCTTTAATTGGGGAGGGGGGGGGGGAAGCCGATTCCGTGGAGAGATGCTGGAAATGAGAGAATTAGGCTATTTTTTTTTTTTATATAAAAACGCAGCCACAGGCGCAAAAGGTAGGATGTGGCGCGTGGTGGTTGGTGGATGGTGAGATGCAGTGCAGTGTGAGGGTTGAGATGAGGTCAGCCAGGCTACGTCAAAGTGGTGCTGTCTCTCGGCGGCAGAGTGCCACCTGGGCTAGGTAATAGGTACCTAGGTACCTACCTAATCAACAGAAGTGGTGGGGTGTTGGCTCGTCACCCGACCCGAAGCTGCAGCAGCGACAATTACTTTGCATAATCCTCTTTATCCTGTACAAGAACGGACGGAAGATAAATGCATGCATCAGTAAATGGCCAAAATTCGATGGAATGCAGTACAGTACTCCGTACAGTACAATACAATAGTTGAGCCTCAATCGATCGACGGCAAGACTGGCCCCCCTGGCTGCCCGCTCACAATCTTTCCGCACAGATATCAGCCCCAGCCAATCGGGTGTTGCTGATACCAAAACGACCACCGATCGCCCCCCCAGATAAACCTTGAACAAACGAGGCGAAATACAAGCACCCCCCCAAAAGCCCACAGATAAGCTGCAAGTGCGACCCCTTGAACTTTGCTTCTCCGGGGCATTTCCTGGGGGATGCGCAAACAAGATGGAACAAAACGGCTCTTATCATGCGACACGTGCACACAGACACACCTCGGCGTGTCGGCATCGTGCAGTTCCTAGGCGGGTGGTGGCGGGATGTGGCCTGAGCTTATCCGTCTATCGCCGCAAAAGAAGACTAACGATCCCAAGATATGAATTGATGCTGGAGAAGAGGCTTTCTGTCCAAGATGCTTCTCCGCGGGAGCATGTGCGTTTCTGTTTTTGTTATGCGCAGACCATGATTGGTAGGCCATTGCCGACGGCGCACACGGGAGGCCCGACACATCTTAAATCTTGGTCGTCCCTATACCCTGACGTGCGGACGGTTTGGATTCTGCAACGTTGTCGAATTTGGTCACACACACATCATGGCAGGAACAGAACCGCCCCGGAAGAGGCTAGTTGTCGTCGGCCTGGGCATGGTGGGCATTTCATTCATGTAAGCTGCCTATCGTGCAGGAACGACTGCTCTAAACGCTTTTCTGACATTGAACTAGAGAAAAGATTCTCAAATACGACACAAAGGAGAGAGAATACGACGTGACCGTCCTCGGCGAAGAGCCGTACCTGGCCTACAACCGCGTAGGCCTGACGAGTTTCTTCTCTCACCGCGAGATTCCCAACCTATACCTCAATCCACAAGAATGGGTACGACTACAGCACTCTACTACGTGGTAAATTGGCTAAATAAGATCAAAATAGTATGATACAACGGCGAAAAAGGGCCTCGCGTGCCACATTAGCACCAAGGTCGTTGACATTGACACCGCCTCCAAAACGGTGCACTGCGAGACGGGTCAGAGCGTGCCCTATGATACCCTTGTTCTTGCCACCGGCTCCGACGCCCTGCTGCCTCGGCGCACACCCGGCCACGACGCCCACGGCGTCTTCGTCTACCGCACCATTGACGACCTCGTCCGGCTCATCGCCTTTGCCAAAGACCGGGGCGCGACCGACGGCGTCGTCGTCGGCGGCGGCCTGCTCGGGCTCGAGGCCGCCAAGGCCATGATGGATCTGCAAGTCTACCAAAAGGTCCGCCTAGTCGAGCGCAACGAGTGGGTGCTAAGTCGCCAGCTCGACGCGGACGCGGGGGGCATGGTGGTGCAGCAGGTTCGCGCGCTCGGGCTCGACGTGATGCTGCGCAAGCGTGTGCAGCGCATCCAGGTCGATAACGAAAACCACGTCCGGGGTGTAGTTTTTGAAGACGGCGAGGAGATTGCATGCAGCACCGTGTGCTTTGCGATTGGCATCAGCCCGCGGGACGAGCTGGCGCGCAATGCGGGCATCGACTGTGCAGAGGGTGGCGGCGGCATAGTCGTCGATGACGGGATGCGGACCAGCGCGGCGGATGTGTACGCGGTCGGCGAGTGCGCGAACTGGCAAGGCACTACGTACGGTCTCATCGCACCGGGCGTGGAAATGGCCGATGTGCTTGCGTTCAATCTGACGCAGGCCGCGCAGCACACGCCGCGCGTCTTCAAGCGACCAGACGTTAGCACCAAGCTGAAGCTGCTCGGCGTCGACGTCGCGAGCTTTGGCGACTTCTTTGCGGATCGTGACGGGGCCAAATATCTGCCGCCCAAGTACATTAGGGATAGCAAGGCCAATAATGGTGGCGGCGCCGTTGACAGGCGGCCCAAGATGCTGACGTACAAGGACCCGTTTCAAAACGTGTACAAAAAGTACATTTTCACGGCGGACGGCAAGTATCTACTAGGAGGCATGATGATTGGCGACACGAGCGACTACGTCAAGGTTGTGCCGCTCGTCAAGAACATGAAGGAGCTCGACGTTCCGCCCGGCGAGCTCATTGTGGGCGGCAAAAAGGGCGGCGAGGAGGATGGCGACGACCTCGACGACGACACGCAGATCTGCTCCTGCCACAACGTCACAAAGGGTGACATTGTACATCAAGTGCAGAGCGGCGAGTGCAAGGACATTGCGTCGGTCAAGGCCTGTACCAAAGCCGGCACCGGGTGCGGCGGGTGCATGCCGCTCGTGACGAGCATATTTAATAAGACCATGACGTCCATGGGCAACGAAGTGACAAACTATCTCTGCGAGCATTTCAACTACTCACGCACCGACCTCTTCAATATCATCATGGTCAAGAAGCACAAGACCTTTGCCGACGTCTTTGCCGACGCCGGCAACCAGACCACCACCACTACCACCACCACCATGACCGGCAGCGTGGGCTGCGAGCTCTGCAAACCCGCCGTCGCCAGCATCTTTGCCTCCCTCTGGAACAAGCACGTCCTGAGCGCCGCCCACCGCGGCCTGCAGGACACCAACGACCGCTACCTCGGCAACATCCAACGCGACGGCACCTACTCTGTCGTCCCGCGCATCCCCGGCGGCGAGATCACGCCCGCCAAGCTGCTCGCCATTGGCCGCGTCGCCGAGAGCTACGGCCTCTACACCAAAATCACCGGCGGCCAGCGCATCGACCTCTTTGGCGCCCGCAAGCAGGACTTGCCCGCCATCTGGGCCGCGCTCGGCGCCGCCGGCCTCGAGTCGGGCCACGCATACGCAAAGTCGCTGCGCACCGTCAAGAGCTGCGTCGGCTCGACCTGGTGCCGCTACGGCATCGGGGATGCCGTCGGGCTGGCGGTGCGGCTGGAGGAGCGGTACAAGAGCATACGCGCGCCGCACAAGATTAAAGGGGGCGTGAGCGGCTGCGTGCGCGAGTGTGCAGAAGCGCAGAGTAAAGAGTGCGTACCTGATTTCCCTTTTTTCTTTTTCCAAATTCTCTCTCTTCATCTGAACAAGAAAGATTATTCCAGAGAAGAAACCATGTACTGACAATAACAAAACAGCTTTGGGCTCATTGCCACGGAAAAGGGCTTCAACGTCTTCGTCGGCGGCAACGGCGGCGCCAACCCCAAACACGCCGCCCTTCTTGCCAAGGACGTGCCGCCCGCCGACGTCGTCGCCCTCGTCGACCGCTTCCTCATGCTCTACATCCGCACGGCCGACAAGCTGCAGCGCACCGCGCGCTGGCTCGAGGCCCTCCCCGGCGGCCTCGCCTACCTGCAGGACGTGGTCGTGCGCGACAAGCTCGGCCTCGCCGCCAGCCTCGAGGCGCAGATGCAAGAGCTCGTCGGCGGCTACTTTGATGAGTGGGCCGAGGCGGTCGCGGATCCCGAAATCAAGGCGCGATTCGCCCAGTTTGACAATGCGCCGGATGAGGCGCTGGCGGGCACGGAGAGGTTAGAGGAGAGGGAGCAGAAGAGGCCGGTGAACTGGCCCGTCGAGTCCGCCCCCGAGGACTTTCGGGCGCTCGGGACGCGGTCAGCCGGAGAGCAAGATGGTGGCGCTCCGTGGTCGAGCACGGCGTGGGAGCCCGTCATCTCAGCGGCTCACTTTGATGGCGCCGACGACCTGCCCAACGGCATCTCGGCGACGATTAAGCGCGGCGACACGCAGCTCGCCGTGTGGCGCGTCCGCGGACACTACTACGCCACGCAGCAAATGTGTCCGCACAAGCGCGCCTTTGTCCTCTCCGACGGCCTCCTCGGGCAGTCCACCACCGCTACCACTTCCACCGCCACCATCTCCGTCGATCCCGCTACTGGCGCCGCGCCCGCTCCTTGGGTTTCCTGCCCGCACCACAAGCGCAACTTTGACCTCGCGTCCGGGTCCTGCCGCAACGACGCCTCGCTGTCCATTGCCACGTTTGCCGTGGAGGAGCGCGCGGACCGCATGGTGCACCTGCTGCTGCCGCCGGTCGAGGAGCTCGACGACAGGCTGGGTACGAAAAAGTGGATGGTCAAGAGGGGAGAGGGCGGCGGCGGCGAGGATGAGCCATTGGCGGCGCTGGATCGCAAGTACAAGCTCGTGGGGAGGAGGGGAAGGAGGCCGGGCGCGGCGACGGCTGTGATGGCGGTGGCGTCGCCGCTCATTACGGCTGGAGGAGGCGGTGGGTGCGGCGCGGCGCCGGATTGGTAGACGCGAGAGAGAGTGTTATCGTACCAGTGACGAAACAATGGCAATTAGACAGACAGGCTAGGTGTTGTTGATAGTCTTCTTCCTTATGATATCAAATGGATAGAATGTGCATAGAGGTTCCGAAAAGACCAGTTTGGCACAAATGTGTTTCAAGATGTAGTACTTTCAAGCAAAGTATAGGAGGGGGATATCTACCAATGCTATTTGTACATGGCATTGAACATAAAAACCTAGTATAAAATATCCAGCAAGAAAAAATTATCAAAACACGAAAGGAACAAAAGAACAAAGAAAAACGCCGTCATCCAAATGGTAACTGAAACCCCACAGAAATTTTTTGAAAATATGCCTTTATTTTTCAAAAAAACAAACCAACAAAAAAGGAAGTCATCCATGCATTTTCTCTCTTGTCCTTTTTTAAATCCGAACCAATTGTTATACAAGAAATGCCGTTGTTGATTGTTGTTGGTGTCCAAGACCAAAACCTTGTAGAAGCCCTCCCCCCGCGTTTGTGTTGTGATGCGCATTACAATGAAAAAAAGGAAAAAAAAGATGAGAAACTAATTGAGTAGAAGAAACGACAAGGTTGTGCGGAGAGGTTTGCTTAGTTCAATCGGACTCGTCGTCGCTCACGTCAGTGGATGTTCCGTAACCCGTATCAACGTCCATGCCGACGAGGCTCTTCGTAATGACGAGGCAGCGCTCGACGACCTTGGCACGGATATCGGCGTCGATGCCGGCGTTTGTGCCGCAGGGTCCGCCGATCCATACGCGCATGGTGGCGGCGAGCTTCTCGAGGGAGGCGTCGACGGCGTCGGCTTCGGCGTCGGTGGCGCCGCTGCTGCGCTTCTGAGCCATGACGCGTTCGAGCAAGGTCATGACGGCCGTGAAGCCAAGAAGGGTCATGGCCGAGGCCATGGCCGGGTGTAGGGAGGCTTCGATGATACGGAGGGTCTGTGAAGGCGACACGACAACGGTGGCGTCGCGACCTGCTCGGGCAAGTTGGCCGACGGCGACGGCGCAGCGCAGCGTCAACAGCAGGTCAGGGTTCGAGGCGTGGCTGCTGGCGCCGATGATGATGGTGGGATCGGCGAGGGGGCTCTCGAGCCGCTCGGTGCCGAGGAGCTTGAGGGACGTGGCGATGCTGGCGCCGCGGGACTCATCGACGAGGGCAGCGCAGGCAAGCGAGGCGCGCAGCTTCGCAATGGAGCCGAGCGGCGCGACGTTGAAGGCAGTATCGAGGTTATCACGGTTGATATCCTTGGTATCGAGGGCTTCCGAGAGGACATCGTGCAGGAGGCAGGTAGAAAACCAGGCGGCAGCGGCGTCGAGGGGGGTGCCGACATAGACGTCGTAGACGACGGTGTCCATGCCATCAATATTGGGTCCGACACCCTCGGTGGTGTCCTTGTGGAGGGCGAGATTATACGCACGGTGCACGACGGCGTCTGTGAGGACCTCGTCGCAATCGCGCTGCACGAGGGCAGTGAGGTGTTCGGGAAGCTCGTCCTCGTTCGGTTTGGCGGGATCGGTGCGAAGCTGAATGAGGAGCTGGTTGAGCTGTCGGGCGTCGTTCCAACAGGAACGGGCAATCTTGGCCGCAATCATGTTGGCGGGGACGAAGCGCGTTTGGCCGAGCTTCCAGAGCAGCACGCGCACATGCAAAGCCTTGAGCATGAGACGCGCAGGTGTGTCGGGGAGCGTGCCCGAGGCGAGAAGTGTCAGCAGGAGGCGGCGAGTGCAGACTTCAACGTCGCCGCCGGCCAGCTGTGAGTCGAGGGCGATGGACCAAGCCTTGATGCGAGCTGTCTCTTCCTCCTGCGTCGTGCCGGTCAGCATGGCGTAGCCGTGCCAGCCAATGGCGTTGCGGAGGCTGAGCTTGGCCATCTTAAGCAGTAGCGCGGCCACCTCGAGGAAGAAGTTGTGGCGCGGTACCCAGACGGTTTGAATGGCCGTGGCCCAGGCCTGCCGCCGAACGTGGATGGGGGCGGCCATGGAGGGGGCGGCACGCAGATGGCCGGCGCCCTGCTTCTTGGGGTTGTCGGAGGAGGACTGAAATAGCGAGGGTACAAAGATCCAGAGGAAGATGCCAAAGAAGAGGATGGATTGGATGGAGGTGTGAAGGTGGTATCCGCGGTATTGCAAGTCGAGGCCCTTTGCAGCGGTGCGAAGCAACTGCACGGGAATCGCAGCCAGGCCACGGCCGTCTGGGGTCTCGTTGCTGACCTCTTCCTCGCGGAACGCTTCGATAACCATAAGACCAGCGAGCGAGCCGACCATGAGCTTGCCAAAGTATGGGCTAGCATTGGACCAAGCGCCCTGCTGCTGCTGCTGGACCTGTTGTTGCTGAATCTGTTGTTGGCGGACGACAGCGGGATTGCTGCCCTGAAAGGCCTGCTGCTGGGGCACGGGGTACGGCTGGCCGGCAGCCATTTGAGCAGCGAGAATGCGTCTCATGTCGTCGGGAACCTGAATCATACCGGCGGGCGTCTCGCCATTTTCTTGCTGCGGCATGGGACTTGGCATGAAACCCGGCTGGCCTTCCTGGGGGAACGACATCTGTGCCGGCGGTGGTTGATGGGAGCTGATGGAGCCATTCATGGCACCGGCCATGAAGAGCTTTTCAAAAGCGGCTATTCTGGCCTGCATGGCGTTGTTTTCTTCCAGCAGGCGACAATTTCGCTTTTCGAGATGCCGAATATACTCGGTGGCTTTGCTTAGGACCTAAAGTGGGGACATTAGTTTGGGTTCTCGCGGTACTTGATCTCAAACAAGGTTCATACGGTAGCCTTGTTTAGTTTGTGTGCTGGTGTGAGGCCGTGGAGCTCTTCGCGGTCCTGGGTCGTGTCCTCGCCGCGTGCGCTCTTGGACATGATGCGCAGACTGGGGACGCTGTCTCGCAGCGCAGCAATCTTATCGTTGATGTTTGTTCTGTAACGTTTCTCAATCATGTTGTGGGCCGTCTTTTTGACGGGCTTGTCCTCGTCTTCATTATCATCATCGTCCTCAGGCTCCGAGGTAACCTTGCGTTTCCTCGACTCGTGTCTGGTGTCAGTGGCATCCTCGGGCGACGAAATGATGCCCGCCTTTGTTTCGCTCCTTAAAGAGTCAGGACTGGACATGTGAAGAGAATGGCGGGGGAGGCCGCCGGGCATGGCGATGTTGCGAAGCTTTTCCTCGACGGCCGGGGCCAGCGAGGTGGAATAGCGAGGCGGCTGTGTGACGGGAGGGCGGGAGCTGGCGTTGGAGGCGCGACCGTCTTCACTGGGAGCGGGGGCCGCGAAGCCGTTGGGGTCGGAGCTGTTGGAGAAGAGGTTGATGGGGTTAATACCGGCCGTGGCCGACTGTGACGATGAGGATGAGGCCGCTGGCTGGTTATTTTCAAAGCCTTGAAAAGCCCAGGTCTGAGGGATGAAATCAGGCTGAGAAGCGGAATTGCTGGGGGTGGTCAGGTTATAGGATTCCAGAGACGGGTTAGCCTGAAAGTCCCAGACGTTGTTGGGGTCGAAGAGCGATTTTGTGATTTCGGATGCGATGAGGGGTTGCTCGGGTGTGGCACTGGTGGTGGTGAAGACGTCGTTGAAGGAGAGGGAGCCATCGTCAATAGCCAGCTGGCTGGCGTCTTCGTCGGTGGACATGACTATGCGTATTTGTGAGAGGGAGCAGAGGGCGGTTTGGGCTGAAGAGCCGATGAGTTGGTGGTGCGGCGGCGGGTTGAGCGGGTTCGTGCCAACGGGAGTCGTTCGATTCCCCCCCGACGGGCAGGGCTAGGAGCTAGGGGATATACAAGCTTGTGATCAGGCCCGGAGGGCGGGACGGGGTAGGTCGGTCAGGTCGGTCAGGTCGATGAGGAAGAATACGGCGTCCTTGTCCAGCAGGGCCGGTAGGAGGTGGGCGGGAGGTGGGCGGGATGAGTGCGAGTCGCGGCGAGAATGGGCGAGAAGACGGGCGCAGCTGGGCGGCAGCGCTGGCAACGGGCGAGTGCGAGTGCGTTTGCAGGAAGATGTCGGCAGTTGTGAGGGGGGGGTATGGCGTTGTTTGGCGGGATGCGCAGGAGCAGTGTTGTGCGTCGGACGACTTTGGCGCCGATGGGGTGATTAAATGACAAGGAAAGCTTGTGTCTGGGGGGGGGGTTATGCAGGAAGAATTTTTGTTTTTTCTCTTTGCTCCCCTGATGACGGTGACATGCGGTTGTGAGTGAATTGAAACGGAGAGAGGGGCGCTGTTTTGTTTCCGGGCGGGACGGCACAGAGTTTGACTGGTTGGCCGATTGGGCTGATTGGCCGGTTGAATTGGTTGGCAATGGCTGCAGAAAACTTAGGCAGGCAGGCAAAGGGCAAAGACAGGCAGTAGTCAGCTGTTCGGGGCCCGGGCGAAGATGTGCTGCTGGGTAGATGTGCGTGGCTTGGGGCGTCCTGTCAACGGCGACAGGGCAGGCACAGCACGCTCAGATTTTAAGAGAAAATCAAAATTGGGATCCGAGCCCTGCAGGATCTGATCGGAAGGATGAATCACGAAAAAAAGAGTGGCTATACAGAAAATCCAATGGGAAAAGCCGGACAGCTTGAATGACTGAGCCACTGAATATGGCGAGCACTGGCTGCTGAGGCCTGCTAGAAGCGACAGCCGTTGAGAGGGGTGGGTCAACGTTGCACAGGCAGCCCAGTCAGTGGCTTGTCGCCTTGACTTAGCTGTCAAGACTCAAGTTACCGACCAACCAGCAGTCCAGAGAGCGAACTATTTCCTTTCCATATCTAGCTGCTCGACTAGTCGGCCTTCACAAGTCTTTACTTGACCAGATGCGTCTTGATGGGCTGCGTGCATGTCCTCGTTCGTTTTAGCGGGTTTGGCGGGTTGCTGGCGTTCCGGCTGTGGCTGCGGCATGCATCAAAATAAAAGAGGGTCCGCCCCCCCGGCCCCCGGCGACGGCGGACGCCGGAATCGTACGATATTTGACAGCCATCAGGCGAGGCGGGCTTTAAACAGGTCTTTTTTCTCTTCTTTTTTTTCTTCGCCTGCCTTTTGGTGACAACTTGAGGAGGGGCAATTCATTCAAGCCAGTCGTCGCTTTTTGCCTGTTGTCACTGGGCGTCAGAGGCCAAGCCACCCGTAGGTAGATAACGGCGTGCATACGACGGATAAAAAGTTGCACCAGCGTTCTTCAGCTAGGCTTGGTGGCGGCATGCCATGTGGCAATTACTCAACAGCGCCCCTAGCTCCCCCCTAGCGCTCCTTAGACAGCGACCGGCGTAGCGACCAGTTGTGTCAGTGTCGTGCTAGCGAGGCCTGGAAGCCAACTAGAAGGTCCTGGCAACTCCTCTTGCTCCTCAAAACGGCGGTGCTGGGGCGCTGTGACTCGCGCAAATCCCCCCCTCCCACAATTAGGCTGTGCAGTGATTAGTTAGGTAGGTAGGTACCGTAGGTAGTAAATAGGGACAAGTCAGCTGCGCGCTCCCTCGGCCTGTTTTCCCCCGACCTGTTTTCCCGACTCGTAGCGTTACCAAACCGCCAACCGCTTGCCACAACCACCGCACCGCCTACGAAGGATTAAATAGTGAGTGCCTGTAAAACTGATAGTTAGGTGGGTGGTTGACTCTGGAACTTCTTGGGCCCACTGTAGATAGGTACCTGGGTACAAGCCCAGCACAACGGTACTCTACCGTTCCCATCTATTTAGCCGAGCCAATTGGCAGCAGTATTTGCCTCAAACCACCACTTCCCGGTACGGATTACCAGTTTTCATTCACCAGTCCTCGCCAAAACCCAAATCCGTGCCCAGCACCCAGCTTGCCGGCTGCCAACTTATTGAACCCCCACTCCAAACCACCCGCAAGCTACGGCAGGAACCAGAAAACTATATTTGAACCTTGAATTTATTAATTAACTCTCATCACTCTGCACCGTTCATCCTCGTCGCTCTCTCTTCTGAGCTACATCCACGACCAAGCCTTCTGTTTCAAGCTTTGCTCATCATTCAATCATTCACCCATCCATCCGCTCTTCCCCCCCTCCCCTCTCTTGTTTTGCCCATATATTGTGTCCGCGCTGTGGATCTTGTCTCACTCATCGCTCATCAGCAAGCTGCAATGTGTCTCTTGTGAGTATGCAACTTGCGTTTTTGAAAGCGACTTGGCCTTGTCTATAATGGTCCTCCGCTATCGCTCCGGATGGGTCCGGATCAAAGTTGCCATTCAACCTGTCATTTCTCCCCCAAGCCAACGCATCAAACTCGTCTCCCTGCGTAACTCGTCCCCTTGTCCTTATTATGCCCAGTGCCTACATTTACGCCTCGTTTGTTTCCTCCCTTGCCTCCGTACCCCACCCGTTGATCTTCCGTTGACGCCAAAACGCGGTATCAACATGTGCAGCCACTCATCAATGGGATCAAGTATGTTATCAACAAAGGCGTCGGGGTCCATCCATCCTATTCTCTGCGTTTCCTTCCCTCCGTAAGCCGAGACTATTCTTCGGGCCCTTTTTTTTTTTTTTTTCTTTTTTCTCCGCGCGTTTGTGTTTCATATTCGCCTTATTATCAAGTTCGGGCCTGCCCCGCTACCCTTACGGCACTGTTTGGCGAGTCGCGGAATTTGGTTCATGGTTATTCCGAGCACTCATACAGGCCCTACTCCCATCATATAATTACCCGCATCTTTGCACACATTATTAGTTACCCTCAATAGCAAGATTGGCAATCGCCGTGCATAAGATTTTCACATCTCTGCTTGCAGATCTCGATTGCACATGAAACAGTCGTCTCTGGGCCCTTAGATACACATCGCTTCTGTCCTTGTCCCTTGCCCTATATTGCGCCTTCCATCCTATCCGCAATCTAAAATCCCGCACGCCCAAGTCGTCCTTCGGAATAGACTACGCCTTTCTCTAATAATGATTTGTGGAATTTAATACTTTCATATAAGCCGCCACCATCTAAGTAGTCCCTGTACCGGCTCAAGCGTCCGTTGTCCTCTCAGATGCATGAGATCTCGGACGGAGATGCAACTTTTGGTAGGAGAAAAAACGGGCCAACTGATTTCACAAATTGCATTCCGGATGAAGCTTTCTTGGCTAACAAGACACTGACCGATTGGTGGCCTGTGCTCCTACTCGACATCAATCCAACTACACATTTGCCAAATATTCATTATTGAATTGTCATTCTGAATAAGCAAGTAAGTATTCAACCGTCATGGTGACATGCATGAATGTAACCTCGAGAATCGCCAACTGGTTCGACCCACAGACATCTAAGAAACCCCGCGTGTGCTAGTAGCACTCACTGATGTGTAACAACGAAGGAAAAGGGTCAGAACCAGTAGACTCAAACATTTGTAAGGAAGGTGAATGTAGGAGTATCAAGCTCAAGTAAACAAACAGATATTTCTTGTCATCGTTTCTACCATATATCATCCGAACTGCGCACCATTTCCACCGTCGGCGTCTTCGGTACCATCTTCTTCATCCTCTTCCTATCCTCTCGGGTCACCAGTGACGGAGTGATAGGCACGACAGGAGTGTTTGGTTGATACGGAGTATACGGAACAGCGTTGGCTGTGAATGGTGTCCGTCCTCCGGGTGACAAAGGGTCGTGTCGGACGTTAAACACTGTGTGGTTGATCATTCGTGGAGCAGCTGAAGGTGAACTCAATGACGGCTCATACGCTCGTAGAGGCAGTGAGCCACCTGTGCGAACGGCAGACGGAGGATTCGCGCGCTGAAACCTGACCCCTGGCCGAGGCGACGAGGGCAACGTGCCAAAAGTTACCCCAGGCTTTGGCGAAGATGGGAGGCCCAACAAAGGTGCCTGCGAGTGCTGAGAAACAGCAGATTCTGGATCTCCTTCCCCAGTCTGCTGCTGCTGCTGCTGCGAGGCATCTTTGGATGTGTCAAGCTGAGATAGCTGGGCGCCAAGACGCCCATCAATGCTCTGAATACTCGTCGGCGACCGATCCGGCGGTGTTAAGGGAAGAGTCATGTTGCTGGACCGGGCCTGTCCAATAAAGTGGGCATGGTCTGTCGGCACGGGAGGCGGAGCGGCAGGCGCATAATGCCGAGGCGGGATAGCGCTCATCTCCTGAGCGTCGTGGCGCGGAAATGTACCAGTTTGCGGGGTCATGATGGGTGACGAAATGGTAATGCCCTTGGGCTTGGTCTTTCGAGGAGACCGTAGACCGGCGAAGAACGACGACGCTCGAGACCGCGTCTTTTCCTCATTCTCCGTCTTTTCCTTGCTGCCGGCACTCAAATTGAGGAATGTCGGCTTGGTCTTTCTTGACATGGCGCTGCCACGCGGACTGGTAGGTCCAACTACGGGCATCTCCAAGGCCATGCCCTGTTCCTTGGCTTCCTCATGCTCCATCACATGTCTGTACATATCCTCGAGCTGGTCCTGTGCCATTGCGCGGTCTGCTGCGACGATTGCTTGGTCGACTTGAAAACAAACGCCTGGTACAGAAGCGTGGGACAGATTGCGGGGTTGAATATACGGCGTGCCGTTGAACTCGCTTCTCGTCGGTGACTTGTACGAAAAGTTGGGAACCTGCCCTCCGGCAAACTTTCCAGCCAGTGGAAATGGATCGCTCTCTGGCGAGAATCTGGGGCTGCAAATCTGTTCAAAGGCGGCGGCGTACGCGTCAGCTTCGTCCTCGTCGTCGACAAGAAGATGGTCACGGCGTGTCTTGGAAAGTAACAGGAGCCCAATGGCGACAAAGATGAGAGCAACGGCGTAGGCTCCGACAATGGCACCGGCCTGGAGGGGCAAATATTTCTTGTTGCGGACCGCGTTGGCGGAAAAGGCAGGGCCGTCTTCGGGAGCTGGCGTGGGGGCAAAGTAATTATGGCGAAGGTCGCTCAAGATGCTTGCGTGTACAAGAGGCAACAAGATGAAAGATGCCAAGACGGTTCGGGTAGAGAAAAACGTGGAGGACCCGGGTGGCATGGTCGAAATGGCAAAGTCGGGCAGCTACTAGTCTTAAAAGGAGGTGATCACGGTATGCTGAAACCTCCTTTGATGCGTGCCATCCAAAGCGTAACGTAGCCAGCTGAAGAAGGCGAGAAGCGAAACGGGAGAAGACACGGGAGGATGGGTGTATACAGATGCAGGGGGGATCGAGGCGGCATATAACGGCCTCAAATTGGGCGGGTTGGTGATACTTGAGAGTGGGTGTAGCTTTTAGCGCTGGGGGTTGAGGGGCTTGAGGGCGCTGAATGCCACCTGCCACCCTGCCCTTTACCTCTCAAGACACAGCAGGATGCAGAGAACGAGGGGCTGACTGCAAATGAGGCCGGACCGTGGAGGTCCTGGGAAAAGAGGGTGGCATGCATGGTTGATGACAAGGTGATTGGCGTTGATAGAGGAGGGGCCATGAGCATGGCTGGACTGTGGTTGGAGGAAGATGGAGGGAAGCCAGTCAAGACAGGGATTTAAGCGCCCGGCTAGAGGTGGCGTGCAAACTGTCACAGTTTGGCGCCATTGATTGGTTGCTGCATGTCTCTAGCACGGGCTCGGGCCCCGCAACCTACTCAGTTATCAACTCGGCACCTCTGAGTTTGCGCTGATCACAACGGTGTATTTACTGGTTTTCATTCTATTTTTCACCGCAACACAGAGTTTCGGATTTACATCTAACGCTGCTCATCAATGGAAGCGCTGTGACTGGACTCGTCAGTTGTGACAAATTTTTCGCCGAGAGCATTACAGCTGCGGCCTACCGAAGGCCGATCGATGCGTTGAGCAATGTTTCATTTCTTTGAGAGCGAGACAGCTGTCACCAGCTGAAAGCTACACCCATCCGGTTCTGAGCAAAGACTTGAGCGTCGTGCTAGTTACTCTGTCAATCTGTCACTGATCAAGTTGTGGCCTATGTACTACGGCAAGCCACCGATCCGCTTACAGAGAACGGCATCAAAGTAATGCTCGCTGTAATAGGCTAGCTCTTTCAAATTCTTGTCGTCTTTTTTTTATGCTGAAATTTTCCTTTTATGCACTCAACGCGTAGCGCCCAGGCGATGTCAAGCTTGCAGCTTGAATGGCGACGGTCAGAGTTATCTGAGGCCCACTGTGCTTCTTTCCAGGACTATGGATTAGGTACTGTTTACATGGCATCACGTGAATCCGCGACACTCTCAGTCACGCTTCGCGTCCACCGTCACGCTGCGCTGACCAGGGAAGCCGAAATAGTAGTGAAACGGTCGAATTCGTGCATTGCGAGGCTTTAGCTCGGTCCAGATTTCAAATTCGCTCCTTTTTTTTTCTTTGTTTTTAATATCTCCTGGATTAATGTTGCCTCCGCCATGGCAGCAAATAATGGCCAGCAAAATATTCTCGCGTCCCTAAACACGGCCCAGCGACGCGCCGTCACGTCCGAATCAGATACCGTTGCTATATTGGCTGGACCAGGCAGCGGCAAAACACATACACTCACCTCTCGTGTTGTATGGCTCATTCAAGAGATGGGCCACAGGCCCTCTGACATGATCGTCGCTACCTTCACAGTCAAGGCTGCCAAGGAAATGCGAGAGCGCATGGCCAAAACCTTGGGCGAACAGGTTCAAAGAAAAATTGTTCTTGGCACGTTCCACTCAATTGCCCGACGGTATCTCGCTTCATACGGTAAACAAATTGGTCTCGATCCGAAATTTGGCATTGCCGACGATAGCGACTCCAAAGCCATCATTCAGAGACTGATTAAACGACTCGGGCTAAAGCTAGAGCCAGCCATTGCAAGAGGATGGATTAGCAAGAAGAAATCCAGAGGAAGCATGGACCCTCCAGAAGAAAAGAAGTGGCCCGACGGAAGACCAAAGAAGGAAAATCCCGAATTGCAGCAATGTTTCGACGAGTACCAGAGCCAGCTCGCAGCAGCCAACATGCTAGACTATGATGACTTGCTCGTTTGCTGTGTCGAACTGCTGCGCGCATATCCAATATGCGTTTCCAACATTCGGGCCGTTCTGGTTGACGAATATCAGGACACGAATGGCATCCAATACGATCTCATGAAGCTCTTTGCTCAGCATCGCTATCGCATAACCATCGTCGGCGACCCTGATCAGAGCATTTACGGCTGGCGCTCGGCCGAGATTAGAAACCTTCACCGAATGCTGAAAGAATTCCCTGACACCGACCAAATTGCGCTTGAAGAAAATTACCGCTCATCTCATTCCATTCTGAGCGCCTCCCTCAATGTCATTCAGCAAGACTTGAAGCGTTATGAAAAGGTCCTTTTGCCTGTCCATAAAAAAGGCACGAAACCGGTCTTGCGACATTTGCAATCCCCGGCGAGTGAAGGAGAATGGATCGTCGGAGAGTTGCAACGTGCAACTCTCATGTCTGGTGGTATGCTCAGAGGCGAGGACTGTGCTGTTCTCCTTCGCTCAGCTTCATTGTCTCGCCACGTTGAGTCTGCATTTGGTAAGAAGGGTATACCATACCGAATGGTCGGTGGCAGCAAGTTTTATGAGCGAAAAGAAATCAAGATTCTGCTCGACTACCTGCGCGTCGTGCATCAACCGAATAATAACGATGCTGTAGCTCGTATCATCAATGTGCCTAGGCGCGGTATAGGTGAAGTGACCATCAAGGCCCTTCTGCATGCGGCCGAATTCGAAAGACGGCCATTGTGGCAAATTCTAGTGAACCACTGCGACGGGACCAGTCCCTTCTCCAAGCTTACAACGGCTCAGGAAAATAAGATCCGTGGCGATCTAATCAGAATTATCTCAACGCTCAGAAACCAAGTGAACAATGTCGACGCAGGCGGACCTCAGCCTTTAGTCGAGGTGATTCAAAGGCTCATCAGCCAACTCAACTATAAAGAATTCCTGGAAAGGGAATATGGGGAGGATCATGAAGGTCGGTGGGCCACCGTGCAAGAGTTTGTCAATTTGGCGACGGATTTTATGATGGAATCCAGCGATTTTGACGAAGACGCCTTGCCCGAAATTGAAAAGGTTGAGCAACAGGCAGAAGACACCATGCTTGGACGTTTCTTAGCGAATATTGCTCTTTCCGCAAATGCGCAAAAGAATCAGGAAGGCGGCGATACCTCTGCAGTTGTGACAGTCTCCACGATCCATGCAGCCAAGGGCCTTGAGTGGCCGATTGTCTTTGTTCCTTGTGTCTATGACGGCTCTATCCCGCATGCTCGATCAGAGGATACAGATGAGGAGCGCAGACTGCTCTATGTGGCCATGACTCGTGCCAAAGCGCTGCTCTATCTAAGTTATCCTGACACCAATGCTTGGGGCAAGGGCAAAGCTTGCCTATCCCCTTTCGTCTGTGAAATTACCGACTCTGCTTTTGCCGAGCAAGGCCCTTCTTTTGACAAAAACGTCGTTGAAGATATTGCAAAAATACTTGGACGAACGGCGCCTTCCGAGAAAGTTGTGTTTGATCAGCTGCCGCCCATGTTCTCAACCGAGGACGATATATTTCCAGTTAAGCCCTGGGGCGAACGTCGGCCTAGTGACTTCACCAACAGTGGAAGCAACCACCGGGGTGATGGCATGGACGGTAGCAAGCGCCAGCGCATTGTTGACTCTCATAGCGTTCAAGAGAATGACTGGAAACCAGCGTACAAAACAACCATGCAAGACTCATCCAGCTTCACCATGTCGAAGCTTCCTGGCTTCATGACTGCCACCGCGCGTCAAAGCCTGGTGGATGCCGAAGCCGCGGAGACGGAGTCGGCAGAGAAGAATGCGAAGAAGTCTGGCGCAAAGCGCAAACACGATCAGCATTCGTTGCTTGGTTATGTAAAACGGAACTTCGGAGAGCCGGCATCAACTAAGCCGCCAGCGGCGTCCCGGCCGCCGGCCGCTTCCGCTCGGTCTGGCCCTTCCGACAAGGCAGTAGCTCCGGCCATCGACCCGCGCCTTGCGCACCATAGAATCGTGCAGAGACCGGTGTTTCCGCAGCCTAGCACTTCTCGCGAACTGCCAAGCAGCCACCGCAAGAGTCATTACGGATTTCTTTCAAGCTCGCCCACGCGGCCTGCCTCCCCGAAGGACGTGTCCGAACAGCCAGCTACTCTGCGACAACATGCTTCTAACAGACCGATATCTATCCTGCACAAGATGGCGACGTTTCAGTCGGGAAAGATTGGTGGCGTGCGGCGACCTGCGGGCATGGGAGGATCTCCGGCAATTGATAGAGTGCGAAGGCCATTTCGGCCGCTGACTCTAAATCGCCCAGCACATGGTGGATAAATAGGAGGGGAGGGGAGAGCCACAGCGGTATCTTAATTCGTATATATTGTCAGCCCATCATGAATGGGCTATGTGAGCATGGTATTGGAGCACAATGGTCGAATGGCAAGAATGGGTAAATATGTATCCTTGGCGAGCGGGATGGATGGGACTTATCAGCAGCCAACAAGGTAGATATGTATAAACTTGAACATAGTTGATAGAGTACATTCTCACATTGAACAACTCTCGAGCAACATCTATCGAAGCCCGACGCCTTGTTGTCAGGAGATGGATTGAGAGGTTGGCCAGCGCTGTGTCGATGAGGTACATGCTATCGACCCCAGCGCAGGATCACCGAATGTGCTCGCATACAGTACGGAGTATACTGTCGGCCTGAAACCCAGCAGCAACGATTAGTTTCCGAAGAATTCACCAATTCGCGGGGCTCGGAGAAATCATGCTGACTGCAGGGGACGACAGCCTTCTGGGGCAGGGGAATATGCCACCGTGGAGGCCTAGTGCATAATGCTGGTTACGTGCATTGACAGCACAAGTCGTTATGGTTAGGCCAGGTATACTAGTTTAGTAGGAGGCATACGCGTAACGTAGATTTGGGGGCGATGCACCTAAGGGTCATGCGCGGCGCAGAGTTTGGTACACACGCAAACAGTTTTGTTCATTGGATAGTGGTATTTAGTAGAGCTCTTCCCAGTTCTCTGTTAGTTCTGGTTAATGGACTCGCCACTCACAATGTCCTCGAAGTCATTCACAGTGGTACCTCGGGAGTGTTGTTTACCTACCTTATCTTATAGTGCTGTCCCCACTATAAGCGGCTTCCCCACGCCATGCAGTGGCTGCCGGCAGCAGCCTTTTTATTTATTTAGGGCGCCCGCTAGGTAGTCGGTAGCTACCTTGTTACCTTGGCTAAATTTAGGCTGGATGGGGGCCGTGACTAAAGCTTCGTGTCTAACAGGATAGAAGTAGTCTCGTTGTCTCGGTTTACCATGTCTAGGATGATGATGTGCATTTGTCTTGATTTCTTTTCTTTGTCGATTTCGTTATCAGATGTTTAATCATGCCGAATTAGGGTCCCGCAACGATCAGGAACGCAGCGGGAGAGGAGACGAGGGCCGGGCCTGCCGCTCTAGAAGCTGGAGCATTCCTTCAGCGGTCCACCTGCTCTGGTCACACCACACAGGCACACATTATCCGAGAGGTGCCATCCAACAAACGGGTCACGCACGCACGCTCGCTTGGCCTTGATGTTGAATTGGCCAGAATAAACTTTATTTTACTCTTCATCATGTCTTGTACTTATGAGACACGCGATCATCGCTCGGACCGGGCGAGCGAAGCATCTGTGCAAGCGGAAAGAGTCAAGATTTGTATTTCCGCAAAGTACACGTCGCCGTTTGCCCCCGACAAGCTACCTGTGAGGTACAAGCAGTAACGCTGAACAGTTTGAATCGATATTTTTCTGTGAGACGAAAAACGGCCGTGTATGACGACAAATATCATGCTCACTATTGCCTTTTCAACATCCAGCCGCTTTTGCAGGCCAAGCACAGCAGCAACTTCATCAAACTAATGCGTACCAAGCTAGCTGTTCAGACATCATCACGATTAACTGGGCCCTGACCTGAGGCAACTGACGCTGGCTTAACGCCACAACACCTGCCTACTCCCCTCATATGACAAATGACCGTCTAGCAATCTCTTGTTGATAAATCAGACGTTCCAGCGAACCAGCCTCCAGAGACGACGAATTTGGCGACGTCTCCTGAGAACTCGGGCGTGGCCGCCCTCCTCCTGCACGCATCCACTCGGATAGAACCTCTAGCCCTGTGGGCTCTCGGCACTTGGCGCTGCCCGTCCAACACCACTGCTCATGTTGCTTTCATCGGTCGTCGAGAGAACAGTGGCCTTGTCCTTGTTTGTCTTGTACCCGACCGGCCACGACGCGAAGAACAAATAGTACTACAAGGGCCCGCCTTGCGCTATCAGTACGAGCAGTCTCTGCATTATTACCTCCGAGATATCGATCGATCGCGGGCCGTGCGTGACAACCCTGTAAGATACTAGAGACTTGCATTCTGAAAGTTGTGCTCGTTCACATTCTTGACTCAAATCAGCTAGGTACCGAGGCAGGAGGATGACGGTACCGCCCGTAGATGTCTCGCCGACCTGTTTCCCACCAAGGGCTCGAGCTCCGGGGTGCTTCCATCCGGTCCAATGTCGTAGCGTCACGAGGAATTTGAACCAGATCCGCCACTCCTAGCGCCAATCCTACTCTAACAGTGTAACTTTGCAGGCCGCCTCCGCAGTACCTCCGAACCTACGCTGTTGTTCTTTGGTGTTTTAGGGAAAATGAGCGATAAGTAGTTGGCCTCCTGCTGCCTTGCAAGCCCGTTGATTTTTGTTCTTGAAAACGCTTTCACCAATTGCGTTTGTTGATTGGCTTCTTACAAGCTGTTAAACCGCCCCCTTACGAGAAAGCTATGGGTGCGCCGGAAGCTCAGCGCAAGGCTCCGGCCTCTGCATTCAAGACTCTCCTCACCGTCTTCTCCCTCGTCGCCCTCTTCATCTTTGGCGCCTTCACGCTGGGGACGCCCTCTGATAGCCACGACCGACGCGCGTACAAGTTTGCCCACGCGTACTTTGGCCACCGCGCAAGTCCTTACTCCTCGTCCTCGTCATCGGCGACCCGCGCCGGCGACAAGTACTTGATTGGCGTTGGCAAGGCCGACATCACCGGACCCGTCGTCGAGATTGGTTTTGCCGGCTACGCCAACCTCGAACAAAAGGGCACGGGGCTGCGCCAACGTCTCTTTAGCCGCGCCTTCATTGTCGGCGACAGAAGTAATCCCAACGATCGCTTCGTCTACATTGTCATCGACGCCCAGTCGGGCGACACGGCCGTGCGCTACGGCGTCCTCGATGGCGTCAAGGCGCTCGGCGGCGAGTACGCCGTGTATGGGCAGCAGAATATTGCGCTGACGGGCACGCACAGCCATTCCGGGCCCGGCGCCTGGTTCAACTATCTGCTGCCCCAAATCACGTCGTTTGGCTTCGACAAACAGAGCTACCAGGCTATTGTCGATGGCGTTGTTCTTTCTATCAAGCGTGCCCACGACAGCTTGCAAGAGGTGAGTCAAAACACCTGAGGGTTTATTCATAATTCAAGTTTTCCTGACTGATCGAATAGGGCTACATTGACGTGGGAACAAGCAAGGTCTCAGACGGCGCCATCAACCGCTCTCGCTGGGCTTACCTGCACAACCCTGAAGAGGAGCGTGCTAAATATGACGCCGATACCGACACCACTCTTACTCTCATCCGCTTCCAGAGAGCCTCCGACAACAAGAACATTGGTAGTCTCTCATGGTATCCCGTTCATGGCACCTCGATGCTCGGCAACAACACCCATGCTTCGGGTGACAACAAGGGCGTCGCTGCTTGGTTGCTCGAGGAGGACATGAAGAACGACAAGAACGCAGCTGATGGCTTCGTTGCCGGCTTCAGTCAAGCCAACGTTGGAGACACGAGCCCGAATGTCGGCGGCGCATGGTGCGATGATGGCTCGGGCCAGCAGTGCAGCCTGGAGAACAGCACCTGCGCCGACGGCAAGTCGCAGTCGTGCCACGGCCGCGGTCCCTTTTTCGAAGCGCTCGATCTCGGCGTCAAGAGCTGTTTCGAGATCGGTCGCCGTCAGTACACCGGCGCCAAGTCGGTTCTTGTCAGTTGTTGGCCACGTTGCCACCCCACGTCAGAATGGTACAACTAACCAAGCAACGCAGGACTCTCTCGATTCTTCTGGCACTGCCATTTCGGGATCGACAGTCAAGGCCTTTCACTTTTACAACGACATGCGCTACTTTAACTTTACCCTCTCCAACGGCCAGCAGGCGCAGACGTGCCCCGCGGCGCTCGGCTACTCGTTTGCGGCTGGCACCTCGGACTGGCCCGGCGCGTTTGACTTCACCCAGGGCGATTCTGGCAAGCCCAGCGCCAGTCCCGTCTGGCGGGTCGTCTCAGGGCTGATCAAGGCACCGAGCGCAAAGCAGAAAAAGTGCCAGGCGCCCAAGCCCGTGCTGCTCGACGTTGGCGAGCTCGAGACGCCGTACCCATGGACGCCCAACCTGATTGACGTGCAGATGCTGCGCGTCGGGCAACTTGTCATAATCATCAGCCCGAGCGAGGCGACAACCATGAGCGGCCGCCGCTGGCGCGATGCCGTCGCCAAAGAGGCTACCGCTTTCGTCGAGGACCCCGTCGTCGTCCTCGGCGGACCGGCCAACAGCTACGCACACTACCTCGCCACGCCCGAAGAGTACGACGTGCAGCGATACGAGGGCGCCTCGACGCTCTACGGCCGCCACTCCCTTGACGCCTACATCAATCTTACCGTCAGCAACATGGGCTATCTGCGACCCGACGCCACCGACCAACCCTCCCAGGGCGTCCTTGCCCCCGACAACCGCGGCAAGATGCTCTCCTTCATCACCGGCGTCGTCGTCGACGGCAAGCCCCCGAGTAAATCGTTTGGCGCCGTGCTGCACCAGCCCCCCGCGTCTGCCGCCGTCGGCGCCGTCGTCAACGCCACATTTCAGGGCGCCAACCCGCGCAACAACCTCCGCCAAGAGGATACATTTGCCGCCGTTGAGCGGCGCGGCGCCGACGGAAAGTGGTCCCGCTACAAGGACGACAATGACTGGTTTGTCGTGTACTCGTGGAGCCGCACAAACTTTGTCCTCGGCTACAGCGAGGTGGTTGTCTCGTGGGAGACGCAGCAGGGGCATGCCGAGCCGGGCACCTACCGCTTCAAGTACTACGGCGACGCCAAGCCCCTCGTGGGCAGCGTCAAACAGTTTGAGGGTACGAGCGACTCTTTTACCCTGTCTTGATATATATGGGCGGGACAAATGGCATGTGGAAGGGAGGGGCTGCGAATCGATGAAACATGTGTATATATGGAAATGACGTGCATGTTTGACTTATTCCTTAATAATTATCCCTAGTGAGACTTTGTAGTACGCCAAGTACTGTGGGCTGAAGACGCTGCAATGCGAATATGGAGCACAAGAACCAGAATGCACAAGAGAAATTCATTACATGACCTTGACAGAAACGGCCTACAGATTTCACCTGCATTATGTCTATGTAACTATGTCAAACTTTACATTAAATTAGTCTTCTAGCCTTCTAGGCTTCTGTCAATTAGTTGTTTCACAAGCAGCAGAATGTTACCGGCAAAAAATTACTATGCACATATATATTTTGCGAGTTATGCAACCAAATTCTTGAGCGACGTGACCAGTCACTATCCTCTGTGCTCTCGGAGCATAATCTCCCTATTTACTTAGTTAATCATCCCATCTTTCCTTCTTGTTTGCTTTTCAATAACTAATCCCATCCCCTCTTTACTGTTTCCTGTTTTGTGTGTGCCAAGGGGAGGGCGGAGGCGCCATGGTAAACCCCCGTCCTCGTCCCCCCCCCCGTCGTCATATCTTTTTTTCCCTTCTCTCAAAGACTCGTTGCTTCTCCTCTCTCACGCGGCTGGAACTCGGGGCACACAGGCCTGGCAGGCTCGGCGAAATCCGCCTTAAGCAAGATGAGAACAGCAAGGCCCCGGCCGGGTCCAGGGAGAACACGTTGAGGGGTGGCACAGGATCATAACAAAGTGCTAATAATGGTTTCGTCATAAATGATGGGCCCTTTTGACTGGGGATGCCTATGGACAGGTCCGTCAGCCTGACCTGCATCCGGCGAGTTGTTTTATCAGGCAGTGTCGCCAGAAAAAAAAAAGCACCGTCGGTGCCTGCAACTCCTGTTTCCCTGCATCTACCATGCTGCTTGAATGTTTTCTACGCAGAACCCTCGTGATCTTCATTCAGCTTGTATGAGTGAGCTTGTTTGAAAATAATTGCAGGCTACAGTAAAGGGGGGGTGTTACGAGTAGTGTGCGTGTGTGGGCGTGCATGCGCGTGCGTGTGGCAGACACGAGTGACAGTCTCCGCTCGGCAAGAGAAACAGGGCTCAATAGCGTCGCACGACATGAGCCAAACCGTTGAGTATTGCACAGAGGTAGTATCAAGGAGAGCGAATAGTCTGATGTGCCATCATCCCCTCTGCTCTCCACACATTGCGAGGGCATCTTCCCCTCTCCTGCCGGCAAGTCGCGGAAGATGATGCAGAAAGAGTGTTAGTGTATACGCCTCATCTGCAAGGCTTCCACACCGGTAAAATTGTGCCTCCTTTACGGAACAGGTCATTACGTGGCGCTGCAACAAAAACAGCTTCTTGCGCCGCTATGCATGCATTGTATAACGGAAAGGGCCACGGCTCATCCGGCGGGCGACTGTGCCGAGTAAAAAAGGCAGCCACTTGCTGTCTTGTGCTCTTGAGCTGAGAGATTTATACGTCAAAAATGATCACCAATATTCCAAAAAAAGTGTGGCTCTGGACAGCAAGCGGCCCATGGCTGAATGGGAATGGGTTCTCCGCAACAAGAATGTGTGGCAGAGCAGCCCGTTTCCTTCGTTTCAAGCGAGCGACTCCCCCTCACTCTCCAGTTAAAGCTTAAGGTATTGCGTCAGCTTCGTTAATATAGGCATCTCGTCCGGTCTTTTTTGGCGGCGTTGTGATCTGTTGCAGGCCACCAGATACGCGCAGCCAGCGTGACACGCATACCGCCAGGATGTAGACCCATTGCAAGACCCTTTTTTTCAACATGATGATGTGGATCTTGCGTGGTGCTTTTCGGTGAGTATATGGCAGCTGCTGTGGACAACAAATATTAGCACACAATCACTTTGTTGTGCCCCATGGCCTACATTCCAGGACACAATAATCCCTGTCACTATACACGTCTACCATGTGTACCGACCCGCCCGTACGTATGTACAGCTACAGGTGCGTAAATCCGAGACTTGAGTGGTATGTAGACATGGTGTGTTGCGTTTGACAAGCCAATTCTGCTTTGCGTGTGATTTTTGGATACTGCACGATGATCACACAATCACAGTAGCTGGCAAGTACTATGCAGGTTTGTGGCTTGTTTGATCCACTGATGTGGAAAGATTCATGTCAGGCTGCTTCATCTGTCAAATTAAATTTTTCTGGGTAAAAAAGTCAAGGGATGGTCGTGATAAGAGTTCCCATATGTGAGTGGGAACTTCACTATCGAAACAAAACGTTGACGTTATGGAGCTATAATTGAGATCTTTGTGGGCTTGAATGGCGTAGTATCAAATACAGCTGGTAGAACAGAGCGTTCCGGCTGTGACAATGGCTCGACTTGGAGCCGAACATTCTTCATTCCCCTTTTTGGGAGGGGCTCGCTCGTCGGATGCCGCGTTTTGATCATGTTTGGGCAGACACGACGCTGGCCATTGGAGCGCTTCGCTCGAATTAACTTGGGATGTGATTCTAGAAGATTCCATGCCAATGAATGTATATTGAGCTTCAACTTCATCATAGTTAGACGCTTTGTTCCAGGCCTGACGCTGTGTTTCCCCCGAGGGAGCAGATGGTCTGAGGTGCTGTATTATACGAATGCCTGTATGATACTCCGTACTTGGTCGCAACTCACTCTTTGAGCGAGTACATACTCATCTGCAGGATACTGATGGCCATTAATGTCTGGCTCACACACATAATTCTGGAATAAAGTAGGCTCTCGTCGCGAATGCCGCGGCAAGGTACCGGTTCTCGAGCCTCCGCCAGACACATGGTTTCAGAGCGTCGCAACACGCAAATTACAGCAACTTGCTTTTGCGCCATGTCATATCTCGAATTATCAGGGTCTTGGCACACCTTATCTTGTGAACCTGTCCTGTTGTATGCTGGCTCAACCGGCTATCAATCAATCGAGGTACGTTAGCCCACCGACCCACTGGCTCGATCGATCACGGGCAAAGCCTAGCAACTGCAGCATGCCTGGCATTGCAGCCTTTATAACGGCGAATATACGCAAATGGGTACAAAGGAATAGGAGCATGCGCACGAGGTTGGTGAGTTTAAGTGCTTGCCTTTGCGGTCATTATCCGGCGATATAGTAAGGCATCACCAGAAGTGGATCGAGCACGTATGACGGGTCATGGCCACAAAAAGAGAAAAGCTGCTGGAGGTGATTGCCTTGCGGGAAGAAGAAGCACTGGCGGTGTTTCCGAGAGTAATTAGAGAATAAATCCGCTGGGTATACGTGAAGCGAAAGAAACCTGGGCAGGGTTTTGACGTCAGAGGTCCAGCAGAGAACAGGACACAATAGGCGGTCTGCTTGCCCTGGTGTTCTTTTTTGATTGTTTCTCTTGATTGCTTTGCAAATGCTTGATGTTGAAGAGAAGTCGTGATGCAGCATCGGTCGCCTTTATCTCCTCTCCCTTGAACATGCCCTTCGCTCTGCGCGCAACGGTCGGACCAGGTTTAATAAGAGTGGCCGGTTAATCCTGGGGCTGCCCTGGTGCCTGTCAGGCTACCCTCTCTCCTATTTGCTTCCGAACCCCTGTTCCGAAATTCTCAGAGCCATTTGTCTCGCGGCTGGAGTGGAGGAAAGGGAAAATCCGACTGGCTCGAGCCGATCGTGGGAGGGAAAAAAAAAAACAAAAAAAAGAAAGAAAGAAAAAACAACAGAGCTATCGATGCCACTTGACTAGGCTCACGCCCACGATAGGTGTGTTGTGTGATAGTTTAGATACTGGCTGGCGTAATAGACAGGCGGCAGACTAGTGTCGCGAACCACTCATGCCACTCACCCGTCCACCCACCCGTCTACCCACCCCCCTTTCCGGCTAGGGTCCGCAAGCAAAGTTCAGCTTTGCAAGGTGCAGCCCGCCGGCGCACATTCAGAAATACTGATCAATGTCCAAACGCCACCATCAATTGTATCGACAGTGCCATCTTACACGCACAATGCTACATGCGGTTTTCAATGCCGTGATTGCCTCTTTCTTCTCCTTGGTTCAGGGCGCGGTGCAGCAACTGTTTGTCTAGTGGTAGGTGCTTCAGCGTGTTTGGCAAGCAAGCTGAGCGACTGACCTGCTGACACAAACCTTCACGGCAACTCCTGCGCCCAGGACATGGCGAAAGCTTAACAGAGCCCATCATCTCATTCTCCGCGCGCACCCACGGGTGGTGGGATGACCCGAAAAAAGCCAGACCAGCCAAGGCCCGTCAGTCAGTAGAGCGGCGAGTGGCCCCCATTTCCGACGAGTGCATCAAAACTTCAAAAGCCATTCGCATACTCTCCCGCAGCCGTGACAAAATTCGAGCGAAAGCCAGAGTCCACAAGCACTTGCCCAAACCAGCATCTTGCAGGCTCGCCGGGGTTGCCTTTGTCTACTGGTCAACGTCTGGTCATCGTGCCAATGCCTTGAGAGATGCGACAAGGATGCCGCCGCACTTTCAGTCTCCCCCGGTGGCACATCCTCTCCACTCCCCTGGACTCCATGACAAGCTACTGGTGCGCTGCAGGCACTGACAAGAGGCTGGATCCTCTCGGAACCGGGGACTCGCCCGTATGTGCCAGGTGCCAGTATCTCTCTAATAAATACTGGTACGGAGTAGTTCAGAAAGGGGGGTGTGCTGTCTGCAGCCGTTCAAATCCTCTACGGGCACTCGCGCACCGGCGCCCGGCACGACTTGCTTCTCAGGCCATGCTCATGCCAGTCAGTCATGCAAAATATCGCCTGCCGGTGATTGGAGGAGGGGGCCAACTGGGTCTGCCTGCGGTCTCTGCAATTGGCCTGGCAAAGCAGCTCCTCCAGCGTGCCCAATGGCTTGAAAAGGCTCTCTTTTATCAGCGAAACGACTGCTGCTGCTGATGCAGGTCACCCTCTGCGCTCCATCTTCTGTGCCCCAGGCCTACTTCTTTGTGCCGCGGCCGCGCTGCCACCAGATCCCACACACCCCTTCATGGCAACTCAGGGCAAGGCGGAAAAAGCAACGCGGAGAAAAAATGGCTCTGACCCGAATTACTGCCAGAGCGCACTGTCAACCGCCTAGAACAACGATTTGTGTCTCGTTCCTTCTTTGGACCCGTCTACTTTGTGTCGTTCATCTTTGCGTAGCTTATCTTGCTCTTCAGCATCTCACGTCTATCCTTTTCTCAAATGCCGTCAGATTTTTCCTTTCTGACATTTTGTCGGCCCCCAGCACGGTTCTTCCTATAACTTAGCTGCGTTACTCTCTTCTGGTGTCACGTCTTGCTGTATCTTGTTCATCTTTGCAGTCGGGTCTGTGTGTCCTGCATGGTATCACCGTTGCGCGGATTGTACATGACAGCGGCAAACCAAGACGTATAGCTTCGCCCCGGCCTACGCTCCGCCTATATATCTTCCAGCCTATCCGTTATTCGAATCTGGGCGGACCTTCTCTCTATCCCTGCACTCGTTGTGTCTTGCTTCCTGCGCTCTGACGATATATTCCTCGTTTCCACTTTGCGGTTTCTTTGCCGCGCCATGAGAATGAGCCCATCACCGCCAGCAAGTACGGGCGGCCCTTCGCCATGGCAACAAAAACTTGAAGGTTTGACTTGACTAATGCGCCCTTTGTGACGAATATCATAGTCTGACTATCCCGCAGAGGTGTGCCGCGAGGCACAGATATCGCCGCCAACATTTTTTATAGTTTCTGATCGGCGAGGTTTGTTCAACCTTTACATGTCTAGTTTCAATCATTATGCTGACAACTGGCACGATATCAGGTGGCAGAACAGCCTGGTCAAGCCGAGTCACGGTGCAAGGAAAGACGCTCAGTGCTCGTTTCTGGTACGATGGCAGGAATCTCAACAATGCGAAGGAGGATGCTGCAGAATGCGCTGTCAATTGGCTCAGCGTCAATACTGGCAACTCCTCTGCAGCTGGGAACACTTGGACCGGCTGGTGATTGTCGAATATTTTGCTGCTGCGGCGGGCAGGACACCCCCACATTTATGACACCAAAAGCGACGAATGATCGATACATGCAGGCGACATTGTTGGTCTTCATTCGATAGAAAGGACTCGAGGATGCTCCATGGCATCTGACCAGCATGTGACGCAGTGGTGGTAGTTTGAGCCGTTGGTAGCGTTGCATTTGGCACATTAGCATGGGTAGCACTGCATGGAGCCAGATGGATGCGGAGTAGTGCTGAGCCCATTGGCTCATTTCATTTTTACTATTCATAATTAGCTACCCTCAAAAGGTGGTCGAGAGCGTGGTATGGGTATGGAAAGACTTTTTAGCCGCATGGCAGTTCGGTACGATGGTTTGGGCTAAGGCATCGTCATCAACCTGATGATATGCTTTAGCTCACGACAGCCCATAGGACTGACACAGTATGCAATTTGCTGGGCAAGATATCAGTAACGTATCTAATAATTCCGGATGATTCAATGAATATACGTCTTCCAGGCCTACTTTCATGCCGGACATGAGAGGCGAGGTAATCTATATTCAAGCTGAGACCGATATATGTGTTGATATAGTTGAGGGTCTTATGGTGCATGAGTTGAGTGCGCGTACGCGCAATCGGTAGCCATGCTCGAAGCCCATAGCTTTGACAACACAGGAAGAAAAAATTCAGGCTCTAGAAGCTGCAGTGTACAGCGTTTTCCATGCTTTTCAGGGAAAAAAAAGAAGCGTGCGCTGTCAATTACTCCAAAGCTCAATTGAGAATGCAGGGTATGTGGCTCTGCCCGGCTCGTCCCGGAACGGATTAGCTCTGTTCCGGAGACTCCAGGAGCTACGACGACCCAGGAAATTTCGTCTGACAACACAACGACTTCTGCGATTGCGACGACACGGTAGAACCTCCCAATTGGGATCACTAATTTTCTCAACATGGCGGCCGCGATGCCTAGGGGAATGCGAATTCTGCACGAATGCAGAGGGCTCGCAATTCGGACGAGACACGCTTGCAGAAGACCGCAGTTGCCGCCACAGCTGCTACACGCCTATCGGTTCCAATCAAATGATGCGAACAACCGGACCCCGCGCGCGACCGGATCGGATGCCGCCAGCGAGTCCAGCGTCACTGCAGAGGTAATATTACCCCTCTTGCTACGGCTAATTGAAGGACCATGGGAATTGAAGGAGCACAAAGGACTGACTGGGCTGGGTGTTGCAGGCATCCCCTTACAACCCCCTTGACCGAATCGACGATGCGGCGCTCGAGCAGATGCTGTACGGTGGCCGAGCGACCAAACAAGGTGGCCTGACGCAAGCGCAAGAGGAGGTGTTGTACCGCGATGGCGCCATTCCGCCTGCAGAGGAAGCCGAGGCCGTGCTGGCCGTAGAGGGCGCTGAGGAAGCCGAGCTCGAAGAGGCCGGCGAGAGTGGCAAGGGCGGCGAGGATATACAGAAGCTGGGACACAAATGGCCTCTGCCGCAAAAGCCGTACCCTGACGACTTCAATGTGAAGAAGCGATACCATCCCGTGGTGCAGCAGATTGTGAGGCTGATGATGCGAGATGGCAAGCTGGCCACTGCGCAAAGGGTATGTATCTTCTACGCCGCCGGTGCGCCATTTCATGTTCAACCGATGTACTGACGTGGTTTCTTTCTTTCGATTTGCAGAACCTGGCAATGACGATGAACTTTCTCCGAATGGCGCCCGAACCGACCTTTAGCCCCAAGTTCCCGCTGCTGCCTGGGACGCCGCCGGCGTCGCACCTGTCTCTGAACCCGATTCTGTACCTGACGGTGGCCATTGACTCGGTGGCGCCGCTGATCCGGGTCAAGCCGATTGCGGGCGCGGCGGGCGGTGGGCGGGCGCTGGACATGCCACAGCCGTTGACGGTGCGGCAGCGCAGGCGGCGGGCGTTTACGTGGATCCTGGAGGCGGTGGAAAAGAAGCCGAGCAAGGGTAGCGGGCGGGCGCAGTTTGCGCACCGACTGGCAGAGGAGATTATCGCGGTGGTGGAGGGACGATCGTCGGTGTGGGATAAGAGAAAGCTGGTGCACAAGCAGGGCACGACGGCGCGCGCCAACGTCGACAAGAAGCTGACGATCAAAAAGGGCCCCAGCAAGTAATGGTCCGGGAAAATCCCAACGGGAGAGGCCGAGCAGCGGCTTGTACTTTGTATATTAGGCTTACACGGCCATTTTTGTGTTTGCTCCGTGTTCTGCTGCTTGTTGACGGCGCGGGGCATAGAGAGGCAATGTAAAATATAGAAGCGCCGAGAGGCAAAATTGCACATGGCCCTTTGAAATGACAGCTTCTGATTGACATGAGATGGAATTGGTCATGTGTGTTCTGATCTGCGTGCTTCAGGGATGTCTTGGGGCCTTGGCACGGCGTAAGTGGGAAAAGACGTTTTGGAACCGTGACGGTGAGGATACTTTTGGTAGCTATAATTACAGAAAGGGTTCAGGGGAAGGGGAAGCGCAAGTGACGTGGTTCGTGCCTTGTCATGGTTCGAATGTCAATGATAAGAGTTTATAGAGTATGATGATGGAATGGGTTCAGGTTCATCAGTGGATGCAGGTGAATGCGCATGCAGTCCGTAGGAAAATGATTTTTCTTGTTGAAATAAATGTAATATGCTAATAATATCATGGCTTCGACGAAAGACAAAGCCAACTTATTTGGTGGTTGAATTCGCATTCATTGCTTCGTGTGCAAGAGTCATAATCCTTGACCCCAAAGGGCCATATGACGGGCGCAGAGGGCCGGCCGGGGGTTTGGAGGCCTGCATAAGGTTTTGGTTAGACTCACGGGAACGATCAGTGTACGCCAGAGCCCAGTTTTTTGGGGAGGGGAGGGGCGGCTTACATGAGGTGATGTTCGGTGAAAGGTTATTTATCATAGCAGTAGAGCCTTTGCTACGTTGTTTTTTTGGGTTCTTTGCCGCAGAAACACCCAGTCCTATTCGCTGTGTGCTGTTCGTTTCGGTGAGTCTCTGGCATCTTGTTGCGTTTGTGAGCCGGCTCCGTACCCGAGCCGGCAGCTGGCCTTGTGTGGTTGTCATAGCTCAGCCTCGGCCGGCCAACAAGCAAAAAGATTCACTAGAAAGTCTGCGCCACCCTGCAGCTGTTTACCCTATTCAGGCGCTAGCTCGAGGCCGCCACGCAATGGCTCCAGCACTCAATCTTGCTGCTTTTTTTACACCACTGCCAAATCACTCTTGCAGTGCCCTCCCTCCAGGAGATTGATTTCGAGCAACAACGCACGTTGCGCACCTAAATATCTACTAGGTAACCTCAATGGGGACTTATGATTTGCACCGAATTATTACCTTGGACCCACTGTAGTCTGTTAATTACCCGCCAGCCGATGGCTAAAATGCGTGGTGCCGCCATCGAAAAAGCAAGGCCAGCAGCTGGCTTTTTGCTTCTTCTGCCTGGTGCCACTACCGCATACTGACCCCACATTCTGAACCTCTTCCAGGCAGCTTGGCTTATCGCAAGTCATTCGTCGTCGACAAACGAGAAGAAAAACATAAAAGAACATCTTCTTCTGCCACCATCACTTCTCCTTCAGCTTCAAGACATTGCGGGTTATATCTACCTGTTTGTATTTGCCCAATTCTCGACATTACAAAAGCACGCCATCTTCCTACCTACTCAGTAGGTACTACTCCGTACCTTCAAGATAGGTACGCTGCGCTTGGCGCACGTCGCCCTCTATTTACTGCGACCCTCTGACATCTTGCGTCTGCGTCTGCGCCCCCGCAGCTTCAGAACCATCAATCAAACACCACCGAGATTGCAACCCAGTCGCCTCTTGCTATCGCCTACTTGCCCGCAGGAACTTTCAAAGATATACCCTAATAAAAAACAGCATATATCTGATACACTGCTTTCATCGCTCTCAATCGATAGCCCGCCGCAGCTGGCAGCGTCGTCGCCAGAGCCCCGACGAAGCACAGCCACCGCAGCCCAAACACAGCCAACAACCTTAGTCCATCGTGGTCGTAAAACAAAACTCTTTGACTCGATCTCTATCCTATCCTTCGCGATACATCTACCGCAAAGCCGCCCATCATGTCGCGAAACCCCAACTTGCCCATGAGCATCGATGCCATGCTCGACATGGAGCGCGAGGAGGTCCTGGCTCTGCTCGAGAGCAAGCAGTCAGGCAGCGCTGCAGGCGCCATGCGATCGAGTTCCCCCTACACCAACGTACCGCGCTCTCCCGTCCGGAGCATGCTGGACGTCGGCGATGACGATGCTGGCTCTGCGCATGGCCGCACCAGCCCGGGGCCCCAGCCTCCCGTCCGGAGCATGCTCGACATTGACGGACCGCCGCCCCCTGCCAAACCCGTCCGCAGCATGCTCGACGTTGGCGGCCCAGCTGCCTTGCGGCCCAGCTCCCAGACCCGATCACCATATAACAGAAGTGTGCCCAGCTCGCCCACCATGGCCAACACATCGCTCTACAAGGCCTCTTCCCAGCCTGCCAACTCTAGGCTTCACCCGCGGAGCTCCTCTGATGCGGCATTCAAGCCCGCCGACTTTGGCGCCAGAAAATCACTTGGAAGCAATGACCGCGTCTCAGAATATCAATTCTCTGGCATTTTGCCCAGCAGCGCCTCAGGAAACCTACCAGGCAAGCGGCAGTCGCAGAACAAACGGACCTCTGGCGGCAGCTCGCTGGCCGATGCGCTGCGAGGCTATGACTTTAGCGGTCTACAACTTCCCAGTCGTGTTAGGAACTCTTCGGCGAACCGTCCTGGATATCATCAATCCAAGTCGCCGCACAACCGCTGGAACGACCGATCCAAGTCGCCTGCTGTGCCGCGAGACCCCAACCAGGTCATGCTCAGCGATGGACGGATTGTGGACATGAACAACGCGTACAGAAGACTTTCAGACGCCAACCTGGCCTTTTCGTCCGGCAGCCTCTCCCAGCTTCCCATGCGGAAACGATCCGACGACGCGGGAGCTGGACGCCTGGTCAAAGACTATCTCGGTCCCGATGGCGAGCACCTCGACTCGAGTGATGACGACGACCAATTTTCATCGGATGACGAGGATCGTGGCCGTAAGAAGGCCCCGCGCGCTCTGAATCCAGATGCAAAGGGGGAAAGCGAGGACGACGACAAGTCTCGCTCTCGCTCAGGGGGAAGCAAGCGCGCCGCTCAGAGTCTGCTTGCTGCAGCCGATGAGGACCGGTCCAACATTGCATCGCAGCAAAGTTATCAGTACAGGTCCCTACTTGAGCCGGAAATCAAGGTGACAAATACGTCTGGTGAGACGGTCAAGCCTAGTAAGGCGGGCGTGCACCCTCACACCAGCTACGATCATAACCCAAATTCCGCTACGCAATCTGTTGTGGATTCGGATGAGGAGGCCGACGTCGACGACATCAAGCGAGCACAGAAACTTTCCTTTACCATGACGAATGTTCTACACAACCCCGAAGCTCACAGATCTATTCGCATCATTTATCGTGGCGAATACCACAAAATTGCGCAGAACGCCGAGGAGGAGAATCACCGTCTGCGTAAGTATCTGGTGGCGACGGATTTGAGCGACGAATCGACGCACGCGCTGGAGTGGGCCATTGGAACGGTGATTCGCGACGGCGATACGCTGATTGCGATTTACTGCGTAGACGAGGAGACGGGCGTGACGGGCGAGGGGTCGCAGGTGCCCGACGACCCGGCGGCGATGAAGGAGCAGGCGGCGGCCATCAACACGGTGACCAACAACAGGATGACGCCGGCGCCGCTCAGCCCGGTGACCGAGTTCAAGAAGCTGCACCGGCGCGACGACTCGTCAGGGACGACGGGCAGCTCGCCAGCGGCGGTGCGGGGCGAGCGGACCAAGACTGAGGAGGAGCGGGAGCGGGCGATTCAAGGCATGACGGAAAAGATTTTGCGGCTTCTCCGGAAGACGAAGCTGCAGGTGCGGGTTATTGTCGAGGTGCTGCACTGCAAGAACCCGCGACACTTGATTACTGAGGTGATTGATTTGGTGAATCCGACACTGGTGGTAATTGGCAGCCGCGGCAGAAGTGCACTCAAAGGGTAAGTTTCAGTTCCCCTTTTCCGTTTATTATCCATCTCTCAATTCTTCTTGCCCGCTTTCCTTTTGGTCTTGATTACGCCAGCATGTGGCCGTATTGCAGACAAGGACTAACAAGTTGCAGTGTCATCCTGGGCTCGTTTTCCAACTATCTGGTGACCAAGAGCTCGGTCCCCGTCATGGTGGCGAGGAAGCGCTTGCGAAAGCAGAGCAAGTACAAGCAAAAGGCTATTCGCCAAGTAAACAACCTGAGCAACCCGGCAGCGCGAAGCCTCGCGAGCGCCAAGATAGACTGAAGCCTCGCGAGTGCAAGGATCGACAGCTAGGGCCGACAGGGGCAAGGCGAGGCGAGGATGAGCGAAGATTTTTGTCATGTGCAAGTATTCTTTCCAATGTGCGGTTTCCTTCTATCTACTCCTCTCTTGGGCGTTTGCTTTGGTTTAGTTTTTAGTTTTTTGCACCTCTTGACTGAGCGGGGTGGAAAGAAGAATGGGTAAGAAAGGCGTACACCAATACTTGGGCGTCTCTTTTGCAAAGCGCTTTGAGAATGGGAATGCATGGGTTTTTGGGGCTGAAGCTGTAAGGTTTGGAATAGGTTCGCGTCGTATGCCACTTTTTACTGGCAATTTTTTTCCCTCTCAGAACTAGCGATTGACCAAGCTGGATAAGTTTACTTTTGCGTACACGGGAGCAACTCAAGTTGGATTTATGGTACTACAGGTTTCTGATGCAAGTAATTATGCTGTGAACAGGGGCTAGACGGGTATCTGAAACACGACTAGTTGACTAGGAGGAGCCCTGTCAAGAGAGTTTTGCAAGGGGCGTGTAGCGCATTTATGCGAAAGGCTGGCTGGCCGCTTGATGCGCGGCCTGGTGGTGGTGTAAGAGACTGGCCGGTGAGGTCCACGAGGTCGCAGCCAGTGAGTCCCGCAGCGAACCTGTTCATTCATTCTTAGGTAAGTGGACTCTGTTCATTTCTTCTTTGTGAATGGGACAAAGTTCAAAAAGGAGTAGAAAGGGAATCGAAGACGGAGAAGAATGAACCCTTTGTTGGAATGGTGGCAAGAAACACCATGGGTCGGTCCTAAGACAGGCCTTTGCAGTCACGGCGGTTGATTGGCTGGAGATGCTCACCAACGGGCGGGTTCTGGCAGGGTCTTTAGTGCCGAGTAATAATGGATACCCGGCGGCCGAAAGTGGGGCTGGCCATAAACATCCCACCAACCTCGTCCATTTTGACCGCCGACCGAGTCAATTACGGATGGAGAGGTTTATTGTCGTGAATTCTCCTCTCGTTTAAAAACGAGAAGCAAGAGATGCGCTAATCGTCGACGATATCACGACACCACGACACCACCGCCACCACTCATTGGAAATCGCCTCAACCTGAAACGGCATCTCCTAGCCAATCGTTCACTTACACTGTAACGGCAGGTATTACCAGGCAGCCAGCCAGCCATCCGTGCCCAATACTCTTTTGCGCCCACCAAGCACCGGACCCTGAGCAACACAACACGGTCTTCTTGTTCGCCTTGAAAGGGACACACAGTGGTCGATTTTGGCTTGAATGCCCTTATCATAACAATTCGATAACTAGTCGTGTCGGCTTGGAACTCCCGAAGGCGTACTCAGCGCCTAACCGCCGAACCACCACACGCCCCCCTCCTCCTCATACAGAGCAGCCCACACACACAGCAACAACAAGAGCCGCACACCCCTCTTCTCTTTCTGTCTTGTCTTGCTTTTTCCTTCCTTGTTCTTTTCCTTCTTTTCTCCGTTACCATGCAGTCCCTCTTTTCCGTCACAAACAACGTCTCCCTCGTCACAATCACCGTCACCCCCGGCACCTTCCTCGCCGTCGTTGGGCTGCTGCTCTGCTTCCTCACCCTCTACATACCCGTCGTGCCGCATATTCGCTTCCCCCGTGTGTCACTCCCACGCGCTCTCGTGCCGCCGTCGTCCTCGCACGGTAGCACCAGCGAATCATCGTCATCGGCGCTGCTCCTACGTGGTACTACCCCATCGTCCTACCCCTCCTCCACTGCCGTTGCTGCTGCAACCGCCGCCGCTGCCACTGGTCCAGGTCGGCATAGGACCCAGAAGGCTCTGCCTGCGTTGCCGGCACCGCTGCAGCCACCTCGATCTCGTGGTGCGCTGCTGCCCGCGCCCCCGTCGTTGATTGAGCAGCTCGCGCCGTCGCGCCAGCTTGCGCTGCCCGAGTTCATCTCCTCCTACTGGGGCGGTCGTCGCCGTCGCGAGACAACCCCTCCTCCTCCTGCACCACCTTTGAAGCATGGCGCCGACAATACCATTCCCGCCACCGCTGTCTGCTGCGCCAAAAGCTGCGTCGCAAGGGATTGTAGCAGTGTCAGCCACAACACCAGTAGCGGCAGCAGAAGACGTCGACGTTCATCATCTGGACGCTTCGCTGCAAGACTTCGAACCCCCAGCCAGCCCCATAACGGACAACACATCGCGCTCCTCGACCCGCCGCTCCTCGATGGCCACCAGGAGCGAGCCCGCGACCGAAGAGGACGACCAGTCAGTGGCAGCGGCGAACCTCGCCGCAGACTCGGAAGCGGACTCCGCCGCTGGTGGCTACTCACCACCAGCGTGGCGGAGACTCGGCAACGGCGGCCGCAGTCGCGGCTTCTGGAGCAGCCCGCAGACAGATGAGCTCGCCTTTCATTCTCCGCTGTCGCCGTCGTTCCCGGAATCCTCGGCCCTGTCGGGCGAGAGCGATGGCGAGTCCAGCGACTCTAGCGAGGCCACCACTGATATACTGGAACGAGCCATACAGACAAGGCTGCCCCAGGGGAGCCAGAGTCCGGAGAAGCGGCGCAGTCCGAGCCCGCCAACGCATGATGATACAATCAAAGTTGAGCCGACAGACTCTATGCTCGTCGCACCACCACCGCCACGAGAACCGCCATCCGAAAACTGCAAGTACAATCCTGTTTTGCGCCATCAGCGGGAAAACTGCCTGCTAACTGACCATTAGATATTCGATTCGCCGTCCGTGCCGAGGTGCATCAGCGCACCGAGCCCATCGAGGCCGCTGTGTCCTTTGTGCGCAAGCGCTACCAGGCCGCCATGTCATCTTGGTTTTCCATGCTCACCAGCATGTCTGTTGCGCTCTTCAGCATACTATTTGTCAGGTTCCTCCTGCAACCCGTCGCACCGCGGCCGGCCGGCGACCTCGTCAAGGTGGCGGGCATCGCGCGCTCCTTTGAGCCGCTCATTTACTACTCGGAACACGCCGTCACCCAAGTCCATGACCTACAAGCCACGAGTGTGGCCGTCTGGGATCTGGGCGAGAGCGTGCGCTCCAGTGATATGCTCGATGCGACGAGCATCGTCTCCGGGTTGGATGCGCTCAGTGAGACGATGAGAACATTGTCAGTCGAAATGACTAAATTCTTTGCCCGCGTTGATGGTGACGTTGACGGGTATGCTTGCTCCGTTGAAGAGTCTTGCAATATCTTGTACTAACACTCATCTAGCATTCTCAACGTCATGGATTGGGCCAAGATGCACCTGAACCGCCTCAACAGCGCCCAGGCGCCCTCGACCATGTCAGTCGCCTACGACAACATCCACAACCTTCTCTCTCACGCGCACGTCCTCGAAGACGCCGACGGCGTGCCCACCTCACTCGGCAATCTTGCCACCTACCTCTTTGGCCCGTCCAATCCGCAGCGCGAGCAGCGTTTGATCCAGCTCCTCTTTACCGAGTTCCTCACCGTCCTGGAGGAGAGCATCGCCGCCGAGCTGCAGCACAGCGTGACCCTCTTTGCGCTCTTCGAAGCCGTCGACCACCACTTTCTTAACCTCGCGCGCATCGTTGTTCGCGAGACCTCGGCGCAGGAGGAACTCCACTACGACTCGCTCGCGAGCCTGTGGGTGCGGCTCCTTGGTACGCGTGCCGACGAGCTGCGCAAGTTTACCCAGAACCGCGACCTCTTGCGCAACGTTCGCGACAAGACGGTTCGCAACAAGCGGGTCCTCATCGACCACCAGGGTAAGCTCCTCACTCTTCAGGCCTCGCTCGAGAGTCTGCGCGGCAAGCTCGTCTCCCCCCTCGTGCGCGGCGCAAACGCCACGACGCTCTCGCTCGAGGACCAGATTTACGGCATTTCCTCAGTCAGCGAGTACCTCGCCGAAGTGCGCCGACAGCAAAAGGGTAAAGTCATGCAGCATTTGTTTTCGAGCTCTCACGGGAGAAACGTTCTCGGAGACGAGATTCCCCCGCGCGTGGGCGGCTTTGACATTGACGGTCAAAAAGTGTAATTTGCCTTGTGTGTGTGTTTTCTTTTCTTGTGGTCGTTGTACTTGTGAGCCCTCCCTCTTTCTCTCAGCACGCGCCGCGAGCTTGATTCATTCTCGAGAAGGAATCGCTGCGAGAAGAGATATATAAGATATGTGGTTGGTTGGGACACTGATGATGGATTGTTTCTTTTGACCTAGGGAGGAGTTTTCTTTTTCTGCAAAGCACGGCGACAAAGGCAAGAAAGGGGCGGTATACTTGAAGCATTATTTTCCCTCATCTTTCATAGTAGTAGCGTTATCAATTTTACAATTATGCAACATTTCATCAAATTACACACGACTAGAGCATTCAAAATCAAAAGTCTGCAACATCCAATGACTGCAAATCAACATCAGCAACCACAGCAAGCAACCCAAGCACAGCACACAGCTTATTATAATTTTAACATTTTTTATTAGGTCCTATCAAATAAAAGTCTCCGCCTTTGCCTGGTAAAAATCTCGTGGACCACTCGAGGGGTATCTGTGCCCACAGCAATCTCGACCTCTTCGACGCCTTTTGTGGCCGTCAGAGCCCCCAAACCTTCCTTCAACTTCTCGCCACCTGGTTTCTCGACCCCAAACCGTCTGCTAATCGCAACTTTTGTAATTTTGTGCGCCGTGCCTGACAAGAAATAGCAAGTCCAACTATACAAATGTAACCCTGTAGACAGTCGTCATGAGATAGCAGATATTGTATGCCGCCGATACTCATACACATATGTCAATACGAGGTTGCATAATGAAGAAAGCCAACATGTAAAATAAAAGCAACAGAGGAAATCAGCCATTTCGAGGCTCGCTGCTCAATCATGAGCCTTGCTCTCCTCTAGACCGGAGTGGCTCTTATGCTTAAGCCTTGATCTCCTCCGCCTTCTTCTCCTCACCACCGTCCTGAGTCTTGACGTATTCATCATAGACAGCAAGAGCCTCATCAACCTTTGACTTGAGAGCGGCATCGTCCTCGATCAAGTTAATGAGTTCGGAGTTGTCCATCTCAAGAAGCATACCAGTGATTTTGCCAGCAAGCTCGCCGTTGATGGCTTGAATCTTGGGGAAGATCATCTCACCGAGCATCTGCTTCTGCTGGGCAGGAGGGGCACCGCTAATCTGGGCCTGGAGGGCGGAGATGTTGTTGTCGCCGGGGCGGGCGGCCTGCTGGCTGTTGTTGGCATTGTTGGCGCCACGGTTGGCGCCACGGCCCATGCCACCCTGGCGGTTGTTAGGAGGGAAGCCAGGAACAGCGTTGGGGGGCATGCCCGCGTTGCCACGGCCGCCCTGAGGAGCGCCACGACCACCACCGAGAGCAGCCTGCTGAGCCTGCTGCATAGCAGCCATGAACTGAGGAGTGCCAGGCTGGCCAAACTGGGGAGGGAACTGGCCAGGCATGTTGTACATGTTGGGGGGCATCTGCTGGGGGCCACCACGACCGCCCTGCTGGGGGTAGCCGGGGAATTGGCCAGGACGACCACCAGGCATGCCCATGCCAGGCTGGGGGAAGGGCATGCCGCGACCGCCCTGGGGAATGAAGCCGGGCTGCTGGCCAGCGGCGTAAAAAACGGGGGGCTGCATGAACTGCTGGGGCATACCGGCGGCGGCGGCAGCCTGCTGCATGCGCATCTGGTTGCGAGCCTGGATACTAGCCTCAAGCTGGCTCTTGCGGACATCCTTGCGCTGGGCGAGGGCGACGTAGAGGGGCTTGCCGTTGATCATGCGCTGATTCATCTCAGCGACGGCCTTGGTGGCATCGTCAGGGTTGCTGAAGCAGACGAAACCGAAACCCTTGCTCTTACCGAGCTTCTTAGATCCCTTCTTATCCTTTTTGTCCTTGTCGTTTTCCTCATCGTCGGGGTTCTGATCTTTCTTCTCCTCTTCCTTCTTGTTTTCCTTGTCCTTGTCCTCGGCTTCCTTGCTCTCCTCTTCCTCGTCATCATCAGAGGGGCTATCTCTCATGACCTTGGCGGAGGTAATGGGGCCGAACTCGGCGAACATGATGCGAAGCTTGTCATCATCGACATCGTCGTCGAGGTTCTTGATGTAGAGGTTGACACCTTGGTATTTGCTGGCCTTTTCAATGCGAGCAGCCTCGTAGGACTTGCGGAGCTCTTCCTCTCGCTCGTGCTTCTTTTGAGCACGACCGACATAAAGCTCCTGGCCGTGCAAGTCCTTGTTGTTGAGCTCTTCGACAGCCTTGGCAGCGGCCTCGTGGGTGGTAAAGTTGACAAAGCCAAAACCACGGCTCTTGCCGTCCTGTTCACGGGCGATGGAGGAAGAGGTGACGTCGCCGTGGCGCTCGAAAAGCTCACGGAACTCGTCGTCGGTGACTTCGGGGCTGATGTTCTTGACGTAGACGTTGGTGAAATTGGCCTTCATCTCCTCAAACTTGGACTGGCGGTCCTTCTTGGGGATGTGGTGGCCGACGTAGACCTTCTTCTCGTTGAGAAGCATGCCATTAACGTGCTTGATGGCCTGCTGAGCAGCTTCATCAGTCTCGTAGTGGACGAAACCGTAGCCCTTGGAGCTGCCGTTCTCGTCCTGAGCAACCTTGCAGGAGAGAATGTTGCCAAAGGCAGCAAAGGTGTCGTGGAGAGCCTTGTTATCAATGGCGACGTCGAGATTCTTGATGAAGACGTTGCCTTGGCCAGTCTTGCGAAGGGCGGGGTCACGCTGAGACCACATGATGCGGCAGGGACGGCCCTTGATCAGAGTGTAGTTGAGCTCCTCGAGGGCCTTCTCGCCATCGGGGGTGGAGTTGTAGTTGACGTAGGCGTAGCCGAGAGAGCGGCGGGTAACGGCGTCACGGCAGACACGAATGGAAGCGACGGCGCCAATCTGGGAAAAGAGCTCGAAGAGCATAGCCTCGGTGACAGAGGGGTCGAGCTCGCCAACATAGAGGGAGGCAGAGTTCTGGGGATGAGGAGCGGCGGAGTTGGGGGCAGGGCCAGCATCGTCACCGGCAGCAGCGGAGGCGGAGGTGTCGACGGAGGGCTTGGCGTCGATGGAGGTGTTGTTGAGATCGTTGGCGAGCTGATCAACAGCGGCGGAGTTGTTGGCGGCAGCCATTTTGTCGTGTTGAGTTAACAAGTCGACGAAACTGCGCGTCGGGAATTGGGGTTAGCGAGGCAGGCAGCAGGGGAGGTGAGAGACGTCAAGGCGGCCGACTAACGAGTTGATTGCAGAGTGTGATGAGGTGAACCGGCAACGTATCAGACTGGCTGTTGACGAAGCTGGTGAAACAAACACAAAAAGTCTTTGAGAAAAGAGCTCAAAGCAAAATGGTGTTTGGAGTTAAGAGAGTCGACCTATTTATCGCACGAGACGAGAAGGTGGGGACCTGGAGGGGGGGGTTTTTGGTGGTTTTCAATTTTTTTTGTAAGTTTTCTTGATTGAAGTACAAGAGGAGGGACAGAGAATTAGTGCTAGACTATTCCTCTGAACTAACTCGTCTCGAGAAGTTTTGGGGGGTTTTTATGATAGGGTTTTGGTGGTGGTGTGAAAGAAGAAATGAAAAGAAAAAAGGCGAGAAATTTGACCAGATGATATTTTTTTCCTGGCCTTGACCGACTCTGGTGGAGTGCCCTTGCCGCTTCCCACAAGCAAGCCCACGCCAAATAGGAAAAAGGTTTGCGCGCCGCAAAAGGTTGCAAGAGCAAGAAAGGGGTGGAGACGCGCCAGCCACGGGCCATACGGGTCAGTACAGTGCGCAAGCTACAGTGCATGCTTCAATTGTTACGGCCTATCTCACGTATCCCAGGTTGTGGAGACTTGAACTCACCACAAACGGTACTCGGTAGTTGCTCACCGTTTCTGCAACAGAGCGAGTACTTGATGCGCAGATCAGGGTATTGTCGACTTTTTCTTGTCGCAAAACGTGTACGGAATTGCGCTTCATTTCTTGGTGATTGCCTGCCTCTTACTTCTTTTCATGTTCCCCTTTTCCTTTACTTGTTCGTCATCATTCTGCTCATTCGTTAGATCATTATTATTGATCTCATGACGCACGCACCTGCACTCATGCACGTCACTAGCACAGTGTGACCAGGGGTCTTTATTATTTAGTCCGGGGCATGGCGGAATGAAGGAGACGAGCCATGCTATGCCATGCTATGCTATATAGCGCGTTTGCACACGTTGACTGAGATGAATGGCGGCGAATTGTCTTAAAATAAAACTAAAACCAAAAACAAAATATGGGCGGATCACCCACCGAAGCCAACATTGCACTTATTATTATTACCACAGAGTGCCGTTGCTGCCAACACAAAGAGGCACAAATGTGCAAGGATGGATTAGGGGAAAAAAAATCGTAACAATTTCAGGTTGTTCAGCTAGTGGCGACTTGACTGAGGATTAGAACTAGGCCAGGCGAATGGCAGAGTTTAGTGACATGAACATCTGGCTGTGGTGATGGAAGCCGACAGTCAGAAAAAGAAGCCTCGCTCGTGTGGCGAAACTGAATGGTAGCACGCAGCGAAATAGCCCTCACCACTCAAGACAAAGCAGAAAGGCAAGATGGATGCCTACATTCGGGTAATTTAGAGTAGATATTGAGGAATCAATAGACGGCAACTGTGTTGCCATTTGTAAGCGCCCGCAAAGCCCACTTGTAGGTGACCTCAGTAGCGCTGCGATTGTAACGGTACTTTTCATTAGTCGGCGTGCAGATTACCGTGTGACAATGTTGGCAAGTACCTGAGGCCTCAAGCGGATAGAAGCGATTTATCACACATTCGCCCTTGACCAACTCATTAATTCATATATTGCTACTCGAAACAGCGTGGATTTTACTTAGGCACTGCACTCGCCTGGCGCTCATCATTTCCTACCTGGTACACCATCAATCAATCGGTCATCGTGCTCCAGATTGGCCTCATCGCCGACTCCCGTTGCCCCACCACAGCTCTCTGCCTGGAAGAAAGCTGTCAACGGCATTTGAACCTTCCTTGTCTTGCCGCCATCTCTTTGCCCTCACCTCCAGCCTTTAACACACTTCATCTACAACCCAAGCACAGGTAACGCACGCATCATCTGCCCGTTTCGGCACAAAGCTTCGAGGGCACCCGCAGCCGCCCCCGTCGCCATGTTCTCAACCTTCACGGGCAACTCCAAACGCCCGCGAAACGTCAACCTCAGCGGCGCCGCTGGAAACCCCTTTGCCAACACTTCCTGGAGCCCCTCCAACGCCTCCAACACCACAAAGACCATCTCAGCCGCTCAGACCGAACGAGAAAAGCGCCAGGCCGAGCGACAGCGCCTCAAGGCTGCCTCGCGTATCCAACGAACATGGCGGGGTCACAACGCACGCTCCCGTCTTGCCGACCGCCGTCGCGCCGCATTTGATTCTTTGTACGCCGTTTCAGCATCTGCTGGTAACACCGAAAGGCTTCATCGATCATTCAGCATATTGCTCTCGTTTTGCCGACCAACCCGATTCGATGATCTCCAACGCTTGCTGCAGTATGCCAGTGATGCTGCCAACGTCGTCGAGCTGGGCAACCTCTGGCCTCAGAACACACACTCGTCTCGCATCCGCCTGTTAGTCCAGATCATAGTCTCCGCCTTGGCGTCTGCTTCGAAGAAACGGTATTATTGTCCGAGTCTTTCAGCCCACCAGTTCGCCCGCTAATCCGCTATGTAGTATTCTGACTGCCGAGCTTCGCGTTTCTCTTCATCTTGCTACCCGAGTATTACAAACCGTGCCTGGAGCTTTGAGCACGTCTAGAGACGAATATTTCGCCACCTTGGCTTGTATCTGTCAACAAGTAGAGAGCGCGGACTGGCTTCGAGACATCACCCAAAGTATATCGGTAGCTCTCCAATCAGTGTCTCAAGGTACGTCCTCAGCCGCTTATTCACAAGCCTCTCGACCAACACAGCGCTGATATCATCATAATCCAGCTTACAAATCTTTCACTTCACATTTCTTGACTAAGGCAAACATCACCCTCTTCGAGACGAACATCGACAGCTTCGCTTCCATCATCGATGCCAGCCAACTTGGCGATGCAATCGCATGTATTTATGCCTTGCCCCGCCCTTCAACCGCATCTACAGACGATTTGCTATGGCTTCTTGCTCATTTCGTGCAGCTCACCAGAGCTCAGATGCACTCGAACGCTGGCGTGGGCCAAACTCGCTCTATTTTTACCCAGCTCTCGGCTCTCTCGTCCGAGATTAGTGCTCGTATGACACCCAAAACACCCACAGCCGAATTAAAAGAGGAATTGGAAAATCAACCTCGTGTCGACCCGTATATTTCCCATCACCTTTTGTGGCTCATTAGCAATGAGGGCACGTCAAAAATACTGCGAGATTTCACACTAAGCTCCATTCAACCAAGCCGCGACGCCCTCCAAAGTACCAGCCTGTTGGCGGGCTATCTGCTCACGCTATTGCAGAGCTTCCCTAACGATGCTGACGACATACGCATGAAACTGTTTCTGGAACAAGTCACAACTCAATCGGGATCTGTTCCCACGGTCAATTTCCTTTGGCAGATGGTTCAAGAAACCACCGTCTTTCAATCTCTCTGTAGAGAATCTGGGCATCCGATTGAAGTTTTGAAGCAATACCTTCGAAGTCTGACCCAAACCGAGGAGACTGTCGATGACCAAGAATGGCGCGTCATTCTCCTGTTCCTCGAATTATACACATTTGTTCTGCGACTGAGTGACGACGAAGATTTCTTCAGTGGCATCCACCCGTCTCCGTTACGAGACAACTCGTCACTCTCGCGTATCCAGTCTTGCAGTTTGTCTTATGAGGATGTCAAGTCTCTCACCCTTTTCCTCAAAAATGTCGCCTTCACGTTGTACTACAGAGCTCGTGAGCTATTTCCGACCGAGAGACAGCCTCAAGACGTGGAACAGTCTCGATTTGACTCGTACTTTGCGCCGGGCTCAAAACAACCAGGGGAACCGAACTCTGTCAGGAGCAACGACTTCAAGCCAACCGAGTTGGAAATTGATAGCCTCCGCGAAATCATAACCAATGCCATGACAATGCTATACGAAAGAGACTCCCGCAAACATTTTCTTCCCAAAGATCATTGGCTCGTCACAGATCGGTTGCAAAAAGAAGACTTTGTGTCTGCCGTCATCGCGGAGGAGGAGCGTCAACGTGACGAGGAAGCTCTCGATAATGATGACGAAACGGAAGACAGTGATGATGAGGAGCCCGCTCTTGCTACAGAATATCCTCACAACCTCGCCAGCTATCGACTTACAAGACATGCTAGAATGGAACGACTGCGCGCGCAACAAAAGAGGGCTCTACGGGAACGCCGACTAGCAGAATTGGGCCCTAAGCTGGCAATCTTGAAGCACATGCCATTTGCTGTCCCATTCGACACCCGTGTCATGATCTTCAGGCAGTTCATCGAACTGGATATCAACCGAAGGGATAATCCTTTTCTGTCCTACCAGGCGTTCGCCAAACACACTGCACAGATTCGGAGAGGCCAGCTGTTTGAGGATGCCTTTGAAGAGCTTTACAAAATTGGCGACGGTTTGAAGGATGCGGTACAGATTACCTTTGTTGATCAATTTGATCAGCCTGAAGCCGGAATCGACGGTGGCGGCGTCACCAAGGAGTTTTTGATCAGTGTCACATCGGAAGCTTTTGGGGATCAGGGCGGTTCCCTGAACATGTTTACTTCGAGTCCTGACGGACTCTTGTACCCGAACCCAACTGCTGTAGACACGATCAAAGAGACAATGAGGGAAGGCGGGCTCAACGAATTGTCTCCGGAGTGGCGCCGCATTCTCAACGAGCAACTAAAACGATATGAATTCCTAGGTCGGATCGTGGGCAAATGCATGTATGAGGGCATCCTTGTGGACTTGAACTTTGCCGGCTTTTTTCTCCTCAAATGGCCCTCGTCTGGACCCAAGGAGGAAAACAACTACAAGGGTAGCATCAACGACCTGCGCGACATGGATGAGGAACTGTACAAGGGCATGCTGCGGCTCAAAAACTATCCTGGGGACGTGTCAGAACTTGGCATCGACTTTACCGTGACAGATCAAGTGTCAATGCCTGGAGCGCCGATAAAGACGGTCACAAAGCTGTTGGTGGCCAACGGTGACCAGATCTCCGTGACCAACGACAACAGACCGCTGTACATTTCCTACATGGCTCGACATCGCTTGGTGTATCAGCCTGCTGTGCAGACGGCGGCTTTCCTGCGAGGGCTTCGTGCCATCATCCGGCCATCCTGGCTGTCCATGTTCAACCAGTCGGAGCTTCAACGACTTGTCGGCGGCGACTCGTCCGAGATTGACATTGAGGACTTGCGCCAGAATACAGTGTATGGCGGTTTGTACGAGGTTGGCGACGACAAGCGCAATCATCCAACAATCGACCTGTTTTGGAAGGTGGTGGGTGGGTTTACGGACGAGCAGCGCAGAGACTTGCTCAAATACGTCAGCTCGACGCCCCGCGCGCCGCTGCTCGGGTTCTCGCAGCTCCGGCCACACTTTAGTATTAGAGATGCAGGAGCCGACGAGGAACGCTTACCAAGTACGAGCACGTGCGTCAACTTGCTCAAGCTGCCGCGATACAAGACTGAGGCAACGCTACGGGAAAAGCTGCTTTACGCGATTACGTCTGGTGCAGGATTTGACTTGAGTTAGATAACGGATGAGGGGCATTCTATTGACGCTCTTTACAGATTGCATTAGCGGAGTTGTGCTTTATTTTCATTTGCTCTCATGATTTTCCCTGGCGATACATTGGTCCTATAGTCGGAAACAAAGCTCAGTTTCAGCGTATTATTCACCACTATACCAACGTATTATTCAACCTCAATTTCAGCGTATTATCCAGCCAGCTCAATTTCAGCGTATTATTTGTCGTGTCAGCTCAGTTTTGAAAGCTACGTTGTAGAATCCTGGGTTTTCTTTCGGAGAGATCAATGAGCATCTGGCCAAAGAGACCGTTGGCCCAGGCGAACCTGTCAAGAGATTTTTGTTAGTTTTGCCGAAAACTTGTTGATGTCTCGGACGAGGAAGATGAGAGGTACCATGGCCGACTCCAATTGGAGTCGTCAAAGGTGTTTACGGATTCGTGAATCAGGCCCAGGCCGCTGGTGGCGCCCATGAGCATCTTGAGGCAGGCGACAATCTCGTCGTCATGGTCGCTCGTCATGATGCGCATAATGACGCCCATGGGCCAGGCCATGCCGGGTCCCAAGTGCGGGCCGCCGGTCGAGTTGAGGACGGGCCCTGTGCCAAAGTAGGGGTTGGAGCGGCCGAGGACAAATTCGCGGGTGCGCTTGTAGATGGCGTCGTCGTTGGAGGCGTAGCCGAGATGCGGGATGCTGAGCAAGGATGGGATGTTGGCATCGTCCTGTTTTTTTTCGCCCCCCACGTTCATGGTGTAAGTTTTACATGTTCTGCACAAAAACTACGGCAACAGCAGCAAAAAAAAAAAAAATCTTTTTCTGCCGTGAAAATCTTGCTCACCATAAAATTGACGGATCCGAAGCCGTCGACCTCGTATGCGTAAATGTCGCCGTGCTGCGGGTGCCTGACGACGGCGTGCTCGTCAATCGCGCCGCGAATGCCCGCCGCCATGTCCTCCATGTCGCGGGCGAGCGCCGCCGCGTCGATGCCTCGCATGATGACGGCGCAGTTCTCGAGGTTCTTGGCAAACATCATGTTGGCGGGCACAAAGTACTGGTACGTGGTGGAGTCGTCGGACGGGCGGAAGAAGCTGCGCACCATGCCGATGCGGTCGGCGACGGGGCTGCCGCGGCCGGCGTTGGCGACGACCTCGGTCGCCGTGTTGGCGTCGCGCAGCCACGTGTACGGCGACGGCTGCACGCGGCCGTCGGCGGCGTACGTGCCGGCCATGAGCGCCCGCGCCGTGTCGAGCAGCACGGCGACGGTCTGGCGCCAGGCGAAGCGGCCGAAAAAGGCGGCGTCGCCGGTCGCATCGTGGTAGTCGTGCGAGAGCTGAAGGAATGCGGCAATGGAGTCGAGCTCGTACTTGCACTCCCAGACCTCGTTGGGGTTGTACGGCGGCGAGACGGTGTCGCGCCGGCTGTTGCTGTGGCTGTGGAGGAGGAGGTTGTGGTGGTCGCTCTCGGAGCGCTTGTGGTGGATGGGCGGAATCTTGGACTCGGCGGGCGGTTGAAAGGCGTTGCAGTAGGGGTATTTGCGCAGGTACCGGCCCTGCAGGTTGATGGCGCCGCGAAAGAGCGCGGCAATGTCGTTGGTGTCGTTGGCGGCGGCGCCGGTGCTGCTGCCGTTGAGGATGGGCTTGTACGACTGCAGCTGGTTGGCGCTGTCGCGAAGCCACATGGCGTTGATATCACCGGTAATGACAAATGCGAGCTGTGGACATCATCAATTATCAAAATACAGATTTGGCTCAATGGCAAATGGTAGAATGCTGTGTGTAAATTGTTTGTTTGAACATTTACCTCTTCTTCTGGATTCTCGGCCGACGTGCCGTGCCAGAGCACCGTCGTGTCCACCGTGTTTGGCCAGGTGTTGAGAAAGAGCTGGTATAGGTCCGGATCGCGCACCTTGCGCTTCATATCGTCGAGGACGCGCTCGACGTCGGGCACCGCGTAGGAGCGGCATTCTTTGGCTGGACGCTGGTACGGAAACTTGTACTTGCCGCGCGAAAAGGGCTCGTGTCGTTGGCGGGCGTATTGCTCGTACGCCGGGCAATCGGCGGCGGCGGCGGCAAGTCTGGCCAGTGCGGCCAGGACAAGATTGTACTTCATCTTTTGTGTTGCTCCCCGGAAATATTGTCAATGTTGCTAGCTTATAGGATGACAGAGGGGCAAACAGATCAACTAGTGTACGAATACTGCAAGGGGGAAGAACACGGGGAGGTGACTCTCATAGCATCACTGCCTTTTTAAATCTACTCAGTAGTTGCAGTGGCAGCGACGGGATGCTGCACAAAGTGAGGGGGTGAATTGTAGCATCTGACTTGATCACGGCGTGCGGAGAAGCATGCAGCTCTTGCCAAGCACCCAGTCAAGTCGTATTCTACCCCACGATGGGCGTTATGATAGCGGGCATTACACTGTCCAATTTGGAAGGTCAAGAAAGCTAGCAAAGGACGATCGACTTGGACGCCAAGAACAAGCAACCCTTTTTCTGTATGAGCTCGGTGTATCTATCGATTAGTGCCCGCGCCACCAAGCCACTTCGACAACCATCATCCAACAGAGGGAACGTATTTTTGACGGCAGGCTTGTTCGCTCAACGGCTTCAGCTAAGACTTTTGATGTTGACTTTGGTTTGCGAGAATGACCGTCTGGAATTCTCTACTACACCCTTTCATCTCTCGTCAACTATTGTCTTCAGGTCAGCTGCCACCGACTCCTTCGGCAGGGAGAGATAAAAAAAAACACTGGCGTAGTAACCGTGAAGGGAGCCTCGCTGTGCGGGGTTTGGGTGCTGTCCTTGTCCCCAGCAACTTTTAGGCTGAAAACTTGGCCTCGGCCGGGCGAGGCTCTGGGAAAGAAGGCCGACTAAACCATCAGCGAGGTGTGTTGGAAAGGTTATGCATCTGCTGGAACCCGGATCTTGAAGCTAAAACTTAATGTCACTCTGCCCTACGGTAGAAAAAGCAACGGGCTAGCTAGGACGGCTAGGAAATGTTTCCGTCATCATCGACGTAGTGGTCACGAGCTCACCCTGGTCATGGCGCCGCCTCGTTTTCGGGCAAGCCACGAAATCCTTGGCTCCTAAAGCGCACGAATGATCCATTGGGAAAATGCAGAAAAAAAAAGGGAAGTGAGGTTCTCTGCTTTGATTGTGCGGGGAAGGCAAATGGCTAAATTGGCGATCGCCCAGTGCTCTTGGCTCCGGGCAAGCCACCAAGCCCCCCCGTGGGGAACGGCCCGTGGGGAAATTGAATGGGCCATGTTAGTGAGTTGTCGCATCCGGCAACTAAAATGGCTTTTGGAGTTTCCATCGTTCCGAGTCAGAGATTTGAGCAATCGTAAATTCAAGGCGTACGCTGGCTTTGGCATGTTCGGTATACATGACTGTTACCGGTTGGCACTCTTTTCATGGAAAATTGCGAATAGCTGGGGGGGTAGTAGTATGCTAGGAGCAAGCCCTTTCTGCAAAGCATTGAAGCGTACACTGCTTGACGAGCTAACTACAAGGCTTTGCAGTGCGGAGGCAAAGGAGGGTACACACCAATTCGGATGCTGCCGCCAACTTTTGCTGTACAGTAAAAATTGCACAAAAGGAGGTAAATTTGGAAAAGTTTAAGAACAAAAGTACCTCGGGCCGGCTACGTCAAGTGAGAGCCAGCAAGGCCCATCTTTTGAACATGGCTACAGCACAACATTAACTAGGAGATGAATATATGGACAAGTAAAAGAAAAGAGACGGCTAATGGGGGAAAAAAAAAAAAAAATCCCGCCAAAATCAGTAGATTCTACTCTGTTGGCGCAAACAAGGCTTACCTTTGCTGTTAGTCTTCTGCCCTCAATACGCCAACACCCATCACCACCGCATGCAGCGAGGCTCCTTCGGGGATGTTTCGGTCTCAGTTTTTCCGTGGACCTTGTCCATTATCATCTCATCATTCCTCCTCTCTAGACTCTTCTTGGGTTGATGTTCCTTTCGTACCGCTCACACCCGAATCACCCCTGCTCGTCCTCGAATGCGGGGAAGGCCAGCGGGCGTGCAGCCGATGTGGCAGGGCGTTGATATCAATTGCAGTAAGCAAAAATTGCTACTGCAGTGCAAGCTAGATAGCGGCTTCTTTATGAACATTTACATGTATAATTACGTTAGCTGCTGCTCTCGCTCGTAAATGCCCCGTTTTCTTATCCTTGAATAACCACCGTCCTTTGGTATTTGCGAAAGCTGAGCACTGGACCATACCTTTTTCTTCTGTCCTTGTCCGATAAAGAGGAAGAAAAAAATGATGGGGAGCAAGGCTTCTCGAGATCATTCCGATTTCATCACCGGGTCTGACCCGCAGCCCGCCTCCGAAGCATCCAAGACGGAACAGACGGCGGACGAGGAGCACATCGAGGACGCCGCTCCTAGCAGCGACGATGGCTCGGCAGGGCCGAATTTACACAAAAAGGGCGCTCTGGGATTTATAAAGCAGCAGCATATTATTCCTACGACGGGAAATGTGATGCCAACGGGAAAATGGGAGTACATTTTTTTCTGCATCTACTGTAAGTTTGTCCAGGGCCTTGACAGGAGGACGAGTCGCCCACTAACAACGAGACAACGACAGACTTTTCCAACAATGGCGCCCGTGAGTGCATGAATGAATCTCAGAATTCAACATGTTGCATAGTGAGCTAGCATGGCTCACCGTGACTGTTCTAGCAATTGGTGGTAATGGTGGTGCTTTGCGACAGGCTCTTACTGCTCAGGCCTTTCCTGATGGTATCGTCCATTGGGGCGGGCAGCACCTAAATAGCAAGTCTCTCTCAGGTTTCTTCCTATTTCTATCCCCTCAATTACAGTCTAACTAACGAGATGTTAGTGAACTCCTTCCTCCTCGACATTACTGGTATTCTTTTCGCTGCGCAGCTCGTCACGCTGCTGACCATTGGCCCCTACGCCGACTACGGCAACTGGCGTCCATGGATCATGATCAGTGAGTTGTACCACCCTCCAATGATACAGTACTAAACATCAGGGGAAAATTGAGTAGTTGCCCAGAGCATCCTCTACATTTGCCAGTTTGCCATGTGCGGAATCAACCAGCCCGGTCAGTGGCAGGCCGCGCAGGCTCTCTATGTCGTGGGATCTCTGGCTGCCAACATTGCCACGGCGTTTTACACGGCAACGTTTCCCAGTCTGGTGCACAACCTGCCCAAGGTGCTAGAGTCTGAGCAGCAAGTCCGAGATGGGGTCAAGTCGTACGTTTTAAGATATCGCCGCGCATGGGTGGCGACAGTTTTTTTCTGACGGTGTTTATCTCGACAGTCCCGAAGAGCACGCCGAACTCGACTCATACGAGCGATCCAAGGTATTGCGAATTCGCCAAATACCAGCCTTGTCTCTTTTTTTCTTAAATGAGTGCAATTCTAACCCGTCACCATAGCTCTATAATCTCTGCAACATTACCGGCTCCGCCCTCGTCGTTGTGTTCTATGCCATTGCCGTGGGCATTTCTGCCGGCATTGGATTCGATACCCCCCGAAAGCTCATTTACTCTTACAATGTCTTGATGGGCTATTTCGGTGCCCTTACCGTCATTTGCACCCTCCCATTCTTTCTCGTGCAAAAACACAGACCCGGCCAACAGCTTCCCGAAGGCACCAGCTTTTGGTCAGTTGGATTCAAGTACGTTTCTAGGCTTTCAGAACCACACTCTGGCAATTCCCGCTCTTGACCGATTGATACTAATTTATACATGTAGACAAATTTGGAGTGCTATAAAGTCCGCAAAGGAGCTTCGCCAGTGCCTGCTCTATCTTCTCGCATTCTTCATGTTACAAGAGAGTAAAGTCGACCCATTGGCTCAGTTTTTCATCTATTCTGACGTTATCTAGCCTTTGGTACCTATTTCAACATTACTGGTATTCTTCAAAATGAGTCAGTCTCCCCCTTTCATTTTTGCTCTCATGTTGCTAATCAGTGACTTCTCCAATGCTCTATAGGGTCATCAAGTATTCGCCTCTCAAACTGAATGCCATGAGCTTGGTCGCAGATTTGTCAGGTGGTTCAGGTACAGTCTTTGTTTTGCTTCTGCAAAAAAAGTTTCGCTTCTCCGTCAAGGCCGGTGTCTTTTACGGCGCATGCATGACTCTTTTCCCTAGTCTGTGGGGTGGTATTGGGTTGTTTACTGATAGAATTGGCTTCAAGAATGTTTGGGAGTTTTGGCTAGCACAGGTATGCCTACAATCTTTGTCGCCTATTGAAAAATCGATCGACTAATTAAAAAAACTATTACAGGCTTGGAACTTTCAAACCGCGGCATGGGGATCTTATCAAATCACCATGATCTCCGAAGTCGTCCCGGCTCCCAAGGCGTTTCTCTTCTTTGCCCTCTTCAACTGCGTCGGCAAGACGTCCGGCTTCATAGGCCCATTCATCTCGTCTGCTATCATTGAACGTGCTCATGGAAAAACCAACGCTGCATACTGGTTTCTCTTCGCCATGGGTTCCATCGGCTGCCTTGCGCTCTGGTTCGTTGACACGGACCGGGCAAAGAGAGATAATGCCCAGTATCTTGAGCGTGAGGCTGCTGAGTTCTACAGTGAGAACCAGATTCAGAAAGCACACCAAGAGAAGACTCAGAATACTATCACAGCATAATGAAGAGCTCTCTCCTGTAACATAGACTCTCGCTGCGCTCGGCATTCAACATGCGAGCAACTGGGCAGTCCGTTGGGGTGGCTGGACCAGCTCATGGCTTGTATACATTAATGATATACAATTTATAGTCTTGGACAAAATAAGGGCCTATTATTGTAAAAGACATCTTCTTTGTGTGCGTTATCGTGTATGGCGGAGTTCGCCTGGAGGTGCTTTGATTCGCGGAATGTTCGTCTCGGCAAGTGGTAGTAGTCGTGTGATTGCATCAATCATGATGTCCTTGATGCTTTCATAATATTGGTTCATCTATATTAATGCTGTCGGGCGTTCAATACGTAAGTCTTCATGGCGCATCTACTCAATGATAGGTATTCGCAGAACGCAACAGATGCTCATTGTGTTCTCCAGGGTGCGCCCCAGGGTATCCCTCCGCGGTATCCCGAAGCCAGTCCAAGCCCTCCGGCCCTGCCGGTTGTGGTTACTTGTATTCATCCCTCCAAGGAACCGCGACTCCAAACTCGTCAGCCACCCTCATCGCCGACACTACGCACCCCTCCAGCAGCACCATGCCATCCCAGCACCAAGAGCCCGTCACCCACACATTGTCCTTGCCGCTGACCCACATCTTCTCCGAGGCCGTCGTCTGATTCCCGGCCGACCTGCTCCGGCCGACTACGCTCTCGACGATGCTCCGGCTCGCCACCGTGCGCAGCGTCCTCGTGAAGCGCGCCCTGTGAAGCACCTTGGCGTCCTCGAGCGGGTACTGGAACGGGCTCGTTCTGCAAATTGCGCCGCTGGGCAGGTAGTTCCACGCCTCCGTTTGGGCGCCGCCGGCGTCGGAGAAATGCGTCCGGAACGCCATGAGCTGGGGGTGGTTGTGCTTGGAAAAGAGTTTTGCAATGGGCGCCTGTTCCCACTCATCGACGTATATTCGTTTGAAGGAAGGGTCAAGAACGGTCGCTTCAATGGAGGCGGTGGGAATCGACGATAGCGCGTAGCTGGCAGGGCTGAATATCTTGGCAGCGGCGTTGGGCGTCACAGCGAGCACCACTCGGTCGAATACCTCTTCGGGACTTGACCCACTGCCATCTTGATGCCGATCCCACTGTATCAAGACGCCATTTTCGACTCTTTCCACCTTTCTAACCTGAGCCTGCAGGCGAATGTCCTCAACTCCCTTTACCAGCCTTGATTGCAGATCGTGAACACCGTCAGTCATGTAGGTTCTTTGCAGCGACGACCGGGTCATAAAGTTGACTACATCGCTCGCCGGAAAGTCCAAGAGCTGCTCGTGGGAGCAGGTACATATCGCGCCGAGCACCGGCAGCAGGTGATAATCGATGAACCGCCGCGGAACTCGTATCCGCTGTAGGTAGGCCTGCAGCGACTCGCTGACATTCGTCTTCTTGGTTATGCGGGGCTCGACGAAGAAGCAGGACGCGAGGAACCAGACGTAGCAGGCGGCGATGAAAATGGTCTGCCATAATTGCCACAGCCAGCTGCCACTGAGCTGGCGCGACAGCACGGGCTTGTGCAGCTTTTCAAAGGCAAAGTATGCGCCGGCCATTGGATCGCTGCTTTGCGGCGGCCGGGGCCCGGCTTGTGTCTTTGTCGCTTGAATCTCGGCATAGAGAAAGGTGTAGCGCACCGACCGGAGCGGTATCCGTAGGTAGTCGTACATGCGGGTGAGGTTGGGATAGTAGCCTCTGGTGACGCTGCGTGGGGGGATATTTACACGCTCCGTCACACCTGTCATGGCATTTTTCAGCGTCACGGATGCCGCATCGAGCGCTAGCGTTTCGGCCTATGTCGAAACTTGTAAGCAAGTTGCCAAAGCAGTCATCTTTGATTGTACGTACCTGCTCGAAAAGCGTAACGTCGAATCTGGTCTGCCTGTCCTGTTGGAGAAGGTATGCGGTGGCGAGCCCAGCCAAGCCGGTTCCGACAATGGCGACGCGAACTTTCGGGCGGGCGTCTGCCGCTTCCCGCTGCTGTGCCATGCCTCTGTCAACAATAGAATATGTCTATTTTTCTCCTTTTTTTTTTTTTTTTTTTTTCCTTTTTCCTTTTTTGACCTTGTAAAATTGATTCCAATAGGTAATGCCCGAACGTTGGGAATGTGGCTGCACTTGCTTAAATATCAAACGTTCTCTGCAACGATGGGACCCACCACAGTACAAAGCTGATGCCTCGGGACCGGCAGGATGGTTGTGCCGGCGGGCCAAAATTCAGGGTGCAGTCTGGGATGGGACAGGAAGCGCCCCTCCGGACCACTCACCCAATCTAATATTCGGAGCATGATTGTAATCGATCCAGATTCGCGCCATCACCTGCAATAGCCGCGGTTTCATTCGTCAATCTTCTGGGAGGCTTTTCTTTCTCGCCAGTTTCCGACAGATTCATTCAGTCTCAACAAGAAGCGCTCGTAGTCTACATACCAAATCATTAGCATTTATCCTTCACACGCCAAAAGCGCAGACAATCAATAGTTACCATGCACATCGGGTGATCGGCAGGTTCAAATGCAGAAAAATTTATGGGCTCTTTTGTTGGGCCGGCATTGACAATGGAGCCACTGTTGCCACTGGTACTGCGGTGCATGAACTGGTATGCAGGTATGGGTGAGCTAACCCAATCCAACCCTTTGTCGCAAAGGTACTTCTTGCTAATAAAGTTATCACAGCTCAACGGTCACGGTTTCAGACGCTGTAAGTTTTTTTTTATCAGTTTTCCAGTTGTACATAGCATGGGCGCGACTCCAAGTTAGCGTCGAAATCTTCCATCCCCCAGGGCGCTCCAATGCCTCCATTACATCATGGATACACCAATAGCCTCGCGCTAATCGCACCATCTACCCGGGCGATTAACAAAGAAGCGACGGAGAATTCCAAATCATCGATGATCTGATGATGCCCCTTCTTAGTTCCTCCGAAAGGCAAACGGCCTAATCGCACTCTTAAAACCCGTCTGCCGCCTTCGTCGTCATTTCCGTCGAATGTCCTTGCTTGGCAGCCAACAGTCAAAACATGGCCAAAATCACCGTGCACCACCTGCAAGTCTCCCAGTCGGAGCGCATCCCCTGGCTCCTCGAGGAGCTCGGCGTGCCCTACAACCTCAAGCTCTACCAGCGCGCGCCGCTCCTCGCCCCCGCCGCCTACAAGGCGCTGCACCACTCGGGCGCCGCCCCGGTCATCCACGACGCCTCCAACGACCTGACCCTCGCCGAGTCGGGCGCCTGCGTCGAATACCTCGCGCACCGGCACGGTGCCGGCCGTCTCTTTGTCGCGCCCTCGGCGCCCGCCTACGCCGACTTCCTGTACTGGTGGCATTGGAGCAACGGCACCTTTCAGCCCGCCGTCTCCCGCGCCATGTATGTCCGCGGCGCCGCCGCCAACGACGGCAAGATGCTGGCCGTATCCAAGGAGAAGCTCGGGCGCGCCCTCAAGGCCCTGGACGACCAGCTGAGCAGGAACGACTACATTGCGGGGTCCGAGCTGACGGCGGCGGACATTATGACGGTGTTTTCGCTGACAACGATGCGTCACTTTTCGCCGTACAGCTTGGCCGAGTACCCGAATATTCTAAAGTACCTGGAACGCATCGGCAAAAGAGAGGCGTACCGCACGGCCATGGTCAAATCGGACCCGGATATGAAGCTGGCGCTTGGTGCCGAGTCGCCCAAGTCATTGTTGTAGACGTGGAATACATAGAGAGGATCCGATCGCTGTTCAAGCAGCCAAAGACTAGTTAGCAGCTACGTTGCGATTCAGAACTAGATGGCCATTCAGCCGCGTGACGTGTCATTTTTATAAAAGTCTACTTGGACATTATAGTAAGCAAAACCAACGCCGGTCCCAATGCACCCTTTCGTGTTGCATTTTGCAATCCCTTCCTGCATTCTAATCATACCACAAAATGCCACACAGCAGCTCATCTTCTTCCACGTCCGCCACCGCCAGGCATGCCGGGCATGCCTGGCATCCCACCGCCCATTCCCATCTGTCGCATCATCGCCTGCATGTCCATGCCGCCGGGCATGCCGGGCATGCCGCCGCCGCCACCGCCGCCGCCACCAAGCATCTTCATCAGCGAGCCCATATCGGGCATGCCCCCGGCTCCACCAGCACCGCCCATGCTGGCAAGCCGCTTCTGCATAGCCGCCATTTGCTGAGCTTTGTTGCCACCGCCCATGGCTTGTTGTGCGCGTTGCATGTTCTTCATGCTTCCTCCCATCTTCTTGACCATGCCAGCCATCATGCGTTGTTGTGTCAGAAGATCCTCAATCTCACGTACAGACGTGCCAGATCCACGAGCGATTCTGGTCATACGCGTCGGCTCCTCAATGAGGATCTTGCCGTCCGAATCTAGCTCCTTTTCCGTCATCGAATCGCAAATGTAGATCATGCGCTTCAGCTTGGCGCCCCCTTCTTCATCATCCATGCCTTGCATCATGTTGCTCATGCCAGGAATCATGCCAGCCATTTTGGAAAGAGGGCCCATCTTCATGATATTTGAAAGCTGGTCGCGCAAATTGCGGATTGTGAATATGCCTTCTTGAATGTTCTTCATGGTATCTTGCTGATTCAGATTCAAACTCTGCACGTGCTCAACCAAACCAGCGATATCCCCCATACCCAGCAGCTTCTGAACGAATTGCTGTGGCGCAAAGCGCTCGAGGTCGAGCATGTGTTCACCAGTACCGATAAAGACAATAGGAGTGTGCGTGGCAGCGACGGCAGAAATAGCACCACCACCATGGGCGTGGCCATCAGTCTTGGTAATAATAATGGCACCAAAGTCTGCAGCCTCCTTGAAAGCCTTGGCCTGTGATTCGGCCTGTTGGCCAATTGAGGCATCCAGTACCATGACGGTCTCATCGGGCTTGATAGCTTCCTGAATATCCACCATTTCTTGGAAAAGGGCCGACTCTTGCCTGTGTCTTCCGGACGTATCGACAATGATGATGTCAAACTTCTCCTTCTTGAACTGTTCAACACCGGCGCGTGCGACGGCCGCGGGATCCGTCTCCGTTAGCGAACCATAGTATGGAATCTTGGCCTTGGTGGCATTTTGCTTTAGTTGGTCGAAAGCGCCGGCTCGGAACGTATCGGCACAGACAAGACATGATCGGAAACCTCGAGTCTGATAATGTCGGGCGAGCTTTGTGCACGTTGTCGTTTTACCAGCACCCTGCAGACCGACAAACATGATGACATTCGGCTTGCCCTTCTTGGGCTTGAATGGCTCGGCATGAGGGTCGACGAGCTTCACCAATTCATCGAAGACGGCCTTTTGAATCAATCGCTTCTTGTTGACGGCGGGAGGAATGTCCTTGAAATTGACTGTGCTTTTTATCGACTTTCGTAATTGACCAACAAGTCGGACGTTGACATCGGCTTCGAGGAGGGCGGCACAGATCTCTTTGATCATGGCATCAAATGCCTATACACTGTGATTAGCGGCCTATACATGACTACGTGGCATTTGCGATTATTGGGTTAAAGTGGCGATTATTGGCGGGGTGAGCGGTCGCAAAAGGCTGCTGGGTATACCTTTTCATCGAGGTTTTGCTCGCGAGTCAGGTTGGTGACCGCCGAGTTGATACGGCGGCCAAGATCTTGAAGGACCATGCTGGCGGGAACTGTCGCTCGTGGCGAGACAATGCAGCGATGGATAGGGTATCTTGGTTTCGCTCAACTTGGGAAGTTGTGGCATGTCCCACCAGACAGCGCTGCGTGGAAGCACTTGTGGAGGCGGGGCATTGGAGGCTTAAATATTTCTCCGCTCCGTGGCTACCCATAAGCTGGACGATCTGGGCAAAACTAAGGGGAAACAAGGCAAATAAAATCGTGACGAAACAGGTATATTTGGAGACCGATCTCTAGTATATGTGAAGCCATTATGTTCATAAAGTGTGTGGCAACCGACGTGTGTAGTAGACAAGCCTTGTGCACTCGACCCGTCGTGGACCTCGTCATCACACAAATGCGACGCTCAGTGCAATACCACAACAAGTCGTAGCTATCAGAAGCTACAGCTTGGACGCAAGAGGACTCTCCTCAATCAGAAATTTGTTTACCAACTGTGCAACCTCATTCGCCACGCCCCATCCTATCTCATAGCCTCGTCCCCCAGCGCCGTAGGCGTGCAGGACTGCAGCCTGCCTCCCCGACACGGGCTGTCTCTCCAGTTCAATCCTCATACCCCCTTCTCTCGTTGGGCGACGTCCGACGACATCTGCAATGACAGAGACATCGTCCGACTTGCCAGCTAAAGAACTGGCAAACTGGCGAAGCTCTCGCCCTCCCGCTAGCAGCGTGGCTCGCGTGTTCGCATCAGGTTCTGCCGACCAGTCCCCCGGCTGCTTGGTGCCACCGACAATGGTACCGCCGGAAAAGAATCGGGGGATGATGAAGCTCCAGGTGCCATCCTTGTGTTGGCGTGTTACAGTCTTGGTCGCATCTTCCATGTCGGTGACGACCGTTTGGCCTGAGACACGGTTGTTAGCACAATGCAGATAACGCGTGCGTATCATGTACGCGTACCTCGCGTCGGAAAGTATTTGGGATCGCCGAATCCGGTGCCGCTGGCATTGACAACCAAGACAACATTTTTTTGTAGACCAAAGGCCTCCCATTCAGTCTTGAGATCTCGTTTGAGAGTCCTTCCACCTCGGAGGATGAATCGCCGAAGCAGTGACTGGCAGTAGACTGGGGTGTTGACGCAATATGTCTCATACTCGTAGCCAAGAACCACGTTTTCCGGAAGTTCGGCCTCGGACCATTTTCTATATCGCAGAAGACCCGTCTCTTCCGTGAAGCCCTTGGCGTCTTGCTTTTGGTATCCATCGTCAGGTGCCTCTAGAAGCTCGATGCCCAGTGTGCGGGTAATGCCGCTCCATGGCTCTGTCTGAAGCTGAGTGCTGAATTCCGCCACGGTCTGTTTGAGCCATTCGGCTTCGCGTCGCAGCTGCGCTGTAGTTGCGGGGATGGGCCGCACATGGGCGCCAGCCCACATGGAGGCGTAGTTGGGAGAGTGCTTGGAAGGCGAGCCGGGAATCGAGCTAGGCCATTCTCGCGACACCAAAAGCACTTGTAAATGGCCTCCAACGTCGGCCTTGCGGGCCGCGATGGCCTCCTGGATTTTGATGGCCGACGTCAGGCCCAAGATGCCGGCGCTACATGGCCGATTAGCGGGAGCTCGTCAACAGGCTAGCGCACGTACCCGATCACTACCACAGTCAGCACATCATTTCTCTTTATTTGTTCCGCCATTATGATGGGTTTGGTGAAAGATGCAGCTGTGAAAACGGAAAGGCGGAGATAATCTATAACTTGAGCTTTATTTGCAGGATGACGATAAAACAGGTGATCGGCTTCACGATGGTGGGGGTGAAATCCACTCGCCGGGATGCCGTGACCGGAGCTGGAGCACTGCCCAATCAGCCACCTCCATTCGAGAAGCTCACAGCTAATGTGTGAAATTATAATTTCTATATTCAGCAAGTCGCATTCATTCTGAATAAGGATCATGCTAATATTCAAACCATCGCAAGCATTACTTGTATTCCAAGCGCAAGGATTAAAAAACTCAAGAAAGAGAGCTCCTTGGTTCTCCCAGAATCGTCCCTGCTTTTGGGCGTCTGATATAAATAATAAAGACCGGGTATTCCTGCGTCGCAGTTGTAGACCGCTCTCGCGTCTCTCTCTCGTGGATTGCATCCATCGCTGCCGGCTGGAGGATGTCTTGCACCAGTTGGTTTACATCAACAGTTCCTGTCTGTTGCTGCGCTGGGCTCGAGCCGGAGGAATCACCCCGCAGCTTGTGGATACGTGCCTCAACATCGTCAAGGAAGCTGTCGGCAGTCTCGCCATCTCCAACGTGAAGTGTGACGGTGCCGATATGCTCACGGCCCTGCTCTGTGGCTCCGTTGCGGTGAAAGGTGGTGGCAGAAGATGAGGTTGTGATGCTGAAGCGTTCGTTGATGCTGTTTTCGGGTTGGAGATGAAGAACATGGATCGTGGAACCAAACTCGCCAAGGACAAGGAGCGCAGAAGGGTTGGTGGAGGGTGAGAAAGCGTTTGTTAGACGGGAAAGCATGATTCTGTAAAGTCCAGATGTTTGAACGAAGGTTTTGCCAAGGGCGATTAACCCGGATCCCATAAGCCTTATATACCTAGATATGTGCGTTACACACGCAGAGCAGGCAGCAGGGTAACGGGCGACAGTGTGGGGCCTCTTAAAGGATCGCATGCTAAGGTCATAATAACCGCACTATCGCCCTTTTTTAAGTTAGCCTGCTCTCCATGATCCTACCCAGCGGGCCAACGACAGCTCTTAGGAGGAGCCCCAAGCAGCTTCACCGGGAGCACTGGGCCACTCACTCCCCAGACTCCCTCTGTCCTCGGGGCGGACCGTTCCAATCCTTGACCACCGGTTTTTCAAGCATTCTCTTACCACTATTCTGAAGCTTGAAGTTGACGATGGCGAAGGCATCATGACCGCGCTCGCCTATTCCATCTTGGGCCCTGCGTCCCGCGCGTCATCAGCATCATCACATACCCGATAAGAATCTTGGGCGACTCGACGCCCAGCCGCACCGGACAGGGCCTCGTCCTCACCCACCTTCCAGGCACGCCACTAGTCCTGCTCTGGCCTTCACTCACGCCCCCGCAGCGCGAGGCCGTCAAGGCGGAGCTCGGCCGCCACTTGGTGCGTATGCGTTCACGCCGCTTCTCCTACTACGGACGACCGATGCAGCATCCATACGTCCTCTTCTCAGCATATGGCATAGAGAAATTTATATGTTGCGCCTCTCTCTCAGAGTGTGATGACTCGCGCGTCCACGCGATGCAGAAACATGCCCCGGACGCAGAACGTGCTGTCGACCTTGAGCGACTACAGCGTGGTGACCTCACCGGCGCAGATGATTGGGACCGTCCAGTCCTCACGCATGGCGAATTGTCTGATAGTGACATCCTCGTTGATCCGGACACACTTGCGGTGACAGGTATCCTAGACTGAGAGACGGCGGACATCATGTCCGCTTACTTGGAGTACGCCACGGCATGACTGCCATTGGGCCATCAGCCTGCGTGGAGGGAGGAGTTGTTGGATGTGCTGAGGTCTGTTTTGCGCTGCGAGTGTGATATTGAGCGCCAGGAAGACCAGAGTGCGGTCAATTTTGATCAAGGACCGGACAGATACGAGAGGACGTTGGTGGCGTGGGATGCTGTTGTTGATATTGAGGAAATCGCGCAGAAAATATGATGGTAAATGTTACTGGACTTTTGAGCTTTAATGGAGTCGGATAATATTTTATTACATTCAATTACACAAGTATACTAGTGCCGTGCCCATCAATTATGTCGTCACCAACAGCTACTTCTACTCTATCCAGAATTGCGGTACTCTACACAACAAAACTGTCACTGAGGGGAAACATGCTTAGCGTTAAACGCATTTTTATTTTACTATCTACTCAATCTCAAAACGAAAAATCTCAAAATCAAAACCCAAGTGTAAATTCCTCCAAAAGCCCAATCAGTAGTAATTCCCCGGTCTACTATGGCTCTTTGTCGAGCAGTAGACCTCCCACAGTTTGAATTTGAACGAAAGCTTGTTAGTCACTGTAATTCATTAGTCACTGTATTTGATTAGTCGCTGTGTTAGTTCCTTGTCCTCCTCGATTCTCCTATCCCTGTAGTATGTTATGCAGCAGTTTTTTTGTGGTAGTTTGGGGGGCGGGCCACCGGAAGACCAGATCGGTGACAGCCAAGAGTGGCTATGAGGAGCAGCAGCAGAACGTTTTTGTGTGT